TGCCCAGTCACATTCGCTGCCTACACGGACCAGTACCGGCTACCTACCCACCTGGCTCTGTTGCCGTCTTGCTGGGCTGCCATTCTGCCCGCTCCCGTGAACTGGGACCTGTAAATCCCCATCTGGGTCTTACCAACTTCAACTGCCTTCCCATCGTCGTCATCCTCCTCACTCTTCTACTGGGCCTTGCCTGTCTGTCAACTGTCGTCTGTCACCACCAGCCTCAGGTTTTCTGACACTGTTCGGCCCCCATACATAGGTCTGACGAGTACGTGCTGTGCATTGTGCTGTCGCGACACGAGGCAAAGACACGCCAAACCAAACCTATTCGATTCATTCGTCGACCGTCTCCTTTCTTTCGACGACTCGCATCCAGTCACAGTCGCCAAACGCCTCCCCAACTCGGTCGACCCCCTTTCGCCCCTCCTAGCCTCAGCTCAACTCGAATTGACTCGAGTCGCATTGCCTCACCACGACTGGGAACAATTTTTTCCACCCCTTTAATACACCGTTGCCTTCGACAACCAGCTTCTCTCGGACCAGATCGTACTCCTTTATGGCGTCGACACGTACGTGACTTTCCAGCAGCCGCTGCACCCATTTCCTCAAATACCAACGGGACGCACATGCAAGACCAGAGCATCCTGTCACCTTGCTTGGCGACCTGAGATCCTCGCGACGCAACATCAACGAAACCCAAGACCAACAACGACAGATCGATGACAACCCTCGGTGTTTCTCTCTTAGTCTCCACCGCGCCATGCTAACCGTATACAACTCTGTGCAGTGACCTCGACGAGCAATATTCGCTCGGCATAAGTCGCCCACACGACGTTCTTAAGCTTGAACGCCCGTCATGGACGTCATGAGGTCGCCCTCGCAACCTGCGCCCACCGGCCTAGGTCTTTCCATGCCTTCTCCACAACGAGACGTCTCGCAACCCGCCACCACCCTCAGCCCTGCACGAAAAGCGGCACGCGAAGCAAAACGGAGGAGAGCTTCACCACCCAAAATCGGCACCTTGGGAGGAAAGGAGAGTGCAACACCCACGACTCTGAGTGGCACCAAGTGGACTGGAAAGACGCGCTTCGCAAGCTCAGCAACATCGAAACCACTCCTTCCCGTCACGGAGCGCAAATCCCAAGAGGAGAAAAACACTTCACGAAGGGCACGTGGCAGGGGCAGCGACGACAAGGTCGACATTGCTCCAGATGGTGGTTCGGCTGGCCGTGATGGACGGCAGTTCACGGTGGCGAACGTCGGAAACAATGGTCGCATCTACCTGAGGTAAGAGCGCAGCATATTTTGGTGGTTGCAGCACAGCCATGACAGGTTCAAACTTGGAAAAGAAAGCATAGGAAGCGATAGGACGTTGAACTGACCATTCTGGTTGTAGGCCCTCTGTCCGACCAGCACATCAACGATACCCCCAGCCTAATTTTGTTTTCCCCATGACGCCGCCTGGCACAGCTGGGCTTGACACACTGGCAGGTAAATCACAAGTCGCCGACGGTGTGGAACCTATGACAACCACCAACAGTCTGTGGACGCCATCGCCCTCTACCCCGGGAACCGTGCGGAAGCAGTATTTCCAGACGCACAGTCGCCGCCCGACCGGCCACCGACGCGCGCTTTCTGACTCGACGATACGCGATGACTCTGATGTCGGTGCATTCAAAGTGGTGATATCTAAACCGGGCGAGCATCTGAATCGACCAAAGACAACGGAAGACATCGACGCCTCTGGAGGCCCACTGCTGGACATTGACATACCAACCTGGAAGATAGGCAACCCGCGGTTTACAATGAAAGGCACGCCCTTTTTCCGAGGCTCGAGCTATGCGCCAACAGAAGAGATGCCGAGGTCCAGTAATGTCTCTTTTCTGCGCTCCCAGCGCGGTGACGTTGCACCCTATTCGGGCGAGAGCTCGTCGCTCGGGAAGCCGAACCCGATCTCGATCCCTCACATCCGGTACCCGGCCGTCGACGCGATGAGATCGCCTCCAATCACATCGGCCCGCCTGCCTGCTCCTTACCGTTCGACATACCTCTCAACCCACTTAATCATCGAACCCGCAATGTTCGATGCTCTTACCTTCAGACCATCATGCGACGACAGAGCAATTGTGCGATACGCTACAGCGACTGGCGCGGTCACTGCCGCAACACCTCCTCGACTCGTTGCCGAGATCACATCACCCACGTTCCTCGACTATGAGCTCATATCAGACTTTTTCCTCACCTACCGCGCCTTCCTGGAACCTTCAGATCTACTCCGAATGATCGTGGCTCGCCTTCGATGGGCGCTCGGCCGCGATGATGAGGTTGGCATGGTTGTCCGGGTTCGCACGTTCGTCGCTATTCGCCACTGGATCCTCAACTATTTCATGGACGACTTTGTGATTGACTACGGTCTCCGAGTGTCCTTCTGCAACCTCCTCAACGACTTCGTAGAGGAGCTCTCTCAAGACGCTCGAGCTCGAAAAGTCCAGCTTAAGATTTTGGCCGAACTGAAAAAGTGCTGGAGGAGAGTGTGCGCGCAGTACTGGGACGGGCCTGAATTTGATTCTTCTCTCGACCCCGATGAGCCCATAGCGCCGGGAGGAATTGCTGGCCACCGTAATGCCTCTCTGGACCCGTCATTTTGGGAAAACACAGACCTGCCGCCTCGCCTGTCTGGCCTGTTTTCTGCTGTAAAGCAGACCGGCGGAGACGAGAGAAGTTTCTACGCTGACGTTTCCCGAGCGGGCCACGTTGGTGATTCACACATCTTGGGACCGCGCCCGAGCACGCCCGAGAACCAGATCGCCCAAGAGTTTGAGCCGCGGCAGACCTCGCCTAAGAGTATGGCCAGCTTGGATGTTGTCTCATGCTCGTTCCCCGGTAAAATCGGGCGAGCTGCGCATCCAGGATCTAGTAACCCTATGGCAGTTCATCCCGTGCCACCAAGTTCCGTTTACACAAACGCGGCTGCTATCGCCACAACTCCCCGAGCCCTCACCGGCAAGCGCGTTCGACCGAGCGCTAATCATCAGAGAAACGGCAGTCTGACCGACTCCCTCAGGGAAAGATCTCACTCTACCGACAAGCTGGGCTTGAATCAAGATACCGAGCACCTTCTCTCTTTTCCTTACGCAGGAAGTCTGGTCCGTGGAAATTTACTTCCTCCCGGCCAGCCCTTTGTGGAGATACTGCCCCCCAACATATCCAGCGAACAACGTGAAACAACCATCTTCCAGCAATCCCCACTGGGCCCCGAGAAGAGCATGGCGTCAGCCATGTCAGGACCAGGCATGAAGAGGTTGATTGGCAGTGTGCGCAGGGCTCTTAGCACAAGAGGCCAAGGCGTGTCTCCCACGCAAGGAAATTTCATCAACATCTCGCCCATAGGCCCTCGTGGTGCGACGACGAACCGCCTGCCTGGCACCGCCATCGTACCACAGGCTCGTCCGCATCAGAACGGCGTTCGACCGCCCGTCCGAATTGACCTCCTCGGTGCTGAAATTGCGGAAGACTTCAAAAAGGCTGTCCGAGAAGATGCTGCTGCCGAAGCTGAGCAGCGCGCCCTGGCGCTGCGCCTCCCGGCTGACCACCCTTTGCATAGCGCTATCCCAGACGAAATGCTGGAATATTCAGCTGCGCATATAGAGACACTCCTCGGTAGCCCCTCGATGGCCAATCCTATCATAGACGACCACTTGCGACCCATGAGCGACACAGGCATCACAACCGGCAGCAAATCCATCGTTTTCGTCGACGATACGCTTCCGTTTGGTCTACCCCTTCCGCTTCCCTTACTGCGTGGCCTGAGACCCAGCATGCATGACTCTGTGGGCCACTCTGAGATCGACTTTGTTGATAACTTGCTCCCGACGAATGCCGATCCTACGCCTCCTAATACGCCGCCAGCAGATGAATTGGGAACGCCACGAAGATCGTCCAGGACTCTTAACCGACATGCCATCCGGCCATCGCTCTCGTCTGACAATCTGCCTCCATTCGTTCCTGACCTTGCCACACTGGGTCGTGGAGAGCACGGTACTCAACCATCCGTGGACACCGGCCGGCCCTCCAGCGACATGCCGAGACCCTCCTCAGAATCCAACAGACCTTGGACCGGCGTCACCGGCATCCCTGGCCACGCCAGACCACCACTCTCTGGCTCTGCGCACTGGCGACAAATGTCTAGCAAGACGAATCAGTCCTTGAATTCTATCCTCCATCAAGGAAACACGTCCTTTCGGAGTGACTACCTACCCCCGTCGACTGTTCGGAGTTTTGATGCAACGACTTATTCTGAAGAACGCTCCATCGCAGACGATGATGTGGAAGCTCTCCCGCAACCTCTCCGCGTACTGCGACGTAGGCGTGGGGGTGATTTGCGAGCTGCCACCAACACGGGACAACTGGATACTTTGCCGCTACACAGGACGCGGTCCGTTGGCTCGCTAACAACCTACTCTGAGTCAATCCGCAGCTCGTACTTGCGAAGCCCTGAGCAGGATTCTAGTGCCTTTGTCGATGTTGCTTCTAGCCAGTTCTCATCAGAGCATGTCAATACTTTCTCGCTCGGTGTCATGGCGGAGCAACCACCTAAGCGCGACCTTTCTCTGTTCAGCACTCATTCGTCCAAGCCAGTCATGCGCCCGTCCTTTGAGGCAGAAGCTCAAAAGCTCGCACAAATTCCTGATGACGCTAATGATGACGGTGGTGTTGAGTCTGCGTTAGCCAAACTCGAGGGCAAATACGAGAAAAAGCAGTTCAAGTTGTCGATGGAGCCCACCAACACACCCAAGACGATTACCGCTCATCTCGAAGGGGCGTTTGGCGGTTCAGACATGATCGAGAAGCAGGGACCCCGGCATTTGCATCTTGGTAATGGGGTAGGCTCTACTACTGCTCCTCACTACGTTGATGACTTGTCTTCTCAAAGCGGCCCGATCACCCTCCACGTCCCACGGAGGCGAGCGCATACCGATGCAAAGTCATTCCTCTCGGATAAGTCAGGAGCTTCGTATTCGTCGATTCCATTGCTTGAGCGCGGGCTCACAGATGATGGGAGGAGCAAGACTGGCACGGAGGAGTGGAGGGGAAGATCCATACTTGTTGACCGCGGCGAGGCATCTCCTGCCACGACGCCTCGGCCATCGCCGCTCTGTGACTCTCAGCACCCGTCATACGAGTTTGTTGAAAAGACCCGCAGTATGGATGGAGTCCAGCCCGAGAACACAAGGCACAGTCCAAGCGAAGACCAATCTTACCTGGACTTGGAAAGTGAAGACGACGGAACCGATCTCTCCTCAGAAATGTCGCTAGAAGTCATCAACTCGGACGACTTTGACGGAGAGGGCAGCTTCCCTCCGATAGACCGCAGCACGTCCGTCATCAAGCGAATGCCAACCCATCCTTTGGCTGACTCAAGTTCGGAACGAGAGAGTCAGCCTCCGTCGCCGCCCATGACCTTGGCTCAGGCTCTCCGAATGTCTCCAGAGACCGCCACAGTCCCTCAGCTTCACGAGCACCAGTTGTGGTCCTCTAAGCCTTTACCACTGCCGCCTACGCCCGATACAACGCCCACTGCGGCTCACTATCCGAAAGATGCTCGGAACGCCTCAGATGACGTGGCACCTCATGTCGATGCCAGTGTCGCAAGCGACAGATTCTCTAGGAAGTTTTCGATTCATCTACCTTTCATCCTGGCTTTTGACTCGGAAATCCTCGCACAACAGTTCACACTGATCGAAAAGGACGCACTCAACGAGATCGACTGGAAAGAACTCATCGAGATGGGCTGGAAAAATGCAACTAATAACGACTCGCGCTCATGGGTTGACTTCTTGCGTAACACCGATGCCCACGGCGTCGAGGTCGTCATTGCAAGATTTAACATCATGGTCAAGTGGGCCTGCAGCGAGATTGTTCTCACCCAGAACATTGAGGAGCGAGCTCGGTGCATCATCAAGTTCATTCACCTGGCAGCCCACTGCCACCGCTTCCGCAACTTTGCGACCATGAGTCAAATTGCCATTGCCCTGACAAGTCAGGAGGTTGCCAGGCTTTCCAAGACGTGGGCCATGGTGCCACGTCGGGATATGCAGACGCTTCAGGAACTGGAATTACTAGTCTCCCCAACCCGCAACTTTCACAATCTACGGGCTGAGATGGAAGGCGGATCCGACTCGGGATGTATTCCTTTCGTCGGCATATATACACACGACCTCCTTTTCAACGCACAGCGTCCGTCCGAAATCGCCAGTTCACCTACTACAGCTCCTCTAGTCAATTTTGAGCGATGCCGGTATGCAGCCACCATCGTCAAGACTCTCCTCAGGCTACTCGAGGCCAGCACTCTCTATCAATTCCAACCTGTCGAGGGCATCACCGAGCGATGTCTTTGGATGGGCGCATTGACTGATGAGGAGATCCGAAGACATTCTGAGAGCTTAGAATAAGCCAGCGTGCCTTGCCTACTCATACACTTACCTTGCTCCATGACAGCAAGGATAAACTTACCCACCAGCCTAGGCTGGAAGCCTGATGCCGACCGCAGATCCGCGTTCTTCTGTAAATGTTCACCACATTTTACTTCTCTCGACATAGACACAACCCCGCACGCGCATACTGTACACCTAGTCCACTTTTGGCCCAGCGGCTTACATTTGGTCCGACCTATACATAACACTCCTTCCTTCCACATACACATTTCCTTGGATTGCAGCGAATTCTCGTCCCACACAGGCGAGAAGCGGCACAGGCATCAACGATTCGATGACTAAGCAGCCGTCGCGATGGCGTTCGCGACTGGCTTATTGTTTTTATATTCTTGTACACATAATCGGCGCGCTTGAACCGCACGTTGAGGATGGGATGGGAGGGCAGGGAAGAAACAAGTCGATACCCCATGACGTTCTTTTTCGTGAGCGAGCGACTAGGGTCGCATTCAGAGTTGCAGAGAATATTGATGCTTCAGAGCGACGACGTCGACATCGTTGCCATAAGCAAGGCGGATGGGGAATGATACCCTTATAAGAGACTTGCAGGCAATATCATTATCAATTGCTGTGATTTGCCTTGACTCACTCAGTCCTATGCCGTGCAAGACTCGCGCTCTCAGCAACGTGACGCCAGGATGCGGTTGACAAGCCCGTATGGTTCCCTAATGGGAAGCGCGCTTTATCGTGCTGTTTGCTTCGCTTGTCTTCCTGTACCTCGCCCCAATATACACAAGCTCGCCTCATGGGTTCCTTGAGCCCGTGACGGCGGCTCAGATGTACACCCTGGCTGCAAGCACTACCATGCAGGCGAGAAGTTCCACGACGACCACTGTCATATTACACCCATTGGTCAAAACGATCACGCACGTGAAGTCATAGTGTTGCACTTTCAGCAAGGTATCTTTTTTGGTGTCTTCCCACGAATTTGATAGCCCGTTCCAAGTCTCCACAGATCACAGTTCAGCACCATACTCCGAGAGCACGAGAGGAAGAAGGTACAAATGAGAGCATAAAGGAAAGGGCGGGCAAACGATCAAGTTCCACCCCTTTGGCGTCGGTACACACAGGGCTTTCCCTCTCACCACTGGCCCCTAAAAACGGGTTCGGCTGAACCCACCCAAGAGTCCGGATCGAGTATCTTTCCCTCATCAGCGCGTTCCAAGCCGAACCCTTTCCCTACGATATCCTCCCCTCCAAACCTTTTTTCCCTACTTCGTATCCTCCGAAGGGCTAGAGAGTGCCCATGTTTGCGAAGAAGAAAGACAATTGGTTCCAGAGAAGTGGCCAACCCAGAAGAGTCCCAGGCGGGCGGTTTTTCCCTACGTCCGACAGCGGTTGCGCATTGCTCCTATGATACAAATACGATTTACCACTCGGTCTTGGTGGCCTCGCCACCCCACTCGGTGCTGGTGCCGGCGGCGGGGGCGGCGGCGGGAGCAGCGGTGTTCGTGGCACCCCACTCGTCGGTGGTGCCGTCCCAGTTACCGGTGGCACCGGTGAAGCCGGCGGGGGCGGCAGCCCACTCGTCGTTGGTGGCCTCGGGGGCCTCCTCCTCGGCGCCGACAACCTTCTCGTCCTCGACCTTGTCCTCGGCCTCGGCCTCGGGGTCGCGGTCTGAAGTAGGGTGTTAGCGGGGCGCGGAATATGAGACACACAGAGAGGCAGGGAGCGGAGGGCACATACAGAAGTACAGATCGGTCATGACCTCCCAGGGGGTCTCGCGGTTGTAGATGGTGCCGCGGAGGCGGAGGACCTCACGGGCGAGCATCCACCAGACGAGACCGATGGAGTGGCGACCCTTGTTGTTGGTGGGGATGGCAACGTCAACGTACTCGGTGGGCGAGTCGGTGTCGCAGAGGGCGATGACGGGAATGTTGACGTAGCTGGCCTCGCGGATAGCCTGGGCGTCGGTGCGGGGGTCGGTGACGATGATGAGACGGGGCTCCTTGAACGAGCGGGTGATGTAGTTGGTGAAGGAACCGGGGGTGAAGCGGCCGGCAATGGCGACGGCACCAGTGTGGTGGGCAAACTTCAGGACGGCACGCTGACCGTAGGGACGGGCGGAGATGACGCAAATGTCGGCGGGGTTGTCGATGGCGGCGATGATGCGGGCGGCGAGGACAATCTTCTCCCTGGTGGACTGTTAGGAAACCCCGACGCCTGACTTTTCGATCTTTCGAGCGCGCCTTACCAGGTCTTGCCGACGTTGATGACATTGACACCGTCCTGGCGAGTCTTCCAGAGGTAAGGCTCCATGTGAACCTGCATGTTCTTGCTGCCAATATGGGCCTGAGCTGCGAGAAGCATCTCAATGTCCTGGCTGGTCGCGTTGAAGACCGAGGGGAGGTTAGCGGGAGCCATCTTGACTGCAGTTGTCGTTCTTCCTTCGGGGAGCTGGAGGGATGATGAGGGGGGGAAGGAAAGGAAGATCTGCGAGGGCGCGGATTTTTCGTGGAGGTTTGGCTACAGGCCCGGGGAAAGTTCGCGACGAGCTTCAAAATTCGGCAAAAGTGTGTGGGTGCTGTTGCCCTGAACATGCACGCGCACTAGTCCCAAATAGCATTAGAGCGAAAAAGGGACGTACCCTGGCTAGTTGGCGAAGTAGCATACACGTGATCATCAAGATGGTCCACATCAGGCTTAGCGTACCGCCTGCTGTCTGTCGCCTGAGCAGATGCGCTGGAAATTTTGGCGACTTGACCCGCGATGTACGGAGATCGGGTTGTCGAAGCCAGAGGCGTGCCATCCTAGCAACATACGCCATGCCTCCCAATGTTCAATGCCTGCAAAGGCTAAGCTCCTTTAGCTGTAGGTGTTCCTCAAGAGACCGATTATACCGGCATCGACTGACAGCGGCGATTCAGTATGTCTGCGCCCAGCAGCGACCAAGTCGATAACCCCAAGCTTTCTCCCTGTCATCCAGACAGCCAGCATCTCCTACAAGGAGGCCAAGAAGCGACAGCGTGCCGACCCCTACCGATGGCAGCAGTCACAGCAGCGAAAAGCGGCCAACATCAAGAGGCAACAGGAGATCAAGGCTGCGAGGGACGTGACATGGGGTGACCCTGTCCATGGCATCCCGACGCCCTTTGTCGAGTCTTTCGACTCCGCTGGTCAGGCCGAGAAGTCCACACCACCCAAGGATGAGGATGGCAACTACATTTCCGAGCCATACGCTCTGCCGACGTCACGTCACATCCAGAACCACCTGGTTACCCGCGACGAAATTGAAACCGCCGTTGGGCACGCTTACACCTTGTCCAAGCCCATGCGCAGCGAGATTCGCGACCTCGTCGATCCCGCCACAGAACAGGAGGCAGAGCGGCAGCACGAACTCAGCCACAAGCGTGCTGTCGAGGCGATGAGCCGCATCACCTCCATGAACAACTCTAACTCCAAGATGCGGAGGCACGTCAACATTCGAAGGTGCATTGAGACATTCGGCCGCCACAACACGGATGAAGTGCTCAAGCCAAAGCCCGCCTCCATCCACGCTACGCAGGAGGCCGCACCCATCCGCGCCGGCCCTGACACGGGCAGCTCGGAAGTGCAAATTGCCATCCTGACCGTCAAGATAAGGAAGCTTTCGCAGGAGCTCAACCAGAACAGGGGCTACAAGGACATCCACAACAAGAGGAACCTGCGGCTACTGTGCCACAGGCGGCAGAGGCTCCTGAGGTACATGGAGAAGAAGGAGAGGGGCAGCGAGAGGTGGACCAACCTCCTGGCGACGTTGGGACTCTCTCCGGCTACGTGGAAGGAGCAGATCAGCCTGTAAGACTGTAGTTTTAGAGATGTGTAGACTCGTCATTGTCCACTATGTACACTATGTATACTGATCAGAAACGATGCCGGTCTTTTGCGCGTCATTAACCTTAGGTGCCTCCTTGCGCCGTGATGACCCCGCTGGAGGGATTGCGAGATGGTGGTTGGTATTCTACAGGAAGTTGGGGAGAAAAACAAGACATTTAGATCAGAACACGCTAATGTAGTTGCCAATTCGGTCCTTCTGGTTCTGGGCAATACACTCTGCAATCCAGGTGATGTTCCGGATTTCCTATCCAGGTGTTAGCCGTTGACTGCACAGTCAACCATAGTGGTTCTGCTTACCTGTTCCCTGAGTCTCACCCAGGCGTACACAATGGCAAACGAGAACTGCCTCGTGAATGCGTTCTTGGAGATTTGCATCTCCTTGTGGTAAAACATGTCCTCCAAGCTCTTGCCATCGCCGCTTGCGCCGCCACCCATGTTGCCGGGCCCTGATGCACCTCCGCCAAGGCCGGCGGCGTCGAAGAAGCTTTTGTAGTCTGACTGGCCGTCCACCGCCAGACGCACGCCCTCAAAATCATCCGCCCTCGAGAGCATCAAGGTGCCTTCGGGATAGAGTCTGCCAAAGCTGGGGTAGAGCTTCTTACGATCAGCCTTGGACAGCTCAGTACCGAAGGAGTTGAGGGTAATGTTTATGGCACGACGATCAGCTTCGAACTCAAGGATCTCTGACATGACCTCCGACGTTGGCGTGTTGCTCATCTCGGGATGGCTGTTGACGAAATTATAGAAGTCCTCGAGGTAGTTCTTGTACAAGGTGTTGCGAACAATCTCAATATTGAGCTCGTCAAGGTCCTGGTGGCTCAGACTGCCCTTGAAGTAGGCAGCGAGGGGGGTCTCAATCAAAACGCTGTTGTAGAGCTCCTCAATGTTGGTTGCAACGCAGAGAACTGGCATCGTCTCGAACCATCCGAGGGGGTGACAGCGTTCTAGCAGCTCACGGGTATCACGCTCGTGCAGAGTGCCGGTAATGAGAAGGGCAACGTTGTCGATCATGTAGCCGTAGGTGACGTAGTCCATGAACTGCGCAAGTGCACCGACAGCATTGGCGCGCACATAGCGGAACTCAGACACGAGCTTATCTGTCGTCTTGGATGCGAGGGCCGAAGTCGAGGGGTTTGGAGGGAGGTTGCCTAGGAAGTCGCCGTAGGCAGGGCCAAGCTGAAGCTTGAGATCTGACTGGTCTTAGAAGTGTTCCAATTAATACAGAGGGGCTGTGCGCACCATCAATCGTCTCGCATTGTGTCAGGTTGGAGTAGTTGGATCCTGTGAGTAGACCGTTCCTGTATCCACGAACGATGCCCTCGATGTAGCTACGAAAGTTAGCTGGACGGACGATGAACGCTGCATCGGCTAGGTACTACCCGTTGTTCACGTTGAACAGAAGCCCCTCCATTGCGAAGCAGACTGGCAGACAGTGAGTAGGCGAAAATGAAGTCCTTGGAAGTTCGAAGGTCGGAATTTCGCCGAAGAGATGCGATGATGCTGTTGAACCTGCACCAGCAAAGCTTCCAGGCGACCAAGTTCCCTCATCACTGGATCGCAGGCTGCGAGGCATGGAGTGGCACGGACCATGTCATGTAGCTCCACTGTTCCAGGCGAGGTTCAGCTATGTCGGAAGAATGGTTTATACGGTCACCGTTCTGCATTCGACCTTGCGTCTCCACTCGTTTTCCAATTGGGTGTGGGGCTGGAGCAAAGGCTGCAGAAAGCAAAAAAAAAATTGGAGGAGCTCGACCTTGAAAAATTTCCAACCACCACAATCCGCTGCAAGCGATCTCCTTCCCACGACAAGCAACATTCGTGAGAAGAGCGGAGGATCCCACCCACAGACTGTGTCGAAAGAGTATCGGACTCTGCAACAGTCATCATGTCCCTCTTCGTTCTCGCTGAGACGCCTGCGGGGTGCGTTTCACCCAACATTGAGCTGGATGCGTGGTCACTAACGTCTGCATAGCTACGGCCTGTTCAAGGCTGCCGATAAGAAGCTCCTGAAGCGCGAGGAGCTTACTTCCGGTCCTACCTCTTCCGAGCAGATCAATGACATGTGAGTGGCTCGGAGTTCGACGGCGGCGGCGGATTTGGATTGAGGACCGCAATTGTGCGGTGTGGTCCAAGGGTCGCGTGCGTGTCAAGACAACATTTACTGACTGAAATCAGGCTCAAGCTCAAGTCTTTTGTCAAGTTCGACAGCTCCGCCATTGCCGTCGAGGAAGCCAGCGGACTCCGCGAGGGTCGCGTTCCCCCGATGCTGGCCAATCTTCTCAACGAAATCAAGGACGAGAAGAAGGCTTCGCTGGCCGTCGCCGATGTCAAGCTGGGTGCTGCCATTGGCAAGCTTCCCGACCTCGACATCAAGGCGGTTTCCGACGCTGCCACCTTGGAGCTTTTCCGTGCCGTTCGCGAGAACCTTTCTTCCCTGATTCCCGGTCTCGCCGATGAAACTGTGGACCGCATGGCTCTGGGTCTTTCCCACTCCATCTCTCGCCACAAGCTCAAGTTCTCCGCCGACAAGGTCGATGCCATGGTCGTCCAGGCCATCAAGCTTCTCGATGATCTCGACAAGGAGCTCAACGTCTACGCCATGCGAACCAAGGAGTGGTATGGCTGGCACTTCCCTGAGCTGGCCAAGATCCTCAACGACAACCTTGCCTACGCCCGTCTTGTCGACCTTGTCGGCATGCGCGAGAACCTCGCCGACGCCGACCTTTCCGACATCCTCCCTGAGGAGCTCGAGACCCCCGTCAAGACCGCTGCCGAGATCAGCATGGGTACCGAAATCACGCCCGACGATCTCGAGAACATCCAGCTCCTTGCCCGCCAGGTCATCTCGTACTCTGAGTATCGTACTCAGCTGTCCTCGTACCTCGAGACTCGCATGCGCGCTCTTGCCCCCAACCTGACGGCACTCGTCGGCACTCTCGTCGGTGCCCGCCTCATCGCCCACGCTGGTTCCATTCTCAGCCTTGCCAAGGCGCCTAGTTCCACTATCCAGATCTACGGTGCCGAGAAGGCTCTGTTCCGCGCGCTCAAGACCAAGCACGACACGCCCAAGTACGGTATCATCTACCATTCTTCTCTCGTTGGTCAGGCTACTGGCAAGAACAAGGGCAAGATCGCCCGTTCGCTCGCTGCCAAGACGGCCCTTGGCCTCCGTGTCGATGCCCTGGCCGACTTTGATGGCGAAGATGCCGATGAGGAGGAGAGGGGCATGCTCGGTCTCACCAGCCGCATCAAGCTCGAGAACCTACTCCGCAAGCTCGAGGGCAAGCCTCCTCTGCCCAAGGGCGCCAACATTGCCCCCGATGGCTCGCTCACTGCCCCTGCTCAGTTCACCCTGAACGAGGTCAGGAAGTACAACGCCGACGCTGATGGTGTCGACGGTGCCGAGGTTAACGGCAAGGCCGACAAGAAGGCTAAGAAAGCCAAGAAGGCTCTGATCCAGGAGGTCGAGATGAAGGATGCCGACAGCGAGGCCGAGGACTCGGACGACGACATGGAGGATGCCTCTGGCTCTCCCAGCATTGGTTCCGTCTCGGACGACACGGATGGCGAGAAGCCTTCCGACAAGGCCGAGCGTAAGGCCCAGAAGGCCCGTCGCAAGGAGCGCGAGGAGAGGAGGGTTAAGAAGGCCGAGCAGGACGCCAAGCGTGCCGCTGCTACCCCTGTCAAGGTCACCACCACCAAGGTCGTTGTCGAGACCACTCCTGCCAAGCTCACCGAGGCTGATTACGAGCGTCACGCCGCGGCTGCCGGTATCAGCGTCACCAAGTTCAAGCGCAAGTTCGAGCGCGGTGATGTCGAGCTCGGCCCCGACGGCCAGCCAGTCGTGTTCAGCAAGAAGGAGCTGAAGAAGCTCCGCAAGGCTGAGGAGAAGGCCGACGAGACCCCCTCCAAGTCTGATGCCGAGGGCAAGAAGAAGAGGAAACACGAGGACGCCGAGGAGGCGACGCCGAAGAAGGAGAAGAAGCAGAAGAAGAAGCGCCAGTCGCTGGGTGCCTAAGCGTCCCATGTGTCCTGTACATGTCTCCTCTTGCTGTATGATACCTCGATCTTGGTTGTTTGCTATTTGGCCGGCGTTATTGGCGGGACCCTTGGGGGGAAAAGGTTGGTCTAAACGGTTGCATGTCTCTCAATGCTGGAAATCAAGAAAAGCATTTTACACTCGAGTATGCACTCATTTGTGACGTCCTGAAAGGCCACCTTGACGGAGCACAACGTAGCCTCCTATTCATTTACAAGTTTGCATGAAATTCAAGCTCAGTTTTCTAGAATATTGTGTAGGTCGTGACGCATCGCCTCTGTAAGCGCCGTGTGCTGATGGCACTGGTGGCCGTGCTAAAACCGGGGCTCTTGAAATGACCTGCGTGCCTCCTGGTAGTGTGAACAACAGCACGTGACGCCGCGCTTCTTCACCATCACGTCGTCCTCTTGCCGATTTCATATCGCATCGAAACCCATCACGTTGCCAACGCGCTGGTCAGCACGCGTCAAGGCAGATGGAGGGACTCCTTCGCGGCTCGAGGCGGGCACGCCGCGTTGCTCAAAACTCTGGACCAGCAAGGACACCAGAAGTCAACAGCACGCCGGACCACCAACTCCCGCCGAGCTCTGTGTCAGATCAGCAGGTGCATGCGGCCCAGAGGTTATTGATGAACTACTACACGGAGCGTAGGTCGCCATCCAATTCCAGGGGTAGGTCATTCATTTCCATTAGTTGTGTCAGACGAAAATTTGGATCTGGAGGAAAGGGCTGCAAGAGGTTTCAACCTCGCTCCCATTCAACACCTTCGGCCTTGCCATAAACTACATCTATCACTTTTGTCGGGGGTGTTCACATCGAGCCAACTTCTTTCATCATGCACGCTAGAGTCTCGACTTGTTGGCAGACCTTCATCTTCCCAAAGCCCTAGTCCTGGTTGCCTTTCAACCACGCTCAGACGCAAATACAAGTAGTATTCGATCCCCTGCCTACCTACCTTAAAAAAATCCCCAGGGTCCTGTCCTGCATTTATTTACGTGGCTCATAGGTGGGCTCAACTCTCTGAGCGTACTCTCTAAGCACCTACACGCTTTTTTTTCTTTGCTTGGCTCATCTGCTTTTCGCCAGGTCATTTCTCCAGGATGCTGATCAAGCCACTCTGACACCATTCCAGGGACACCAACGGCTCATACGCCGCAGCAAGGCTTCGACAGGGACGACGACAGCCCTTCAGTACAGCCCAACTTAAGACACGCCGCCATGGAAACGCCTGACTTGAGGCATCCAGCGGCTCGCTCACCTGCGGAGACACCGGCGGAGGCTGACGATTTTACTAGCCCTGAGGAAGACGGCGATGATCACTTTGATGATCATGAGGAGTACACGGAAGGCCCGGTCGACGAGCAGATTGAGGATCAAATAGAAGAAGACGATCAAGAAGGCGACATGGCGATGCCCTTTGACCCAAGCGCCATGGGCCTGAAAGAGATCTCCAATTTGGGCAAGTTCACTGTGAGCAGCCACAAGCCGGGAAATGGAGTGGATGAGATGCGTAGCGATGATACGGACGAGTACTGGCAGTATGTTGCACCACTGCATTGCAGGCATTTGACAGTAGCTTACCATTTCAGATCCGACGGACCCCAGCCTCATAGGATGACTGTCTATTTTGTCAAGCGCGTTGGCATTCGCGACATTCGCTTCTACGTCGACTACCAGGCCGACGAGTCCTACACGCCGACCAAGATTCTTTTCAAATCTGGCACAAGCGAGAACAACCTCATCGAGTTTGCCGTCATGGAGCTCACGACGCCCTCTGGATGGCAGCAGGTTCCCATCGCGGGCACGGGTGGAGGGCCAGACGGCAACACCCTCGCCTGCTATGTGTTTCAGATGCAGATTCTGGAGAACCACCAGAACGGCAAGGACACGCATTTGCGCGGCATTAAGATCTACGCTGCCGACACGGACGCCCGCGCCTCGGTGGAGGCGGGCAGCAATCCTATGGCGGAAATGGTTGAAATGATCGACAAGACGGCGCTGCGCGGTGAAGATGAAGAGTTTGTCGAAGAGGACTCGGATCAAAGGATCCGCCGACTGGAGAGGCGGCTGCGGGCGAAGCGCTGGGACCCGAACGAGGGGGGCATGAGCGAACCAGACTTTATGAAGGAGCCTGAAATCCGATGAGCCAGCTGGAGCGTCCTCCCGCCTCTTTCAGATACTCGAGCCGACCGAGATACGACATGATGAGCAAATTCAATGTATGGTATAGTTGTGGTCGATAGGGATCGACTATGGGGTGAACAGGGCGAATGCCTCAGCAATGAATATTGACACGATTACCTACCAAATTCAGGCGAGTGAGATGGCTCAGGCACACATATTGCAGCCAACATGATGCGTTTACCACTTGAGCGCCCCCAGACCTGTGGCACGAGATATGAAGCAAGGCTGTGGCAGACGCCAAAGTTCCAGCTTGATCTGCTTCAGTGCCATGGGTCAAACAGCTTGGGCTCACAACGTGCACCAACAGCTCAGCGTACATGGCGATCTGTAAAAGCTGACTCCATTCTGAGATTGGGGTTGCAAGCCTACTGATGTGCATGTCAGATATCTCGCAACGAGGCCCTTCAGTTTGCAAGATGTAGTCATCGCAACGTGTGCAGCTTTCTAGGTATGTTGCCAAAAGATGAAGCGTCGTATTGGAGGCTTTCTGAATTCTATAGGCTGTGTCAACATAACCCATGTCCTAAGAATTTCCTCGCCTCGGGGTGTGAGGCACTTCCATTCGCAGTCACGAAATACAGTTTGTCTACAGGGGGGGATCAATCAAGTAATTTGGTGCCCTACATTGCTACGCCGCAGAAAGAGGCGTCGGGCATGGGCAACTCAATGTTGGGGTGCCAGCACGAGGCTCTGTAAGCTAAGCCAAGTTTAGCGCCGCCTACGTACAGCCTCGATCTCACTTCGATCATCTGGACGATGGCCTGTGGTCACACGTCGATTTTGGGGAGTCGAGCCTTGGAGCCCTCCAGCCTGATGTGAGCCCGAGATGAGGATGGTGACGGGCTGCGAGATCTTGCAGGCTCACTGGCCGCTACCACGACTACTTAACACAATATCCCCGGGATTTCCATGAGCATTGTAGTTCTGTGTCCATGCACCAGAAACCTACTTTGTCCGGACTTGCTTGACGTGACAGGGCTGAGCAGTTCACTTCAGCCACGCCGACATAACCGTCCCAACTCCATACGACCAGACACAACAGCCATGGCAACATGGTGCGGAAACTGCGGCAAAAGAAGAATTCACTCCCACACCCTGGAAAGTCGAAAACGGAACTACTGCGAGACCTGTCGCGCACGGCGCAGAACGCACCCAACATATTGTATATCCTGCGGAGAGCCGGAAGCGCATGAAAACGCGAGGTGCATTCTTCACCGGGGCAACACGAGAGGATACATTCACTACTACACTCGGTGAAATGGATCAGCATCGTCAGGCCTCGGAGAGCTAATGACGATGTCGGAAATGGTTTGGCGAGGTTCAGAGAGCTAGAAGCCAGACCAGGACAATGTCCACAATACCGCTAACGCCAAGCTGGGCATCCTGTAGTCGTTGTGACTGATCAAATCCATTCACTTTCGAGGGAACAATAACTTGACCTTCAGATATGGGGGATCGGGTGTCCTGAGGACTAGGGGGGAACGGGAGCTATGTTGTGTTAGCGTCCCTCGTTTGTATTCATCACATTTGTATTCATCAACACCAATGCGATGGACTTCTTTTTTCGTCCTGGCAGACCCAGGTACACTCACATCTCAAGAACCAGCCAACAACGAAGTTTGCCGGGGCTGCCGGCTTAATGCTACCCTAAAAGTCACGTAGGTAGAAGCACTGCCAACGGACAGTGGAGTCTTGGCCGACATGCAGGACCTGCCTTGTTCAATTGGACACATAGATGCAGGCGACGGAGTCAAGATGATCGTTCCTGCCCCCGGTTGAAGAATGCGATGTACTCTCCTCGCCTTGCATGACCCCTCCTCTCCCCACGAAGGGTGGCCGTGATTCTCCCCTCTCATACATCTGTCAAAAATCAACTAATCAAGCTTCTTTTTGGAATTCCCCTGAATACCTGTGCCAAAATCGTATACGCCATTACTGCCAGGAAGTTCCCACGGGTTGCCATGTCTTCACAACAGCAGAGCCAACAACCTTCCATTGCAGCGGTATGTTCCGTCGCTCGACGAGGTCTTCTTGCACCCTGCGATCGATTTCCCAGATCCAAAGAGGGAACTTGGTAGTAGCAAGAGAGTCAATGCTAACTGCCGACATCAGGATCCTGATGTAGTGGGAAACCTGGAGAACGACAACGACTCATCCGCTGATGTCGAAAGGTCAGCAGCTGAAGATGTTCAGAGCTGAGGATTTATACTCATCCTATCGTTCAGTCTTCGCGAATCCACAGCATCCCTGCGGTCTAGCATTCTCGAATATCGTAACATCAACGGCCGCCATTTTCAGTCGTCGAAAACGACCGACTACTGGTAAGTCTTCTTATGGCTTGGCATGAATGCAAGTTTGTGCGTGATTCATGGTTCAAGAAAACTTACTCCTCGTCCTTAGGGCACCAACTGATGAGAAACACATTGAGGGGTTTGACCTTGCGTATGACACCCTGCATAACCTACCCATGAATAATCAAAAAGCACTCGCTAACCACAACAGCCACCAATACATGTTGCTCTTGATGGACAACAAGCTTTACAATGCCCCTATTGGCAACAATCCTCAAAGAATTCTTGATATTGGCACAGGCACAGGAATCTGGGCCATCGACATGGCTGAAGAGTTTCCTTCTGCCGAGGTGCTCGGCACCGACATCTCGGCTGTCCAGCCTAGTTGGCTCCCGCCAAATTGCAAGTTCGAGATTGATGACGCGCAGCTAGACTGGACATTTCCCGTGAACCACTTCTCCTACATCCACGCGCGCCACCTTTACGGCGGCATTGATGACTGGCCCAAGCTGTACCGTCAGGCCTTCACCCACTGTGCCCCGGGTGGCTGGTTCGAGAACGTCGAGATCGAGCTCACTACGCGTACGGAAAACCCGCGCTACACTCTCGGCCCAGACCATGTTTTCACTCAATGGCGAGACCTGTTCTTTGCTGCTGGCGACAAGATAGGGCGCACGTTCCGCATAGCTGAGAACAACCGCATGGAGCGCGACATGCGCGACGCTGGGTTTGTTGACATCGTGACACATCAGTGGAAGGTCCCTATTGGTGGGTGGGCAAGCGACCCGAAACTAAAGAAGGTCGGCCTTTTCAACGGGTTGTTCATTGATCAGTCAATCGATGGTTTCGTTATTTTCCCTATTGGTGAGATTCTTGGTTGGTCATTTGACGAAGTCACAGTTCTTGTGGCGAACATGAGGGCCGCCCTTCGCGACCCCAAAGCGTTGCCATATTACAATCTGTGAGTTTGTTCCCTGGCTCTGTTGCGCGCCACGCTGACCTGTACACCAGGCACATGGTGTATGGTCGGAAGCCAGGCAATGCCGTGTCGCCGCCGCTTTCGCCCCAGAAGAGTCCGAGTCCGCCGGCATAGGTCAACCCCGTCCATGGGGTCGAGACGACACTCGGTCCGCAATGCCGAAGTTGTTGTAAACAGACTGGAGTCTGGTGTCTGCTTAAGTTCGTTGTGGGCTCAACGGGTCAGGTCCTACCTCTCGCCTGCCTGCCCAGGGTACCTTGTCTTCATGCTAAATGAGTAACGAATATAACGTCAACACGCACGCCTGTCAGAAGCATTGATTTTGACATCAAAAATTATTTGCGCGCTGTGCTTCTTGTCTTCATTCAAAGACGTAGCCTGCTCCATACATGGCAGATCATGGTTGTGGTGATGTGCAACAACTGGCTTGCCGCATGCACATGTTGAATCCCCTCTAAGTGACAGCTGCCGTCGATAATTAAAAGGCAGGTATGTCGAGCCTGGGCCTCACATGACAGCCCGGCGCTGCAGGCGACCAGCTTTCCAAGCTGGTCATTGTAGGTCACCGCCGTAAAGAAGCGCCTCAATCAGGTATAGGAAAGGAATTGGACGTATGCCACGAATGCACAAGGTAGGTAGGTACCAGAGGGTAGACGATGCCATCGAAGACCCAAGGACTGGTACCATCAGTGGGTGGAGCAGTCGGAAACACGGCTTACCTAACAAATTTCACTGGGACTGACGCCAGACTAGCGCAGTCTCACCGACGTCAAGCAACTAACTACTCGCGACGGCAGCCTCGTGACCGATTTACCCTTGTGCTTCTGACCTCCATCGAAGCGGTGCCGCAATTCTCACGAACAAAACCATGGCAAGCCAACCCTCCGAAGAGCCCGTGGTGCCGGCCACCGCTGCTCCTGCGCCTGCCACGACAGTGTCACCAGCGCCCGCCACCAACGGCGTCACAACTGCCGACAAGCCAGACCAGGCGGAGACCGCAACCGAGCAAAATGGCGAGAAGGAGGCCGAGGCCGAGCAGGCTGCGCCTGTTCCCGAGGGCAAGCTCCCCACGCGCAAAGACATGTCGCTCCGCGAGTTCCTCATCAAGATGGATGACTACGCCCCAATTGTATGCTTTCGCCCTCCCCCCTCCTCCCTCTATACTGCCTACTGTGGACCTTTCCCCCACTGACATGCGCTCGCTCCAGATCCCCGATGCCGTGACAAACTACTACATGACCAAAGCCGGCCTGCCGCCTCCCCCACAGACGGACCCGCGCCTCGCGCGTCTGCTCGCCCTTGCGACGCAGAAGTTCGTCGCCGATATTGCGGCCGACGCGTACCAGTACTCGCGCATCCGCGCCTCCAACACCAACGCCAACAATCCCATGGGCAACCTCGGCGCCGCCGCCGGCTTCCCGATCCCCGGCCAGCCCGCGGGCCCGACGGGCGCAGCCTCGAAGGACCAGGGCCGCGGCGGTCCTCTGGGAATCCAGCGCCCGGGCTACGGCGGTGGTGGACAGGGCGGCAGCCAGAACAGGACGGTTCTGACGATGGAGGATCTGGGCATGGCTGTCGGCGAGTATGGCGTCAACGTCAAGAGGAGCGAGTTCTACCGCTGAGCCAGCCAATGCCGCATTTGGCCCTGCGGAAGGCGACGGATGGGTCTGCTTCAGGCGTTTGATTTGGCTTTTTTACTACAATCATGAGGCGTTGGTGGAATTGACCCTTGGATGGGTCTGGGCTCGGGGTATCACGGCTGTCTTTGCAGTCCATCAGGCAGAGACAAGGCAATAAGTTGTAGTAGCATCAGGCCTGGCGGCCGCAGTCGAAGAATTTAACACCATGGGAAGCCAAGGCTGGTGTTCAATTTTTTTTTTTTTTTTTTTACAATTCGGATCGGGATGTAGTGTACAACAACATGGCCAGACTAAAACTCGATGTCCCCCCTAAACGCCTGTGCATGCACGCCTGCTTCTTGACAGTCTCTTACGCCCTAGACCAGATGAAGGGCTTCCTTGTGCTGTGTCTTGTTAGTCTTGCTGTTCCGTCCCTGATTGTGTATCTCCCCGAAGGCTGCGACTCACGGCGAGAACTCTCCCAGCTTGTGTCCGACCATGTCCTCGGTGATGGTCACGTCGTGGTAGACTTTGCCGTTGTAGATCTGGAATTTGAGGCCCACAAAGTTGGGCAGGATAGTGGCGGAGCGCTGCTGCGTCCTGATGATGGGCGCCTTCTTGCCGGCCTGGGGGCGGACAATGGGGAGGCTGTCGAGCTAGGTCAGAGGTCGGTCGAACGATACGGCGAGGCGGCAGGGCATTCTTACGGCACGATGTGCGGTCCTGCGGCAGCAAGTGTCAGCGGAATAGGAACACACACACACGCACAGTATCGCAGGTGAAGGCGCAACTCACCTTTCCATACGGAACGCTTGAACAATATCCTGGTGGGCTGCATGGTGCCTGCTTGACGTAGATTATTCGTTGACGGGCTGGTCTGCGCAGCTCGGGCGGGCCAAACGCGGTCATGTCGAAGCTTGTAATATTTTCCGGGGTCTCAGGGCGACGACTTGGTCACGTGAGACTGGGAAAGAGGAGTGGGGGTCACGGTCCGGGGAATTCGGGGGCACACGCCCGTCGAACGACGCCGGGAGCGCGCCGAGGATGCCGGCGATGCATCTGGCGTTGGACATTCCTGCTGCCGCGCAATCCGTATCGTTCTGGGCTGGCAAGCTTCTGGGGATCTGATAATTGTTTGGCAGTCGATTGTGGTAAACCATGAATGCATTGGCAATCAAGGTTGTATTCTAGAGTCTTTATAGATCGGTCATTGATAAACTTAATCTGTTTACATGGTTCGAAACAATTGAATAGTCTCAAATACGGCCATCGTTTCTCTGCAGCTGTTGACTGGGTTGGTGAATGACAATCAGTCAAGCCTAGCACATTCTTCAAATGGAAGCTTCGAGCACTCGAGAGAGGCGCGAATGAGGTCGACCGCGAACGTGGCCTCTACCTAGAGTGGGTCTGCCATAATCGGAGATTGTCCATAGCGGGCTGCACGCCGCCCTCCAGCCCGCAGCCGGACACCCTGAAGCCCGCCACCCCAACTCGCTGCAGAAAGGGCCAACCGCTAAAGTTATTTCGCAATCCGCGCCGCACGACCATCTTCTCCAAAACTCCATCCCCCATCCCCATTCTTCCCACCCTCTCCTTCGACCCGAGTTGTCTGAATCCATTGCCTGCCCCAACACCAGCTCGCTCCGACAGACACAGCAAACTACCGCCAAAATGGTCAGCGCTCAAGTGTACGTCTCCTCGCCCGATGCGTTGCCCACCGTGTCCCCGCGCAACCGCCTCGCAGAAAGCTAACAGGGGGATGCGCAACACAGTACCAACCTGATCATCATGCTCGGCATGATCCAGGTCTCCCGCAAGGTCCCCTTTGAGGATCCTTCCGTCCTCCAGGGATGCCGCGCCCTCTACATCTTCAGCAACCTGCTGATCGCCATCGTCTACCTCTACATTCAGTCCAAGATTAACGCCAAGAAGGGTACGTCAACACGAAGCTCACGCAGGCCATGTTGGCTTTTCCTTTTTATTGCGAAGACCCAGGACTAACCAGATACACAGACATGACGACCCTCAAGTACGTCGAGCCCGCCCCCGTAGGCTCCTCCGAGGAGCCCAAGCTCGTTACGACCACCGTGCACGCCTACGACTCGGCCCAGCTCAAGCAGGCCTTCCGCTCGCAGGCCATGGGTGTCGCCATGATGGGATTCATGCACCTCTACATGAAGTACACCAACCCCCTCCTCGTCCAGTCCATCATCCCTCTCAAGGGCGCCTTCGAGAGCAACCTCGCCAAGATCTACATCTGGGGCCAGCCCCCCGTCGGCGACCTTAAGCGCCCTTTCAAGGCCGCCGCCGGCTTCATGAGCAGCCTCCAGGGTGGTGGCCCCGCCAGCGACAAGAAGGCCGTCGAGGCCGCCGAGCGCTCCGGCCGTGGTGGTGTCAAGGAGGAGTAAACCAATCGATCACAACAAGAAAGGGCCATGGGGGTTTTTTCCCGGAGGGCATTGGGGCCTGTTGCATACGTGTGCACCTTGCGAGACGTGCCGCTGGCGCCTGGGAGCCGATGATTGATATGGTGGGATCGGTAGATTTTGCCCTGGGAGTGTACTATTATGACCGGTATATTGGTCTCAGCCCATCTGAAATCGCATTGCATCCAGCATGACCCAAACTCCAGCTCGCCCTGCCAATTGTCCTTGGTGCAATCATGCTCTGTCTGCAGCCGAGGACATCCCTAGGCCCTTCACAAGTTTACGCGCGTAGGCCGACAGATTTCCATTGGCCATGGCGACCTCGACACCATTTGGTCGTAACAATTGTAGATGTACTGCTGTGGCTGCCATACACAGACAGCTTTCTAGTGTCTAGCTCCCTGAAGCACATGCACCAAATACCACTTTAACCACGCACGTGACTTCGCGACGGCAACAAGCCATGACATAATCGTTTTGGATGCGCCCCGCGGCTCTCTTCTGAAAGTTTGCCCCCCAAAACTTGACTCTGTTAGTCTTACCTACACCAGACAATACTGCTATCTGGTAGGGGTCCAGCTCATTCATTGATCCTCTTACCTGCCTCAGTATCACGGCTCATTGCTTCCCGCCTCATAATCATACGTCAGCGACCATGACCATGGAACGGCCGAAGACGCCACCACGGGCAACCCAGCCTGCACCCGTTGTGTCTCCTCCCACACCAGCAGTGACTCGCAGGATTGTATGTTCATTCCATTAACCTTCCCACGCATCGAGAATCCAGCTGACGTGTGGACAGGAAGAGAACCGTCTGCGCGCCAAAGCAATCCGTGACCAGCATGAACAAGCTCGTCTGGCATCCGGTGCGCCCGGCATCGACAAGACCCCCTCCGGCTTCATCGCCACCGATAACGTCCACATTCCCAACTCGCGCAAACGCACACATGCCGATATATCGTCATCCTCCTCCTCCTCCAAGGCTCATGGCCCCGACACGGTCCGCGACGCCAGGCAGAACCCGAGCGTCGACGCGGCGCCCAAGTCGCTGCGGCCGGCACGCAACTTTACAAAGTTTGTCGACTACGACATGTCCGCCATGACGGACACACGAGGCGGCTTCCTCTCCCTCGACGACGACCCGTCGAACCCGGCGCTCGCGCCCCGTCAGAAGCCCGGCCAGCCGCCCCCGCCCGAGAGGCCGCAGGGCATGACGGCCGGCGAGTGGGAGCGCCTGCAGACGCTGCGCGCGCTGCAGCGCACCAAGGCGGGGCCGTTCGAGCCGTCGCTCTCGGTGCTCCGCGACGCGTCGGTGCGCGCGGCGCAAAAGTGCCGCGAGTGCGCCTCGCCCGAGATCGACCACGTCTGGGCCGAGGTCTTCGGCCTCTGCGTCTGCGGGCCCTGCAAGGACCGCCACGCCCACCGCTACTCGCTCCTCACCAAGACGGAGTGCCGCGAGGACTACCTCCTCACCGAGGGCGAGCTGCGCGACGCCGACCTGCTGCCGCACCTCAACAAGCCGAACCCGCACAAGAGCCACTGGCACGACATGATGCTGTTCCTGCGCTGCCAGGTCGAGGACTATGCCTTCAACACAAAGTGGGGCAGCGAGGAGAAGCTCGACGCCGAGTTTGCGCGCCGCGAGGACGAGAAGCGCGCGCGGAAGGAGAAGAAGTTCAAGGAGAAGCTGACGGACCTCAAGAGGAAGACGAGGACCGAGGCGTTCCGGAGGCAGGCCGCCAAGGGGGCCGCCGGCGGTCCGACTAAGTTTGGTGATGCCGTGTCGGGCGGCAAGCATGTGCATGAGTGGGGCCGCACGGTTGAGAACGAAGAGGGCATGACGGTCAAGACGTGTGTCGGATGCGGCATGGAGGTGGAGGAATTGGAGTTTTGAAGCCTCACGGCGGCTTCTGCCTTGTTTTCGGCGGTTTTGCCATGATACCAGCGACAAGATAGCACGACGAAATGATGTATGAGACAGGCCTAAAATACGCAGACGCTCCAAAACCCAGTAGAGGGCACGGAAGGCTTCGTGGCCACATTTCCTTCAAGTTACATATTACAAGAACACTATGAACGCCCGGGCGAGGTTTGGCCTGGCCGGTGGTTGACATGTCCATGGTCCCCCGCGCCATTCGTCCCTTTCCCAAAGGTCTACCCTACACGCTATGCTTATGCCGACGGATGTGCAAGCGAGAGCGACGTCGTCTCTACCGCGTGAACACCTTGACCACACCGTCGCCACCTCCGCTGACGACCCACTTGCCGTCCTGGCTCCAAACGACAGAGCAGACACCCTCGCCGCGCATGATGCGGTGGCTCGTAATCTCCTGCGTGCATGAACGCTTCTCGAGGCTCCAGAACCGCAGGCTAGCATCGTGGCCGGCGCTGACCAGTTCGCGGCCGTCGGGGCTGAGTGACAGCGCCGAGATGGAGGCTGGGTGTGCGAGCATGTTGTATGTACATTGGCCTGTGTGAGTCAGTATGGAGGCCCGGATTGGATAAAAAAAATGGCATATGCTTACCGCTATTGGCATCAAAGAAGCGCACGAACCGGTCCTCGTGCCCAGAAATCACTACACCCTCAACGCCGGAGCTGGCCATGGTCCTGCCGCCGCCTGTCGGGCCTCCGCTGGTAGACGCGTCCTCCTCAGACATGCTGCTGGCATGCTGGCCTTGTTCCAGGCCCACAGTAGTAGCAACGACAGAGTTGACGCTTGTGCCGATGGTTCCGTCATACGTCTCCAGGCTGTCCATGGCGCCAGTCTGCTCGCCAGAGCGGGTATCGTATACAATGATAGAAGCGTCCGAATACGCCACGACGAATGTCTCACCAGTCGGGCTGAGGGGTGTGATGCAGGTCGGGCTGGCTGTTGAGCCGTCAGATCGCGATATGTTGTGGATAAGCGTGTGGTTGAAAGGAGAGTTGGAGGCCATCGTCGGCTGTGGCGAGTTGGGGAATGCGCTTCCTGAACTCATTGAGTTGCCTCGAACCCTGCCTCTGCTGCCTGTGGGAGCGGCTCGGTTCGCGCCGGGCTGCGGCGATGTGAGTTGAGGTGGCGCGCTGACGGCCCACAGACGGACAGTTCCATCAGCACCACCTGACGCTACCAGGATACGATCGGGAGTGCCGTAGGGGTTCGACTGTCCGAAGATGGCACCCAGTGTTGCCGGAAGTACGCAGATGGCCCAGACCGCATCAGTGTGGCCGTCGAGGGTCGCCTTGGGATCAACTCGCCCTCGCTCCCATACTCTGATGCTGGCATCCTGGCCACCCGAGAAAATCCAACCATCTCCCTGCGCTCTCCCGCCTGTAGAGAAGTTTGGCGATGGGGACCACGACGTCAGACAAAGGACCGCTCCCGAGTGACCCCTGTGTGTGAAGTTTGCCGCAACGTCCAGATCAGACCCTCCGACTGGACTCTCCGTTCTAGGGATGTGGAAGCGCTTGATCATGCCATCGTCGCCGGCGGTGCAAATTTCCGGCTCTCCTGGGCTGCCACCTCCGGAAAATATGACGGTTCGGACAGTGTCAAGATGTCCGCGGAGGCCGAAGCGCAGCTTGAAATTCGTGCTTTCCTGCTTGAGAGACAGGGCGTTCAGTGAAAGTTCCTGGTCCGAGCTGCGGCGTCGAGACATTGATCCCTTTCTCCTATGCGAGCCTGGCCCTCGAGTAGGCGACTTGGGTACGTTCTCTGCGCTGGGGAAAACGTCAGTGTCTGGCCGGGTCGAAGCCAACTGCTGGGCTTGTTGGGGCTGCGTCGCGTTGGAGTCTGTGAAAGCGCCGTCGGGGAACTCCCAGCCATCGGTCTCGGGGAGGACTTGTTTCGTGGCTACTTCTTCAGCGTGCTCAGACGTTCCGAGAGCTTCGACGGAGTGATTTGGCCTCTGGAGGTTATCATCCATGAGACGAGTGGTGACGGAGACGGGCTGCGGCCATTCTGTGCCTGCAGCATACATGGCGGGTGGGTTTTCGGCTTCCGAGTTCCCAGCCTGCTGAGGAGGTAGTTCCGTTTGCTTCACCTGAAAGCTCGTAGGCTGGCTGCGTTGCATTGGCGGCGCGTGATTCGGGGCCGAGGGCGCTCGCGCGATCTCCCGAACATGGTTCTGAGTCTGCAACTGCGACTGTCGCATTTGCTGTTGGAAAGAGGGCTCCGCTGGGGGCTGACCGGACAGTTGGTAGGGTTCGGGGCCGGCCATGTCCTCCAGAATGGGTAATGGTGGAGAGTCGCGAGGTGGCAGGGGGTTCGCAGGTGTGACCATGAGGTATGCAAACTCGGCCTGGCACTGGTCGAGGAAGGCCTTGAGGTCAGCACGTTGAGGTTCGTCTTCGCCCTTGTCCTCCTCATCGTCGGTATCAATATCCTTGTGCAGCGCTGTTGAGGTCTCGTCAGCGCAAGCTCGGGTCCTCTAGTGTTCGCCGACTCACCATGGAGCTTCTCCTGAATGCGGATGGCCCTGTCCTTCTCGCGTTTCGCCGGCTCCTCGTCAATGTCGGAAACGGAGCCCGTGCCCTTGAGGAGCGCCTGCTGGTTAACGACCTTCTTCTCGAGGATGCCGACGTAGCGCTTGAGGGCCTTTTGGGTGGCATCAGCCCGTCTTGCCTGGCCCTCGAGATTCGCTATCCTGCCCTTCATCTCCTGGCGTTCAATCTCCCACGAGTTTCGGTCGCGTTCGTGGCGATGCCATTCGGTCTGTAGAAAGCGCATAACGCCTGTGGCATCGGGTTAGCACGACAATGCACTTTCCTCCATCTCGCAACAAGACAAAGAGGGAAAAAGCTCAAACGCACCCTGCAACGTGTACTCTGTGGCATTGGGCTGGCCGTTGCCGTTGCCCTGCATGGCAGCACCCATCTCGCCGCCGCCGGGGCCGCCGCCCATGCCGTTGCCCGGATTCATCCCCATGCCCGCGGCGTTTTGCCAGCTCATGTGCGCGTGGGGGAGCTGCTCCCCGGTATGCTGTGTTCGCCGCGAAGTGGGAAGGGGCGGAGAAGAGTCGTCAGAGTGGCCGTTGTGTCTATCCACCGTCTGGAGGGCTTTCGAGGAGCCGCTGGTGGTCCGCGCTGCAGGATTGACGGAAGGGGGCACGAAATGGGATTATTGGGTTTGCATCGGTCGTGCAGCGTCTTCGTGGAGCTCGCGGCGATGCGAGGGCAGGTGTTCGTCACGATCGAGGTTGCGATCAACGGCGAACGACTGAAGCTCGGGCGGAAAGGTGTCGTGTGCAGTTGGGAGCAGCAGCACGGCAAGCGTCACGACCAGGGCCAGGTGGTGGTGGTTGGTGGGTGACAGATGCGATTGGGCGAGGGCCGAGGAACAGTGAGGCAGCGTGCTGGAAGCTGCAGCTGGTAGCTGTTCGTCAATCGTCCTGGGCTGGGCGCGGTGGATGGCTCATAAAGCAGCAACGATTTTTTTTTTCGGGTCGTAGATCGCGTCGTGTGGTTGCGCGAGGTTGGGTTGGTGGCTTTTTGGACAGGATAGCGAAAGCGCTGCTGGACACTCGCCCTCGCTCTTCTATCTCTCTCTCTCTCTCTCTCTCTCTCTCTCTCTCTCTCTCTCTCTCTGTGTGTGTGTGTGTGCCAGGTCCAGTACGACTCCAGGAGATGGGGGCTGGTTTGACAGGCTCTGGCTCTGGCTGTGGCTCGAGCCTGGGCAGGGGAGGTACCTTCTGCCAGCTCGCCAGTGCATCTCTCTGTACCCTGCTTGCCTCTTTTTAGGGGCAAGGGGGTCAATGAATGGAGCTCCCTCAGTGTCTTCCCGTGGCTGTTGCCGCTGGGGATTGGCCCAATCAGGGGCTGCCGCCAGCGATGAGGCTGCCAGGCATCAAGTGGGTGGTCTTCCTTCCATTCCCTGTCAGACGTGCGTGCCCGTGCCCCCTATCCAGGATCTGTCAGGTGGCCCATGCGCTGCCCTTCACTTTGGCGCCCGTTGGGTTACTGACCACCTTGCCGAGACATACAGTACGAATGCGCGCTTCTCATCCATCCCATGTGGCTGGGTTGAGAAGAAACCAAAATAAAAAGGAACTTCCCTGACACGGAGGATGCTTCCTTGATCCGGTACTTTCATACTCTTTCTGTCTACAGTTACACATATGAACAGACTGGAAACCAAACACGAATCTTCAGGTTCCAGCGACCACCTTCATTGAGACTGTCCGAGGGACAATAGCAAGACTTGCCATTGTCTCAAGTCATTCAGGCATTGGCCCCATGCAGACATGCGTGAGACAAAGCGCGAACTGTTGTGCAAGAAAGACGAAGGGGAGATCGAAGCAGTGGATTTTGGACAGACATGAGCTAGTCACATAAGTGTCGCGAGCAACCATGCGACAGACCTGGTCTCTGTATCACCATGTTGCAACAGCGCATCACCGCAGTCATAATCTGGCGCCGAGTGAACTATTGTCTTTGCAGCCTCAATGTCTCCAACAACGCGTCTGGCTGCCAGCCAACTTTGCAGAGCCAACTTTGCAGAGCGCGACACTTGACCGGGGAGACGAGCCAACACCACTAGAAAAAGCCTGGGGTAGACAAAAAAAAAAGACTGTCGGTCGTGTCTGCCTTCTTTCCGAGATATTGTTACCCCAGTCTTCTACCTAAGCTCTCATACCATGTTGGGTTCCATGCTAACCAGAGCCAGCATTGATGCGTCTCGTCACCCGTCTCACGTCAATCAGTGCAACGCGCCACATACCGAGGCTGTTCTCTAAGCAACAAAAGTAAAATCTGGTGGCATTCAATCGCGATGAGAGCAAAAAGAAATGGTCAGTATGAGGGTCGAACTCATGACCTTGGCATTATTAGTACCACGCTCTAACCAACTGAGCTAACCGACCATTCGAATTGATCGATGGCTGCTGATCGAGCGTGACGGCTGGCATAATATTCGCGCATTCTGCGCGGTTGAGGCTAGTTGCCGCGAGGTCGGAGGTTTCGCGGCCGCAGACAGGTACGGAGCCTCTAGTGCCGGCACACGGAATGTGGGCGGCGCTGCTACTGCCGCGGGGAGATAACAGACGAGTCAGTGGGATCGGCAGAGGCGTCAAACTGTCACTTGCTTCATGGCTGCCACCAAGGCAAGTGGCTTGCATTCATCACCAACATGATCCGTTTCGGGAGACGGAGACGAAATGAGTGAGGTATAAAGGGCGACAGTGGGGGTATCTCATGCTATCGTCAACGTACAGAAACCAGTCAAGAAATCCTTTGCCGGCAGTACACTATATTTCCGAGTCCGAGCGGCAGCCACCCAAACCACGCCGAAGACGGCGGCCTTTCGACGTCCGGGCCGGAATTTTTAACCAAGCCAAACTCCCTTTCCTAAACGCCATCCACGCAAGCCTGGCGTGCGTAAGCCGCAATGAAAAAAAAGAACACCATTCGCGTCTCGTTTGTGGGGTGCGCATCGACGCGAATCACACAACGAAACCCACGCGGACTTTAATCCATCCTGACCCACGCTTTCTGTTCAGGTACCCAACGATGTCTATCCCCGTTAGTCTATCCATGCCGCTCTGATCAGGAGAAAAAGGCTGAACTTACCCTGCCCACTCCGTTGCCACGATGCTCCTGTCGCCGTACTCCTCAATCAGGATGCGTTCGAAACTGTACGGAACAATCGCAGGCAACCCCTCGAATTCGGTCTGCCGCATAGGGAACAGGTCTGTCGTATGGTACCTGTGCGAATTCCGGCACGACCAGACGCCGGGGTTTTCAGGCAGTTCGCGTTCCGCAACCCCGGTGATGTCGACGAAAGCACCGTTGGCCATGTCGATCCAACGAGCATCGATGATGTTCAGGCCATCGCCACGATCGCGCTCGATGTGGTGGGGATTGATGTCGAGAAGGTAACGACTTGTATGCTGGCTGTTGTCCGTCCCGGTCCAGTTGTAGAAGTGCTCTGTACGGTTGAGGTTCTCGCCGACCCAGTCGAGAGTAGCCGCAGACATTTGAACATCCAAGTCGTAGTCCCAGGGCATGACCTGGCCATTCCACCACCAACCGAGGAGAGTCCCATGGGCCAACCAGGTCTCGACTTTGTTTTCAGAGCAGACGGTAAGGTAGGCGCGAATAAGGTTCCGGAGGACAATGCGATGCTCGTCGTAGCCGAGTGCCTGTTTGAAAAAGCGGGCATCGTAATGGCCTAATTCGAGAGAGCCAGAGGGTTCGTGGAAGTATTTGCCATCGCGGCGCTCGAGGCCTCTCTTTCCCGTCTTGGAATCTTGGTCGGGATATTGAAGTCGATAAGCTGTAGCAGTTGCCCCGAGAAGTACCAGAGTCTGTAACAAGGCGAAGAAGCGCATGTTGAATGGATTTGAGGATTGTCTGAATAGGCCGTCTCCGTCGTCAGCTAGTACAGCCGGGAGGTACCCCAGGTCAGGGTCGTGGTCGCTGGCAGCCGCGAAAGAGCCCGAGATACTCTTGGTACCAGTGATGTGATTCTTGTTGATCTTACGAAGGACGGCTCGATTTCGAAAGAAATGCGCTTTGAGAATATCATACAAAGGAAGTGATCGTCAGAACCTGTGAGAGGCGTGGAAATATTGATAAGGTCGAAAGATGGTGCACTGTTGACAACCAAAAGGACAAGAGGGCAGTAGGTCTACTTGAATGAAGTCATGGGTACAACTATGCAATGACAACATGAGCCCGATGTCCGAGGCCAAGAAACGCGCGTCTCGGATGGAAGTGGGTGCCGCCAAGTGAGTCAAGAAGAAAGGGAAGACCGGGGAAGCCTGGGTCTTGCGTCTCGTGGGTTTGGGCATGAGCCTGGGGAATAGCGCGAGCACGGCACTGTAATACCGGTTCGACATGGGGTACAGTGGCATCTTTGGCCCCTCGTCCTTGCTGATGTGCTGACCATTCCCTCAACACTCAAGTGGCCAGTTGTGTGCTCCATGGGGAGAGCACAGGAGGCTGTAAGATTGCGGCGGGCGCCGAATGACCGCCAAGAAGACAGCGTGAGGGCACATTGGATGAACATCATGTTGTGGGTGTCAGACGGCAAGCCGGCTGCTTGGCCAGTGGCGGCGGAGCTGGGCAGAGCAAAAGCTATGCCATGTCGGATGCCACGTACTTGGCAGCAAGTAAGGTACGAGACAGATTCTGAAGCGGAGTTTGGGCCTATAGAGGGGCAAGAGGGGGTAGTCCGGGACCGATAAGGTACATCGGGGGTGTCCACCGCCAGCCAGAGGAAAGGGCATGATTTTGGTCGCCCTACGTCAAGGCTCTTGGGTGGTCGTGTGTGCCTGCCCTCAATGCGGTTGAGATGACAGGGGATGCAGGAGCGTTGGGATTTCCTATGTACACGCGGAAAGCGGGACGTGGGGCTGTTCCGAATTGCGTAGGTAGTGGTCGTGTGTTGCTTCCCCACCCACATGCCGAGACACTCAACCCCGGGCCCTCGGCGCCGCTAGGGCCCTTGTTCCTGGCAATCCAACGTCAAGGCGCGCCTCTCTCGAAGCATCGCGTCTCTGTTTCGCCGCACCACACGATATTTCCCTTCAAGTTGAGAATCATCACTCCGATGAACTACTTTTTCGAATGAAAGCTATTTTCAGTTCATCGAACAGTCTCCATCGTATTGGTGCCTTGGCAAACAGTGTTCCAATTTTGGAATTACCCTTCTTTACCAATCATGATAACCCCCAAGACCTCCGGGTGGAGGCGGTGTCAACTGCGCCAAAAATCCTCTCTGGGGCCAAGAGTTCTCCTGAAGCCTGCCACAGCATTCACCTTCCCGCGTCCCCGCCACGACAAGCCACCCCGCTGGCTGCAGACAGAATGACGCCAGCATCTCTGACGGCTCGTGACCTCTGTGCTCTTCGCGTTGGACGCCAGTGCGCGCGCGCGACATGGAACTCGGCGTGTCCTCCAACCCCTGTCGATAGAGGGCAGCAAGTCATTCTCAAGCCGAATCCGAGGCGCGTCTTACTAATATCCCAATCAGATACGCCGAATTTACTGCCGGTCTTCAGAAGGTCTTGTGATGACGGACCGATTGAAGCCATGTGCGTATTGAAGCTTTGCCCGACAGCCGCCGTTGCATCCATCTGTTCAGATGATTCCATTTGCTGCTGGATAATCTGCGATTGGTGACCGCCCCGGTCGAATCCTTGAGACAAACTTGGAAGACGACGTTGCATTCGAGTACACGGCACTGGTGATTAAGAACCAAATACGGTTCACAGGGAGTAACAGCGCCTGTTCAGTAATCTTGCCGGGTGGCGGTTTATCCTGGTGACCATTTGTCAAATGCCGCTTCTGCCGGCAACCCCGGACGAACCCTTCCACCCCTGCTGAATACAAAAAGCCACTCCCTTTCAGTATTGTATCGCACAACTCCCGATTCCGCACTTGCTGGTAACACAATCCAGGCGGCAACGCGGAATCGAGTTGTCAGTCGGCCCACGCAATGCCCCTCCTTTTCATGGCATTTTAAGCCGTTCAAATTGGTTGCACTGAAGAAAACCAGCTTCTTTGCATCACGAGATATCATCATACTGGAGACCGGAAGCGAGGTCTCCGGTAGGACATTTACGGAAACGTTCCACTCCACTTCCAGCAACAACGTCCTCTTTACCCCTGAGGCCAGGCACGAAAAGATGGTAATCTGTCCGCAAAATAGTGCCGCTGACGAAGAGGTTGATAAATGATTTATAGCAATAAGTTCGGCCGCGCCAGAAATTCGCTGCGAGGTCGGAGTCTGTTGCCGCGAGAACCGGACAGTAGTGTCTACTGGGCTAGCTGCATCTAAGACATTCCGCGCCGAGGCAATTCTCGACACAGCGTTGATATTGTAGATGAAATCGGGCCACTGACCGTGGCAGTCGTCCTCATGCCCTCGTGCTTGATCAAGTCTACAAAAAGCCCCTCAAGCCGATTCTCAACTTATGTCCGGAGGTTCGCTGGCAATCTAGAGGAGCAGAAGTCTCGGCCTGTTCAAGATGCTAAACTTATACTCGGGTGGTGATGTGGTCGCAAACGGTTTTGAAATACGGATGAGGAAGTGTGGCATCCCCTGGCATACTAACTTAGGTTTGGTTTGTTGGCCCTCGAAGCTTTGTAATACAAGCAGGGAGTACCACCAGTAATTTGGCTAGTCTCTGAAGGAGCAAAAACAGAGATTTCTAACGCTTTGCTTGAATAGCCAATACGTTAGATTGAAGACTGAGGGCTCGCCCAAATAATGTGCATGATGCTCCGTCCACCCAGTCGTGAGCGGTCAACGACAATGGATGCATAGCTTCGGACAAGAAGAGTGGCAAACTGGGTGATAAGTGAACTCGAAGTAAGACTGTCGATTGGGTCCAGGATGTCAAGCTTGTGGATCTTCGGGACGGAATGTTCGTATTCGAGCTTACATCTACACGCTTATTACTGGGAGGCAAAGACTATACAGCATCGTGAAGGGTCAAGTTGTTTCCCACCTCAAGTATGTTGGAATGATACGAAGAGTCGACCCGAAATAGCATCTCCCGACGTGATCATGACATTTCTGTAGAAAGTGCTTTGATAGGAGGCAGCCTTATTCGAAGAAAACGGGCGATGATCAATCTTGTTGGTCTGATCGAACAATGCTTAGTCGCTGTATTCAGCTGAAACGTAGCCCTATAGCATCCGCGTTGACTAGGGTTGCATCTGCCGATCTATAGTTGTGATACCGCGACACTGCCGCTGTCATCCTATGTGACGTTGTATACCGAGTATCTAGAAACACAAAACGTGACATAACTTTGGGCTGACTTTTCTTACATGACGCATTTTAACAAGTCACAGTTGACTTTTCCTCGAAACCCCGCACACCCACAGCACATCAGATTCTCTCCCTGAAATCGGCAATGAATGCGGATGCACACATTCCATCAATTTAGCAGAAAGGGGCAGAAACACAAGGAGTAGACTTTCGCAGGGTATCCAACCGGGGCAAACACCGCCTATCATCGGATGAAAGCTTTGAACAGCCATAGATCTTGACCGCAGAAAATCGTGTTACACGAAACCTGCACGAGCCAGACACGGGTTGTACTTGCATGCGCCCGCGCGAACTGTCTTACATCAAGGGCACTTGTTTGCTCCGCGACGTGGAGACACCCCGGAGACGGCCTTGCATGTTCGCAGCCCATGTGTGCCATCTACAAAGCACGGATCACTTCCATGTCTTTAGGGGGCATATCTCGTACAAATCCCAATGGTTGATGTGCCGCAACGACTCATTTTGGTACCATGCAAGTGCTTAGGGAAGTTCTCACGAAAAGAAAACGCCCGTGAAAAGCTTCCTCACCGTCAGAGGGTAATGATACAGCCAGAAGGCAGCGACGTTATCCTCCATCATCATGCTCTCTCCCGAATTTGCCTGAAAACCAGCCTCTAAATGTAAAAGAAGCGATCCAATCCACAAACGCCACCGCAATGCCATATCAAGAAATGTCGTCATACCACAATCACATCTGTACTGTCCGTTCGGCACAAGCCTCCACATGCCGTCTTGACGGCCCAGTTCAGAGCCGCACGATTACATCGAGGCAGTCTATCCTCCACTCTCTCTTGCCCAGCAAACTGCGCAGCCACTCGATGCCGAGACCAGTCCACTCCTGCTTGCGACGCGAGAACTCGTCCGCTGCTGCACCGGCCAGGGCGCTCGCCGTTGTGTTGAGGACCTCGACCGTGGCGTTGAGCGCGTAGGTGTCGTTGCCGCTAAAGTCGGGCAATGTGGATGGCGGCGCTCGGGGCTGGAACCAGTTGCCGCTGAAGTCGAAGAAACAGCGGTCAGACCAGTTACAGGAGGTGAAGAAGAGGATGAGCAGCAGGAAGCTGCAGTAGACGCATGGCCTGTTGAGGAAGTATGTGCAGACGAAGAAGAGGAGGATGAAGGCCGGCGAGGCGTTGGTCGGGATGAAGAGGAGGGGGAGCCAGCTGAGGGAATCGAGTGTCAGTCGCGAGTCGTAAGCGTGAGTGTATGTATGTGTGCGTGTGTGAGTCGGGCAGGGATGGCGAGAGGATGACGGGTGCGATTCAGGGGACAAACAGCGGCAGACAGGACTGACGAACCGCATCGTAAGGAGGGGGAGGGGGGAGGAGAGTTGTCGCTCACCTGCGCAGACAGAACATGGCGATCACAGGACGATGCCACTTTTCTCTCGAACCAGCCAAGCGGCGAGAGTTGGTGATGGTGGAGGAGGGTGAATTCGTTGGTTCCCGATGAAGCGGCTTTGTACTGCCAGAATGATGCGAGTGTCCGTGGCGAGGTGGCTGCGGGTTCGGAAGCAAAGGTGGGTTGACTTATTATTCTGAGGAGGCAGCAACGTCAAGAGGCAGGCATCGCTGACGGAGACTTGACAGGATCGGCAGCCGCGATCTGGAGGGGCCCGTGCACGAGCAAGGTGACCATTGCTAACAACCTAACTGATTGATTTCCTTGCTACCTGTACTGATCGATCACCTTTTGCTACCTACCTCGACTAAGGTAGTGACTGCACCTTGCCTTGCCTTTATTTACCGAATCATATACATCTCACGGCACAGAGGCGCAGGAATTCACCACTGCCGTCTGCAGTAGTCGTTTGTCCCTATTTAAGCTGGCAGCCGTGGTTTCGACATATCTTCTCATCGATCGACAACGACACGACGAGGCTACTACCAGATTCGGAAGCCAGGCAGTCGCATCGAGCTTACCTAAGGTACCTTATTAAGGTAAGGTAAAGTAAGGACAAGTAAATCGTCGGGTTCCCGACTTTCAGGTATGTGACTCTTCAGCAGCCCTTGGAAACCTTCAATCTCCCTCTTCTCAGCATCCCTTCCTCCATTCGAATTGCCAACTCACCAGCAGTCGCACAGGTGCCCAAGCACCTGATTATCCAATCAGGTTTGGGTGACTTCTGCTCCATCGGTCTTCCGCCGTGTCGGGCCTGGCCGTCCGACCTTCCGCCCTCTGGCGCCAGAGCTTCTGACTGGTCCAACGCCAGTTCCCTACCTTTCCTTCTCTCCTTTGACCCAATTCTTGCGTTTGCCCATTCTCACCGCCTTCCACCTCTGTCCTTCACCGCGTCACACCCTTGCTCTTTTCGCTGCAGGGTTGATGAGCTGGCGGCCACCGACTACTTACGGTTGGGCTGAGATTCGATCCCGCTCCTGCCAGCCTCCCCCGTTACCATCGGTTAGGTTAGGCTGATCTGCCCAAATTTCGTCGCTGGCTTCTGCCGACCGCGAAACAAAAACCACATCGTCACCACTTCACCACCTCGACGACGGAAGGGTGTTCTTGTTCAATTCTCGCCCGCCCCTTTCGTCCATTCTTCACATTGCCCATTCGCGTTTTATCACAATCTCAAGTCGCACCGACATGGTGTCGCCTTTGCCACCTCCAGCTCCGACTCCTCCCACCGGCGCCATGGTTCCTCCCACTGGTGACCGCACTTCCAACCTGCTGAACTTGCTCAAGTTCAGCGGTGCTGGCGGCCAGCCGTCGCAGGCTCAAGCCCAGACTTTCCAGCAGAGTCAGGACTCGTTCCAGCACTTTCAACAGCACCAGCCGCAGCCGCAGCCGCAGCCGCAGCAGCAGCAGCAGCAGCAGCAGCACCCTCTCCAGCACCACCAACAGCCGCATCATCAAGCTCAGCATCAGCATCAGCACCAGGCAGGTCCTGCTATGCAGGCCCCTGCTCCTTTCCGAACGCAGATCTTGGCCCCTGCCCCTTCGTCGCAGGACCCTAGTGGTCTCCTCCGTGCTCTCATGAGCGGAAGCCACGAGAACGAGGAGCCCAAGCAACACGATACTCCGCCGACCGCGACCTTTGGTGCTGCGTCGCCGCCCGACGAGACACGCACTTACCTGCTTAATCTCCTCAACCGCCCGAAGCCCAGCCAAAACGATCAGCCTCTCCTAAACGAGGGCTCTCGCCACGGCAGCTTCCAGCAGTCGAACGAGTCACCTGTCGATACCTCCAGGCATCTGCACCAGGTTCTGGACAACGCATCGCAGGGACAGAGTTCGTCGCACCTATCCCAGCACAACCAGTACGAGACCTCCGACAGGCATCACTACGAGCAGCCTGCCGCCGGCTACGGCTCGTACTCGTTCCAACCCAACCAGGATGGTAGCATTCCTGTGTCTAGGCTGTTCGGCAACAGCTACAACAACTACGAGGATCACCAGACCCCGTCGTCACAGCACCATACCCCCAAGTCCAGCAACGCGGCTGTGCCCCACGCCCACTCGGCTGGACAGTCTCCCGCTGGACCGCCCTTCCTGATCCTGAAGAAGGGAGACGGCTCGCCTACGCCTCCAGGTGCAGGCCGCAAGAACATCAGCCACGAGCGGAGCCCTCTCGCTAGCCCCCAGAGCCTCCGCAGCCAGGCTGTTCACAGCAATGTGTCCCCTGCGGGTAACGCCATTGGCAATCCGACGCCCGGCTCTGCGGCCTCGCTTGCCAGTCCGGGCCGTGCTGATAGGAACCCGGAGACTGTCTCGGAAGCTATGCATGATCTTGCCGAAACGGCGGATCAGGAAGCTCAGGAGGCACTTGCCCGCGCCGAGGATGAGCCTGACCAATCTGATTACCTGAAGGACCTTGACGACTTGGATAACGCGAGGACCGAGCAGGAATTTGAAGATATCGCACAGCATGCTGCTCTAGCCATTAAGAAGGAGCTGGATCGGGCCGAGAACAGCGGTGCCCTCGAAAAGATCATGTCACCCGAGGCCGCTCTCGAGGTTCGTGAGATCGTCGAGGACGCCGCTGCCGGACACGCCGACCACTCCAATGAGGCAGCCGACGGCGTCGCTGACAGCTGGGAAAGTGCCGACCAGGATGAGATCGTCGTCATCGAAGAAGAGCCTGCGCAGCCTGTCAAGGTCTACAACTTCCCTATGAAGCCGTGGATCAGCATTCAAGTCAACGACAATGGCGACATTGAGCGTCCTCAGCTGCGTGACGAGGCTATTATGGATATCGCTCGCCTCAAGAAGGAGTTTGATCAGATCGACCGTAACCTTTACACGGCCACTGAGCGGTACATGGTGTACGGCATGTCCAAGGCCGGCGGTCTGCGCGTCATCCGCCAGGAAGATGGTAGAGATGCTAAGATCTTCACCGACACCAAGGACCGCATCTTCAACGTCGCCATGTCCTGCACCGCCCCTGACCACGACGGCGCGCACCGGGAGACCATCATTGGTACTGGCATCAGCGGCACCGTCTTCTGGGTGCAGATTCGCAATGGCGAAAAGGACCACATTGAGGATGCGAACCCTGAGCAGTATGGCTTCGCTCTTCCCCCCATGTCGTTCCACGAGGGAGACACGCCGGGTGGAGTGCTCAAGACTCGCGCCCGCTCATCCACCATCCACCCCGAGTTCTTTGCTGTTGGCCGCGGAAAGTCTATTAACATTATCTGGCCTTCGTTCATTATGCAACAGAACCTCTTCAAGCCTGGACACGATCGTGTCGTCGACACGGAGCAACTGGCTAAACAGTGTTCGTTGAAAATCAACACTGGCAAGGCTGGCAAGGACTTTACCTTCAGCCAGGACGATACCGTCATCGTTTCGCTTGACAAATCTGGTCGCGTCAAGTTCTGGGATGTTCGAGATCTCACCGCTGCCAAGGAGGGCAGCGACCCTCGCGCCCCTATCCCTGCGCACACTTCTCTGGAGGTCAAAGAGCCCATGTTGACCCTGACGAGTACGCCGGAAGGCGAAAAGGCATGGCCGACCTCGGTTCTCTTGGTGGATAAGCTCCGCCCCTACCAGAAGCGTTGCGCGCTGCGTTACATGATTATCGGCATGAAGCAAAACCACACACTTCAGCTTTGGGACCTGGCCCTCGGTAAGCCCGTTCAGGAGTTCAACCTACCACACAGCAAGGAGTCAGACGCAGTGTGCAGCGTCATGTACCACGCGCCTACCGGCATGTTGATCATTGGTCATCCAACACGCAATTCGATCTACTTCGCCCATCTTTCGGCCCCTAAGTATAACCTCAAGAGCGTTTCGCAGGTCGACTACATCAAGCGCCTCATCGACCATGACACCACCATTCCCCAGCCTGACTCGACCGCGGTCATTAGCGGTGTCCGCGAGTACTCATTTGCCAACCGGGGAATCCTGCGCAGTCTCGACCTGCTGTCCACCCCTGCCATGAGCCAAGACTCTGACGAGCCGACCTTGTTCGAGCTTTACGCGATGCACTCCAAGGGTGTCGCGTGTCTCTTGATCAAGCAGGCAGAGCTCGGCTGGTCAAAAGACAACAAGGTCCTGGCACCGGTCTCAGCTGTGGATGCTGGTGTTGTGAGCATTTCCAAGCTCAAGCCACCTCATGCCCTCCCGGCCGAGCCCGCCCATCAGGAGCCTGCACCCGCGCCTGCGGCCCCTGCTCGTTCCAACACCAAAGAGTCTACTGCGCACACTGCGCCATCTTCCCAAGATGAGACCGCCACGCGCCCCGCGGCTTCCTCCAAGAAGCAGGAATCCAAGGATGAGGACACTCCTACGACCGCTCCCGTCAAGGACGACAAGCCTGAGAAGGCGGAGCGTAAGGGTCGTAAGAAGAAGGCGGCCGCAGTCGCTGCAGCTGCCGCTCTGGCCGCCGAATCGCAGTCGCAATCCAATGGTGGCAGCCAGTCACCTCGTGTCACCCCCAAAGACTCGAAGACCGCCACCGCTGCTGTTCCTGCGGTGCCTTCTAGCTATGTGTCGATGGAGTCCATCGAGACCGTCATGAATTCTCTGACAACGATGGAGTCCCGTCTGAACAGCAGCTTCGCCGGTACCATCAATGCCGCCATCAAGTCGCTTCACACCAAGCTGGAAGACGGACAGCGCGAGCGTGAGAAAGACTTTGACCAGCATCAAAGGACCTTGTTGACCATGATCTCTGATGTTCTCAATGAGAACACCCAGAAAGTCTTGGAATCCTTGATCCAGGGACAATTCGACCTCGCTATGCCTACCATTTCGGACGTTGCGCGCAAGGCGGTCTCGGAGCAGTTCAGCTCTGGTACAAACCGCCAGCTGTCGCAGACCATTCAGAAGGAGATCAACAAGAGCCTTCCCTCGGCAACACAGCATGCTCTGCAGAGCACCGACTTCATCAAGGGACTCTCGGACCGTGTTGGGTCCACAGTCGCTGCGAACGTCCAACGCGAAGTTGTCCACTCGCTGACCAGCCAGATGTCGACTGCTTTCACCACGATGGCTACCACAGCTTGCCAACAGGTGGCCGACGATTTACAGCGTCAGCACCACGCCGAGATGACAGCACTTCACGAACAGCGTGCTGCTGATAGCAAGAAGATCGACGAGCTGCACACTGCTTTCGCGCAGTTGACCAGCATGGTATCTGGCATGGCAGCCACACAGGAGCAGTTCCAAACCGAGTTCATTCGCTTCCAGCAGCAGACGACGAAGAACCCTGGGCCCTTGCAGCAGCCGATCCCTGCTCAGCAGCACCAGCTCCCACCGGCTATACAGGGCCAGGAGTATGGGCCGCGCCACGGCCAGGGACCTAGCCAGGTCCACAGCCAGGGCCTCACCCAGATGCAGCAGCAGGTTCAGCGAATGCAGGAGCACATGCAGCAGCAGCAGCAGCAGCAGCAGCAGCAACAGCAACAGCAGCAGCAGCAACAGCAGCAGCAAGGCAGCCAGCACTACGGTTCGATGCAGAGCCCCGAGGCATCGCAGCACCGTTCTGTGGGCTATCAGCAGTCCCAGGCGTCTTCGCACGGACATGGACAACACGGGGCTCCCTACCAGCAGAGTCATGCCAACTCGCAGGCCCTCACCCTCGCCAACCAAAGCCAGGGCGAAGAGGAGTTTGACCAGGAGCTGGCTGACTGCGTGGCTCGTATTGACGGTCTTATCAAAGCAGGCAGGACTGAAGATGCCCTGCTTCGCTGGCTGCAGTCGGGTCGTGAGCAGTTCATCTTCGACCGACTCATGAGCAAGTACAGCCCGCAGCTGGTTCTTGATGGCATGCCTGGTCTGCTCCTCCTCACAATCGCAACCACGATTTGCCAAAGCCTCGACTCTGTTACCCGTGAGCGTGTTGCCTGGCTCGAGGTGGTCGTTCATAAGATCAGCACCGATTTTGACAATATGGTATGTTTTTCTACGTCTACTAGCATGCTCGAGAACAGAATCTGACCATATACAGGAGGCCGATGCTCGCGCCATCACCCCCAAAATTTTCCACCTCATCATCACCAATACGGAGAACCTGTTTGTTCGGATTAGCAGCACTCGTGGCAACGATCCGATCCTGAAGAACCTCTCCCAGATGATGGGCGTTGCCAAGCGCACGCTTGAAACCCACAGCACTCGCCATTACGGCTGAGTTTTCCACACGGCAGGCGAGCTTGTTGTCTCGCAATTTGACGACATGACGATTTCTAGTACATAGAGAGGCATCCCTGCAGAAGGAGCTTAACCAAGCTCGACATAATCTGGAGCTGATAGGTATGCGAGTCGAGGGTCACCATACTGGCCCTTTTCTCGCACCCATTGGGAGCCAAGGTAATGGGCCACGGTACATACCGCACACGCGTGGGGAAAGGAAATTGGGTTACTTTTAGCCTGGGGGGATTGTGAATTCCCGGGTGTCATGGGCACGCGCTGGAGTAGCATGGATTGCGAGGGGTCAGTTGATTTTTTCGTTTGCGTGTCGATTTGTTGAGTACAGTGTATGGAGTACGGAAAACAGGGGTTGCCTTGGCTAGGTAGCTCAACTGCGATCATATTACTTGCGATTCTACTCTGGTGAATGACTCGCGATCATGGTGCCCAGCGAATCTCTAAGTATGTCGCAGTGTAGACGGAATCTAAGGGGACCAAATGCAACGCTTGCTATGCTGATAAATCCTCAAATCGAAAGAAAACAGACGCGATCAAGACGATGGTCCCGAATCTGGCCTTCCGCCGTCCGGCCTGTCCATATTCATCCTTTTCAACCTCTCTTCGGCAGCCTTGGCGAGTATCTCCCGCCGACTGAGCCCCTGACTCGGTGTGCTGCCGCCGCCGACAACAAACTCGCCGCCCTGCCAGCCGCCGTGGTCGTCGACGTCCTCGTCTTCGTCCCCGTCGCCGCCCCTCGCCGGCGCAGTGTAGCCGCCGCCGCCAATGGTGTGACCGCCGCTGCCGGCCTCGACCTCGTGCTCAATCTGGCGGCACAAGGCCCAGAAGTCCTTGTCATGGTCGCTGTGGACATTGTGCGCGAGCTCGTGGCACAGGGTGCGGCGGATGGTCTTGTAGTCGCGGTAGCCGTCATGGGCGTCGGTGCGCAGGCGCAGCTCGATGACCTCGCCCTTGTTGCGGTTGAGGCCGAGCAGGCGCGTCGTGCCCTCGTGGGTCGAGGACGTGTTGGCGAGGGGCTCCATCTCGGTGAGAAGCTGAACGGTGAAGGCGTGCTTGGCCATGCTGGCGCGGATGCCCGGGTCGGCCTTGAGGCGGTTCAGCAGCGCCAGGCTCTGTTCCGGGTGCGGCAGGAAGGGCAGCGGGCGGACGGTGAGGAAGGTGTAGGTCGATGATGACGAGGACAACGACGACAGGGTCGAGTTGGGGTTCGAGGTCGGTCGGGCGCTGGCAGAGGGGCGGGCGCGGCGCGCTGCGGCGCGGGAGGCGGCGCGCGCGGAGGCCAGTTCGGAGGCTGCGTGGAGGGAGGCGAGCTCTGCTGGCGGCGGGGCGAGGAGCTGGATCTTGGTGGACTGGAGGGGCGAGAGGGGGAGTGGGTTTGCGAACGGAGGCTTTTGGAGGCCGTGTTTGGGGATAAGGAGCTTCTGGGTGGCGTGGGGTATAGACATTTGGTCGGCGACGGCGTTGGATAGGTCGGCGAGGGTTGCTGAGGGGTCAAAGTCAAAGGTGTAAGGTATGTTGCGGTGCGTGATGGTGATGGTGATTTCTGATGTTGTGGCGTCGGAGTCGTAGGAAGGGTCCGGCATCCTCGGGGATGCCGCGTTGAAGTCGGCCATGACTTTTGGTTCTGCGTTATGTACCTAGGTAGGTAGACTGGGTATTCGGTGTTGTGTTGTTTGGTGATGCAATCCTGGGCAAGTGCGACGGTGGTCTTTTGTGATGTTGATGTTGAAGTTGAAGTTGAAGATCCACGCCAAAGGTGCCCCTCTTTCAAAGGCAGGCAAGGCAAGCAAGTCAATGGCGCAACCACATACTTAAATGATGGCGACAGAAATGCGCCGAAGGGCTGAGAACATCGTCCTACCGACCTTACATAGGTAGGCGAACATGGGCTCTCGTCTGTGCCAGGCAACTGCGCGGCTTAGAAATCGACGTCACGACCTCAGACCCTTGAACCCACCGTACGGACCCACATTGAAGCGGCCCCTCCGGGCTTCCGAACCAAAGCCCTCCTGGATTCGGAAGTCGGTGGTACTTAACGCCGATGTGATTACCTCAGCTCCAGATTCCAGGGAGGCCTGTGGCCTGTGGGTCTGTACGCGGGTGGGTGAGCGAGGGAGAGTTAGGGGGGAGGTCTCACCTGGAGCTCGTACCCGGCTAGCGGCCCGTCTCCCTAGGAAGCCCCAGTCCAGGCCTCACCAGTGACAGTAGGTAGGTCACCTCAGGCAAGGTACCTTACAGGACGCTGACCCAATCCAATCAGCTCCCTAATCGCGTTTCGTGTCCTTTCAAGTGTCCCTTCGATAACCCATCACGTCGAAGGCTTCAACACGCCGTACCAGTCATTTTCAACAACCTCAAATCGCCTGCGCCGTCCTTCCTCGACGTTTCTCGCTGCTCCTCAAAGCAGCCAGCGCCCCGAACACGTTGTCCATCACTACCTGAAGCCGCCCCAGGGGCAACCCCGACGTCATCATGTTGAACATTTTCAGGATCCTAGGTATGTGTGCCTTGTCCCTTGAGACGCTCTGCGCATCGGAGCGCGCGCCCAAGCTTCATCCCGCGCAGGCCACACTAGGGCGACGAAGCTGACGATGCAATCTCTGCAGCGGATCTCTCGCATCTGGCGAGCATTATCATCCTCCTCCACAAGATGGTCCAGCTGAACGTACGCAAGATCCCGTCTACCGTCTACGACGTCCCCTCATCAGCCCACCATGATGGCCATGCCAGCTAACTCTGTGCCTCCGTCCTTGACAGAGCTGTTCCGGCATCTCGTTCAAGTCTCAAGCCCTCTATCTTCTGGTCTACGTCACCAGGTATCTTGGTACGCTCGCCTCTGCCGCCCTAGCAACTTCTGTCGCTGCTGCTGTCGCTGCCTCAGCAAGCCTCTTTCCAGACATGCCAGCTAACATGTCTAGACCTCTTCACGACCAACACGGCCTACAATCTCCTCTTCAAGCTCATGTTCATCGGCTCTCAAGGTTACATCATCTACCTCATGACGACAGCCTACAAGCCGACCAACGACGCCAACCTCGATACGTTCCGCGTCCAGTACCTCCTCGGCGGCGCTGCCATCATGGCCCTCCTCTTCCCCTACTACTACAGCTTCTTCGAGATCCTCTGGGCCTTTTCTATCTGGCTCGAGGCCGTCGCTATTCTGCCCCAGCTCTTCATGCTGCAGCGCACCGGCGAGGCCGAGACCATCACCACCCACTACCTCTTCGCCCTCGGCAGCTACCGTGCCCTCTACATTCCCAACTGGATCTACCGCTACTTCACCGAGCCCCGGCACAAGGTCGATTGGATCGCCATCGTCGCCGGCATCATCCAGACCGTCCTCTACAGCGACTTTTTCTGGATCTACTACACAAAGGTCCTCAAGGGCAAGAAGTTCAAGCTGCCCGTGTAGGCTTTCGTTTCTTTGGACAAAAGAAAATGCCCACGTGCCGCCCTACCTACCCAATATGCGGAAGGAAGGCTGGGTTTTCTTGCGCGAGGCCTGGTCCGGTCTTGCGCCAAGATCCGTCAGGGCACATTCTTCACTAGAACCCGCTGCTGTCTCGACACTTGGTGACGAGCCTCGAACGGGGGGGTGGCAGCTTTTGATTTCTTAGGCCTTCCTTTTCCCTCAAAAAGGGGGAAGTGAGAAGGGGGAAAAGAGGGAGGTCGAACCAAGGAGAAAAAACAAAACACGTAGGGAGCCGTACGATCGAATCGAATCAACGAGAGAGGTCCGCCGCTCCTCCCTTCGTATAAATGCGAATTGTACGGTAGGCGTTGGGAAGGGCGGGGCGCGGCGGGAAAAGGGGACACCATGGTTTCATCAAGAACCGGGACGAAACGAGAAGAGAAGTGAGAGCGTAGATTTGTCTATTTTTCTTTTTGTTTTTCCTCGCCTCCCTTGGCCATGGTGGTGACAACGGGCTTGGAGGAGCCCCCCCCACGCGTTCTCTATCTCTTTCTCTCGCGCGCGCGGACAGGCAGAATCCAAGATGGATACATAGACGAAATGCAGTGTACGATTTCAACATTGACAGTGAGTGGCTGCCGTGGCTGTCTTGTCTCGCGGCGACACGGAGCTGTGGCCTTCTTCGCCGTGACGTGACTGCAGCGCGCCAGGCAGCCGCGGGCCTGGTGCTTGGCTCGTCGCCTTGCCAATGGGCCTCGGTGTCTACCAATATTTCTAGCCAACGTCCCTGCGTCGCGCGGGCCGCCTTGACTTGAGGTAATCGAGCAGTAATCGAGCACTGATTGCGCGTATTTCGACCTGCCCATCCACGATCAAATATCGACAGTCAGAAAACGTCACGACGGGAACTTGCGGATGGGAGGTGGCAAAGTCGAACAGTACACATCGGCATTCCAGCCGACGGCAGGCAAGATAGAAAGACGCGAATATCCTGGCTAAGCCAACCCATCAATTCCAACCCGTAGGCTCATACCCCGTATCGCGTATAGCTCATGTCTCGTCCATCCTCCGTCATCATCGTACTTCATGACCACGCTGTATATCCAAACTCCGAACACCCGATACCGAACACCGTCCGTCCCGAAACCCAAGCGCCGATGAAAACCAAAACCCCCCAGATGTGAAAACAAATTCTTTTCCTGTTCCCCCGCGTCTCCCCGCAAAGCAACACTGCTCTCAAACACCGTGCTCACAGCTCCCGCCACGCCCACTCCTGCGCAACTGTCGGCTGCTGCACGGCCCGCGCCTCCTCCCCAGACAGCCACGCCCGGCATGCCTCGTAATGTGAATATTCTTTCTCCTGGTTGCGCGACCAGAACATGCGGCTGTCCGCCACGTCGAGAACACTTCGGCCTGCAGCGTTGCGTGCGTGCACGCTGGCTCCGCGCTTGACCAGAGTCCGCACGGCGAGCTTGCGTCCGCATCGTACAGCGACGTGCAAAGCGGTCTCGCCCTGGCGATTGCGGGCCTCAAGCCGGGCGCCGTTGTCGATGAGCTTTTCGAGTATGACGACCGGTCCCTTGTGGTCACCGTCTTCGGGGAGGCGGGCAACAAAGGCCATGAGAGGAGTCGTGCCGTCGTGTGCATAGTGGTTGGGGTCAACGCCGCAGGCTAACAGGTTGTGTAAAATGTCGGCGCGGACGTTGAGTCGGCCGCGGGAGGCGTCGGAGAGTTTACGGTCTGTACAGGGCGTGTTGAGGCGGCGCTTACGAGGGTTTGGGTGGGCGCCAGGCGAATGGGAGCCTGGAGGCGGCGTGTTGTATTTCGCGAGTAATGTGTCCTCGCTGAGGATGGCAGCAGCCAGACAATGCAGGCCATTTCTTCCTTTGTGGTCCTCGAGGAGAGGCTTCGACTGAGAGTGACGCACGAGCTCCATCAGGCGAGCGTTCCGAAGGGCCTGGAAGGTGGCTTCCTCAGACAAGGATGGCGGCGGAGCAGACGCAGCGGCTGGTATGCCTGATGGATCTTGTAGAGGGGGCGTCTGGCTCCACGCAGTGAAGCGATCGCCGTTGGGAGCGTAGAGATGCCCATTGATGATCGGGGGTGCACCAGGGGCCGAGCCGAAGGCGTCGCGGCGGTGGTAGCTTTGGCTTTCGAAACCATGAAGGAAACGGTTGAGGAGAGTCTTATTGTCGACCTTATCCTCGAGCAAGTGAAAAATGCTGCGACCGGAAGCATCGCAGGCGTAAATGTCATGCCCGCCTCGGTCCAGCGTCTTCAAGAGATGTACGAGCTGGTTCGTGATTGTCGAGCTGCTGTACCAAGAGCTGCCCAGCAGGTGCAAAAAAGTCTCGCCGGCACTGTTCGTCGCCAACGGGTCGGGCGCTATGGCAATGGCGTCGGTGATGCGGCGAAGCGGGCCGTCTCGGGCTGCGAGAAGGTGAAGATACGTGTTGCCGAAAGGATCGCGTGCTTTGATGTTGGGCGTCGCAGCAAGGCCATGCAGGAAGACATGTTCAGCATCACCAGAGACTCCGTGTTCGTGGACCCAGTGCTCGGCGGTCAACTCGTCCCTGGCGTAACAGTAACATGATCTGAAGTCGTGCTGGTCGATGCCGGGCAGACAGCCAATTTGTTGTCGGAGCTGATGGTCGAGGCGGAGAAATGAACCCGGGCGCGGGCGGAAGTCGATCGGTAGTCGATCGCTACCTTCGTCTTCCTCCAACCAGGGACTACTAGACATGTCGGAATTGCCGGAGTGAGGTGGTGCGGCAGTGTCACCGCCTTCGGAAATAACGGTGATCTGAGGCATCATTGTGTATTGCTTGGCGACGCGAGTGACCAAGCGGAGTGCGGTGCGCCCCAGCTCCGGTAGAGCCTCCCGAAGAGAGCGAGATGACATCTCGGTTGAGGTGGAGAGAACGGTGGATCGTCGGAGAAGAGCGGCGGCGGACAGGCCAAAGTCTGGTGGCCCAGAGACGGCAGAGGGATCAGCTTGAAAAAGGTTCACCTCTGTTTTGGCTACAGCGGTCAGGGATGGCGTGTGGCTCGACGGCTCTGGCCAAATGCCGAGCCCTGTTGTTCGGTTGCTGACCACGACCATGTTTGACTCGGCTTCAATGGCTTGGTCAACGCTGTCGTGCGAAGAAACGTTGGAGGAGACTGAAGGCGCATGGGCGCGAGCCAAGGGGCTTCTGGGTCCATAGCGGCGAATAGGGGCATGAGCAAGGCCATTGACGCGAAGTTGAGCATCACTGATGTTTTTAGGGCGGAGCCAACGTGGTTGCTTGTCGAGGTTGGAGCTAAGCTTCTTGTTGGTCGAGTCCTTGCCGGGACTTTCATCAGTGTTGGAGACACGAAGCGCTTCGAGGGCTTTGCGGATCTGTGTCATGCTGAGGGTGGTATAAGTGTACAGGCGTGTAAGTTTACGCTCGCCAGACTTGTTCCACATGGAGGGGCGACCGATGCCAGCAGCATCGGCACCGACTCCAGCGCCGTCGTTTGGCGGCGATGCGAAGGAGCCAGGCTCCGAGTCGGACTCCATGTTGGGAAGGCGAGGTTCGCTGTTGGACGTGCGAGCCAATGCGATGGTGTAAGTGGGAGACCAGCGTGTCGCGAAGATGGGGGGCCTACTTCAGTAGAGTTCAACCCAGGGTGATCACAAATGGAGAGGACGGGATAGTGAGGCTGGAAGTCGTTCGGAAGAGTAGGGTGGCGGGTCACACGGGTTATAGGAGCCTTGAATCCCACGGAAAGGTGACGGAGGTCTACCTGTGTGTGTGCGCGCGCTTGTGTTTGAGCGTGTGTGCGTATGGATGGTTCGGCGCTTGCTGACGAGACGGGGGAGGCCACCGGGGTGTGACCTACGACTGGGTTGGTTCCTCTGTCAACCCGTTGTGAATGGATGCGTGATTCGGGTAGTCTTGACCAGTGATGGAAGATGTATGGTCGGGCTCGAAGGCCAAGGCCTGGATCCATTCCCAGAACTGGTGCGCGACCCGCGACCCACGAGGCAAGCAGCGCCATGAAGAGGGGGGTGGGCGGTGGTCCTTGGAGGGAGAGAGGGGCATGGGGGCCAAAAAAAGAGCTGGGAGGATTTCGAGATGTTCAGCTTTGGGGGGGCCGCAAGGTGGTACGAAAGGTTGAATAATGGCCGAAAACCATGGACGACCCTGGCCAAGTGGCTGACCTGTGACTGGGTGATTGAAAAGCGAGAGGGGCTGGCGAGGTCAATGGAACTGGAAGAAATGACCAAAGTATGGCCTGTTACGATGCTGTCAGGGCTGTCTCTCTGTCGTGTGGTAGGTCGTGGTGCGGACAGGGGTGATTGAGCCTTGTGCTGGCTTGCTGCGCCTTGCTGCTGGCAGCACGCATGCCGTCTTGTGCAGTGCAATGATGCGACAACTGAAATGGCGGGGAGATAATCCACAACGGAACTGGCCAGTTGACTATGGCGTCACAGAGAGATACAGAGACATGAGCACAGCCCGGAGGCCTGTGATCCGTGATCTGTAAGATGTGTCGAGAACCAATCCAACAGACCACTGCCTCTCTTCTTCCGTCTCTCTCATTTCCGAATCAAAGGAGTCATGGTGACGTTTCGTCCGATGGTGTTGCGTGATTGTAGGCAACTTGACGTGGCCCGCTGTTGTTCGAGTCACCTTTGTCCAGTTTGCTGGGACTGGTCATTTGCCTGCCGCTATTGAAGAGGAAGAAGAAGCTTTCTCACGACATCAGAAGCTCGGGTCTGTCAAGCCAGTCAGGACAGATGGGCCTTCATGTCTGTCTCCGGTTCGTTGCAATGTATTGCATCGCGTCTGCTGGCATCACTTTGGTATCCTTGACCAGGTCGAGTGAAGTGGACCAGACTCGATCGACAATCATTAGTCTGGCAACGAGACGGAGCGGAAGTGATGGATGAGTGGTAGTGCACAGCCACAGTGAAGCCTCTAGGGTAAGGCAACGAACAGCCCGAGCCGTTCGGCCCGCAACGACATGAAGTGGTTGGACTCTCGAAGAAGGCACTACGGGCTCGAGCATGGGTTGGTTGTAGGGCGGGGAGGGATCCTGCCTCCTCCTCTGCCTGCCCTGCCCTGTCCCTCCCATTCACCTGCCCTGCCCCTCCCATTCACCTGCCCTGTCACTGTCAGTTGCTGCCCCTGCCTACGGTAGGTACAAAGGTAGCCCGCTAGTTCCCGGATGGGCGGCATGAAACAAAGAAACGAACAACAAGGCATTGTATTCTCAGCCGCTGTACCTACATCTTACCTAGCTAGCTAGCTACCTAGGTACATGTACGTGTAAGAAGGCAATAAAGGGTACCTATGGTAGTTTCTCTACTTGCCTTTGGGCTCTGGTCCTGTTCGCTTTGGGATGCACCTGCTTCCATTGGCACGCCTGGATGGGATGGGATGGATGGCTCTGATGAAGGCAAACATGGCCGTTCCTGCCCAAGCTCACCCCCCTTCCTTTTGCTTCCCGAGACCAGGAAGGCAGGCAGGCAGCTACCTTAGAGAAGGTAAACTACCGACATACCTGATATCTTACCAACCTAGGCACAGTACCTTCATTGCAGCATGATGGACGAATAAACTTTTTGTCCACACCACAACCATCGGCAAGACTGTCGTTGACTTATCATTCAGCCGCCTTGCCTGCAGCGACACGTACACACACACACGCTCTCTTCATCGTACGACGGATTGCGAGGCATCAAACCGGGGGAGGAAAAAAGAAAAAAAAAGGAAAAAGGAATCCGGTTCGGCGACGGCCCTTGACGGCCCTACGATACTCCCGACCTGTCCTGCCATTCCCACTTCGGTATCTTGTCATCTCCAGCAAGCGACGCCATATTCCACTTTCATCCCAGCGAATCTGATTTTCGCGGGTCGTATGCTTGGCCATTTGAAGATCGACCGCCCACCAATCCGGAAGATCACCAACCCACTGTGTCATAGCGATTCGTTCCCCGGCAACAACTGTACAGCGTTCCAATCATCCATGGCCGCGCAGCACTGCCTTTCGCCATGCCTGACTTGTGACCTGCAAATCATCCAAACCAGCATCGCCACAAATTTGAATCCCACCACGCGCGCCGCACCTGACGAACGACCAAGCACGAATCAATCAAGCACGTCAACACGCTTTGCATTGCTCGACCATGCCGTTCGTGCCAGAAAGCAAAGCAAACCAGCCGAGATCGGCCCCACGTCACCGAAGTTGAATGGTTACCGAAATTCTTTACCGCGACATGAAAGCGGTCACGGGCTCGATGGCGCGTATTCTTCCAGATTGCGGCGCCGGTCAAGCCAGGTCATCGCGCGCCGAGACGATGCGCTGAGGCCAAATCTTTACCACCCAGTCAACCGCCCTGTTTAATCTTGACCACCCTTTGACACCTCCTCCAGGCCCATCCTTGACCCCACGCAACGAATACCTCCATCCTACTAGCCTAACCCATGTCATGAACTGATGTCGTACAGAAATTCTGGACCCGACCCCGGAGACGGCGTCTTTCCCACGAACCACGCCTCGAAACATCAAACACACCGACGCCTTCAACGACCGCCTTCTTTCGCGGAGAAAAAACCCTGCTTTCCCGGGCCCGTAGAGGCGCGTTGCGGGATGAGCTCCCCTTTCCTGCCAGGCCCTTGCTGGTGTCATGCATGACTTTCTTACTCTTCTCACCCACCCCCATGCGATTTTGTCATTCGCCAATACGCAATCAGGGGATCGTGAGTCGCCACCCACCACTTGCGCAGCAGTTTTGTAGTATCTGGTCTCATCATCCGCATGCCGTCCGCCCTTTTCTGGTTCTGGCTTGCCATGGATGGCGTAGTTCGCCGAATACATTTCGGTGACAGTCGGAAGCTGTCGTCAAGTGACGGACCACTGCTCACCCTATTGTCTACTTCCATGTCGGGGATGCGACTGAACAATGACGCTGGTAAATACGCTTCACAACGCAGAATCCAAGGTGTGCTTCGTTCCCTCTTCGTCTATATAATGGATGGACGCTTGCTCTCGCTCTTGCTTGACCAAACGGATATCGTCTACTTGAGAAAAGACCTCCCGGTGCCGTCTCACTGCAAGCACAACTTATCCACGATTTGAACGAGAAGAAGCCTATCCGCCTTCGACGCTTTCACATCATCCACACCAGCCGCCATGCCTCACTCCGTCCACAACCAGTATGTCTTGCTCCACTGCCATCTGAGGACCATGAAGCTGACCTCGCCGCTCAGGGGATCGCACTACTCGATTGCCACCGCAACCAATGGTGGGAGACGCGACGGTTCCAACAGCTACTCCATTGAGCAGTGGCGACAAGATCAGAACACTCGTGCTAGTTTCTACGTCACCGGCACATCGTTTAGCGGGTCGCACGAACGCGACGCCAGAGAGAACGTGTCGGCATTTGACCAGGCGTGGAGCCACAGCGCCCGCCGCCGTTAAATGCTCTCGATCGCTGGGCCTCGACTCAGGTCCGTTGTCAATGTAATGTTCGGGATACGATGCAGTTGGAATATGGGCGTTTTGATGGTTCGATACCCTGAAGGAGCGCAAGTTACAAGGGCGCCGGAGTTGTTATGGCTTTTCGGTTTATCATTTTCAGTCTTGTCATTGTCATTTGCTGGTTTGTTTGTCACTCTCGTCTCGGTGGTGTGTCCCTGTCTGGGCGGTCGTCGGAGGCCGGGGTCAATTGAAACATGCACTTAACCTACACAACGGGCCGCTGTGTGCCACCCACCTATGTGATTTACCTCTTGGTCCATTGGTATGTGGTTCAGTTATCAGTCTGCTGGTCATGGACAACGCTAATATAGATCTGGAGCCAGAGGACCAAGTTCGGATGGAACCCCGTTGTTCGCTGTTTAGATAAGGATCCCGGCAGCACACACCCGGTCCGCAGTGCGTTTGTGATCTGCAGTTCGGTTGGACCAACGAGACTGACTCGTGTGGTTTTGGAGTAGCTGTGCCATGTGCCCTGGGGTTCCATCAGAGGGATCCTCACTTCAAGACGGCGATAACAGTTAGCTGGGAACTACTTGTTCAGCAGGGTTTCCCCGCGTTCCGAAGCTGCGCGCCCTCCCCCGAGTGCGGCGTATCGTCTCGTCAATGACCCAAGGTGGACCAGCCGAACCAGCGCTAGATCAGAGGCTGGGAAAAAAGAAGAGGGGGGTTCGTCGCCCTCATACGTTGTCGATCGGGTGCTCAACCTGCTTCGAGAACAAATCTCCTGGCCCCTTGCCTATCTTCTCTCCCTCTCCCTCTCTCTGTTCCCCGCACCAGCTTCTGTTCCTGCTGCGACCGGCCCGGCGTTGTCGGTTGTGAGCGCGCAATCAGCTCCCCCTCTGCTCCATCACAATCCACAGAGGCACAGGCACAGACAAACGGGGGACACACACACACAAACACATATCCGGGCTGCCATGTTTTCACCCAAGCAGCCCCCGGCGCAATCGACGGAGGCTGCGCAGTCGGCGCATGCCATGCAGCAGCAGCAGCCGCAACGGCACCCACATTCACCGCTGCCACCGCCACAACAACAACCGCTCCCGGCCGCCCCGACACCGGCGCAAGATGACGAAGGGCTCCGGCCGAAAAAGACCAAGACAAGGCCGCGCAGGGTAGCGGATGGCAACCGGCAGCGGTCGGCGAGAGCGTGCGTTTCGCCTTTTCTCCTCTCTCCGTTTTTCTATCTCATCCCCACCCTCCTTTGGTGTGTCCATGCCGGTGGAGCCTCAAAGTCCCCCGGTTCCCCTCCGGAAGGGGCCTCGCAGGGATGGGGTGTTTGGGTTTCTGATAGAGTACCATCCGCGTGAAACTGCGAACCGCTGCTGACAGAGTCTCCGTCTCATAGATGCGATGGGTGTCGCCGCATGAAGGAAAAGTGTGAAGGCGGTGTGCCGTGTCGGCGGTGCACACACTTTCAGCGGCAGTGTGAGTTTTCGAAGCCGGCCTTTTCGGCGCGAAGGGGAAGCCCTGGACGGTGCGTACTTTTTTCCTGTCGTCTTACTTTTGACCCTATCTCTTGATGCTCGCCTCATGCTCTGTGCCTGAGCTTACCCTTCTCGACTGTCATACGTATTACCCTACCGCCCTTGATACTCATCATCTTCCACCGACCATGTCGGCCTGCAAAGACACCAAGCTGACAGACCCCCAGCGCGGCGGCGTCCCGCCACGCATCATCCCCAGAGCAGGGTGATGCAGAGCTGCGCCAGCGCGCCTCCAACATGGAGCGGCTGCTTGTCCACTTTGTCGGCAACATCAGCCTCGACGCGCAGACGCTGCAGGGGCTCGCCGACTCGCTCGACCAGGAACGCGGCGGACCAAGCCATGGCCCGGCGCCAGCACTGGGCACGACAGGGAAGACGCTTGAGAGGAGACGCCTCAGTTCGCGTGAGAGGTGTGAGGACGGTGGTGGTGGTGGTGGTGGTGGTCGCGGTGCACATGTCAGCAGGGAGGGGGACGTCGAGACGGATTCCAACGCTTCCGAGTCTATCAAGGTCGACGATGACATCACGGTTCAACCATTGGAGAACAATGTCACGCGTACGTGCCACCCCCCGTTTCGTGGTGCTGGGGACGAAAAGGAGATGAAGCATGCTAACAGGAGTAGACTACTCTGGCGAATTCTCACATTGGAATTTTTCCATGCGGATCAAGAATTGGATCGAGAAGTGCGGGCCCTATCGCACGGTATGTCGAGTGGCCTTTTCTCCCACCACCACCCTGTGCTTGGCCTCCCATCATGCGTCTCTCGTTGAATCTGACAGACTCGAATCAGGACGCCCCCGATGCTCCCAAGATCAAGGAGTTTTACCGAGCAGAAGAGCTCCAGTCGTCGTCCGACACAGCCGTCCTCCTCTCGGCGCTGCCGCCGCGCTACATTGTCGATTTCCTCGTGCGCGCGTTTTTCACCTACGCCGAGACGAACTACTTCTACGTCGACCGGACATGGCTCGCCAAACGCCTCGACGCCGTATACGAGAACCCCACGTCACTCACCCGCCGCGACGTGCCCACTGTCTGTATCATGTTCACCGTCTTCGCCATTGGCACCCAATACGCCTACCTCGATTCGCCCCACGACAAGACTGACGACCCGAGCCCCTTTTCGGAAGACTCGGTCGGCGTTAAGATGTATCAACAGGCCTGTCGCCTTGTACCTGATGTCATCACCATTGCGTCGCTTGAGAGTGTCCAGGCAATCTTGCTCATCGGTCTCTATACCCTGCCCCTAGACCCTTCAGGTCTTTCGTATACCTACTTCAATCTAGCAGTCAAGCTGGCAATCCAAAACGGCATGCACAGGAAACACCCGAACAACGGCCTCGACCAAGTCGTTCGCGAGACGCGGAACAGGGTTTGGTGGACGGCCTGCACCATTGAAAAGTAATGTGCCCAACCTCCATATGTACTTTTACGACCATGACCTCGGAATGCAGCATGGCTAACAGAGTACTTCTAGGCGCATCGGCACCTTCCATGGCCGGCCCATCTCCATCGCCATGAGCGATATCGATGCAGAACTTCCCGTCGACCGCCCTGAAATCTGGCCGGGCCCTGGTCCCCAAAACACCATTTACCTCCTCGCGACGCTGCACCTCAACCGTGAGCTCGCGAGGATAGCCCATGAGATGTAGGTGACTTATCCCTCAGCGGCAATGAACGAGACTGACGGGTCGCAGTTCCACCTTTAAAACCTATGACAAGCAAGCCATCTTCACAGCCCTCGCCCGCCTCGTCGACATTAAGGATGAACTGCAAACCTGGTGGCGCTCTCTACCCTCGGGGCCCTTCTGCAAAGACGCCGACCGCGACCCGACAGCCCCCGTGTCGCGCGCCGCCATCCACCTGCGCCTCGAGTACTGCCACGTGCGCATGTACGCCGGCCGCCTCTTCATCACGCCGCGCGGGCCTCTCGCCGTCAACGCAAGCCCCGGCTCCTCCACAGCGACAGACGCCCCCGGCACAGCAGGCTCCGGATCGGCAGCGCACCGCAACAGCGGGCCGTCGCGCAATGCGCAGCGCCGCGCCGCGCTCGTGGCCGACTGCGTCGACGCCGCACTCGACATAGTCGACACGTGCCGCCTGCTGCGCGGCACCATCGGCCTCGCGCGCGCCTCGTACACCGAGTTTAGTGCGCTGCGCGTCGGCCTGCTCGTGCTGCTGACACAATGCCTCGAGCACCGCGGCGCCAACCGCACCGAGCGGCTGCGCGCCGCGCTTGGCGACGGCATGGCCATGCTCAAGGACATGTCGACGTGGGGCGCGTCGGCGCGCTTCGACGCCAGCCTTATTGAGGCCTTTGAGCACGCCATCGCGCGGCTCGGTGCCGAGGAGGACGAAGCTGACGGGCGGTTTCCCGGCGGCGGCGGCGGCGGCGGCGGCTGGCGCGAGACGGACTATGAAATGTTCAAGAGGTGGGAGATGCTCTGGCAGACGGACGCCGCTGCGGCAGCGTCGGGGCGCATGGAGCCCGGTGCGGCGGCGGCTGGGCCATCGGGGTTCGATCCCGGCGCCGCGCCCATGGATGTGTCGCCGATGGGGGGCGATGGCACGGACTGGGGGGATGATGTCAAGGCCCCGGGGCCCATGATGATGCCTCCTGGGGCGGGGCCCATGTTCGGCATGGACGAGCACTTTGGGTCGGTGCCGATGCTGGAGGGGCTGTCGGCCGTGCTCGGGTACGGGTACGGTCTGGATTTGGAGAACATGGGACCGGCAGGGTCGAGGTCGAACGGCTGGGGTGTCTAATGATTGGGTTCTCATGTCTGGGTCATGCCGTGTGTTGCATGTTTGTGCTCGGTGGCGTTTCTGGGATGAGGTTATGAGGTCTATTTATGGTGCAGCTGAAGATGATCCTCGATATCTGGAGTGAAGCTTTATTGTACATCATATTTGATACCTCGGAGACACCGTGATAATGCCATGGTGACTGTCACGCTTTTGTACTACCACCAAGAATTCAATGTGCGACCATGTCCTTTTTTTGTTCTTCAGTCTCCAGCATAAACGGGCTGTACTACTGATTCGTCATTGTTCACACTCTACAAGCCAGATCATGTTGGTCTAACCTCTACGGACCCACGCTCTCCCAAAATCAAAGTAAACCCAAAAACGCTCTACCACATCTTCTCCCAAGTCCGCCTGCCAACGCTCATCTTGGCCAGCCTGGCCTTCTCGACCTCCTCGATACCGCCCTCCTCCCAGTGGCGGCACTCCTCGTCAATCTCGTCCTTGCCGCTGATGAGGTCGGCGTCCTTGGCCGCGATGAAGCCCATCTTGCCGCCGCGCTTCCACACGAGGAAGCGGCCGACGCCGAACATGACGGCCGCCCACAGCAGGGCAAAGTAGGACGTGATGAAGCCGCGGATGCTAAAGGGCGAGAAGACGTCGAAGCCGACAAAGACGAGCGCCGTGCAGCCGCAGATGAGCGACACGACGGGCGCGTAGGGCGTCAGGGGCGCGACGTAGGGGAGGTACTGGTCCGCGAGGCCCTGGGCCTTGCGGGCGCGGTAGAAGCCGAGGTACGTGATGAGCATGAAGGTGTACGTGGCGATGAGGGCCGTCGTCGTGAGGTCGACGAACCAGAAGAAGACCTCGACGGCCGAGTTGGACGACACGAGGAAGGTGATGCACGTGATGGCCGAGACGACGAGGACGCAGTAGATGGGCACGCCTGCTTTGGTGCACTTGAGGAGGATGGCGGGGGCTTGGCCGGCTGTGAGAGAGGAAAACTTTGTCAGTTTGTGGCGTTCCGGAGAGGAAACCGAGAGGGTCAGGAACGGAGGAAAACGTACAGCGAGCGAGACCGTAGAGGGTGCGGGAGGAAGAGTAGAGGTAGGCGTTACCGCAAGACCTGAACGCTGGTTAGCACCGCCGACTTGAGGCTGGTCATGTCTTGTGCCGGCTTCACTCACCATCCGGAAAGCATGATCAGGGCGTTGATCAGGTGTGGCAGGAAGCCGATGCCGAGGTTCTCGATACCAATGACCCAAGGACTGGCGGCAGCGCCGGGCTCGCCGTTCTTGATGGCACCGACCAGGCGAGGGTCGCGCGAGGAGCAGATGATACCAACAGCCAGGACACCGACGACGTAGAAACCAACGATGCGGTAAAAGATGAGCTGGGCGACACGGGGAATGGTGCGGCGCGGATTCTGGATCTCTCCGGCCGCGAGGGCGATCATGTCGGGGCCGGCAATGGTGAAACCGGCGTAGATGACGACGGACCACCAGCCGAGCAGACGGCCGGTACCGCCCTCGGCGTAGTACGAGTGCATGGCACCGGCGCCCCAGTTGCGGAAGCCGTAGGCGTCACCCTGGGGGTTGCCGCCAGACATGGTGATGAGCGTGATGAGGACGAGACCGAGCAGCAGCAGGACCTTGGTCGAGGCCATGATGAACTCGGACTCGCCAAACCAGCGCACAGCGACGACGTTGAGGAGGAAGCAGACGACCATGGCCATGGCGATCCAGGCGGCCGGATTCGTGTCGCGGTCCCAGTACTGCATGACGGTGGCGACGGCGCTGTACTCTACGCACACGAGCATGGTACTGGCGAAAAAGTACGTCCATCCCATGGCGAAGCCAACGGCTGGGTCAACGAAACGGGCGGCGAGAGTGAAGATGGACCCGCGGACAGGCAGGTAGGCGCACATTTCGGCGACGCAGAGGTAGAGAGGCCAGATGAAGAAGCAACCCCAGAAGGCGTAGCCCAGGATCAGCGAAAGGGGGCCGGCCTTGCTGAGGACGCTGCCAATGCCGACCCAAAGACCGACGCCGATGGAGCCACCGATGGCCATGAGGTGGACGTGCCGGGGCTTGAGGCCGCGATGTGTCTCGCCGTACTTGGCTGTCATGCCGTCGGAGCCGTCATGTTTGAGGTCGACGTCCGCCTGAGAGCCGTCAACACGGCTCTCCACGGCGTTGATGCCGTCTTCAGTCTTCATGATTCGCTCGTTGATGTGGGAGTCCGAGGGCTGAGCGATGACAATAGAGTGACAGGGTTTGGCGAGTATAAGTCTGGATGGGGTGGTCGACTCAGCTATGCCTCGGCGATGAGACGTGGATCAATGGTAGCTGGGAGAGGATAGGGGAGAGGCGAGAGAGCCCTCAGAAAACGTGGCGATCTCGAGTTATTAGTACTCCCTGCCATGATGCCAGTGGTGGGGACCGGAGATGGTAGTTGATACAAGCTTGGGGCCCTATCGTGAGAGACTTGGGGTTACAATACAGAGGCTCAAAACTGGGGTAGACTGCCACGCCAGACACAGAGTGGCTAGCGGATTGGCATCGGCAAGGGTCGAGAACCACACAAGCGCGAGCCTAAGTGCCGGTCCGGTGTGTATCGAGGCCGGGCCGGTGCAGTTTGGTGAGACATACGGACATAGGGGGGGGACTGGGATCTCGCCCTGTCTTGAGTCGCGGCACGGCCGCTGGGCCCTTCTTTTGGTATGGTGGTTTCGTCAGACGAGAGATAAGACTGACCCAATGTGTCTGTGTGTCCGCGGTTCTCTGGGGTAACGTGCTTGCTATCTATCGTCCCCCTGGGTATGTGACTGCAGCCGATTAATCACGCTCATATCAGTGGCCTGCTGCTGGACTGCCGTGTAGATCATATGAGGTCACTCTGCCTGTCATCTGTGCCATCTCTTCCATGGTGTGCCAGCCTGTCAATCTTCCGAGAGGTCGATCACAACTCGATAACCTCGACGCCACCTCCAAGACGACGGGCCGCTGGAGCTGGCACTCAGTCTTCCAGAGCTCTTCCAAACGTGACCAGAAACACGACAAGGTTCCCCATCAATGGCGAGCGAAAGCTTGACAAACCTGCCGAACCCCGCGCGGGGAGATGGGCCTGGCGAGTCCCCTTCTGGCTTCTCGGGGGCTCCAGTTGACCAGCCAAGCGCATTGGATGGAGAGCTAGGGGGCCCTTGAATGGAGACTGTGACGAACTTGGTGGTAATATGAGGGAACCTCGCTTCAGCGACGACTCGTGTCCCCAGGCCAGCGTAGCGCATCAATGTAACTCAAGGGCAAGATCCATCGTTCGACGCTGATTGACCGACCGCCAGCGTGCGTATGGCCCGCACCCCTAGATGCCGGTCGATGACAGGTCTGGCATGCATATCTTCCTGGCAGCCAGGCCACCTCTTCGGAGACCCCGGTTCCAATCCCTCCCATCAATCGCCCTCCCTGTTCTAGCTCGGAGGGCTGACCAGGCGGCGGCCACTGTGCGTACCGAGTCATGTCCCGTATGGCCACGCGCCCGCCCGCCAGTATGTTCCTCAGCGACCAAAACCACGAAGGACAGGCCAAACCTGGGGTGCGCCCACTATGACTTATCTGTTCAGCCCCCGCCATCTCCCGACCGGCACGTTTTACCTACCAGCGGACGCAGAGCGCCGTCGGTCAAGCTGAGACCACCTCAGATAGCCAACTAGCCTGTTAGCTCCCACAGACCACAGACGGGCGGGCAACGGGCCATGGAGACGAGATTTGACCGGCTAGATAGGGTCCCGCTCACGCAGGGCCTTCTGAATTTCTACCCCCCGTCTGCCGTCCGTGGTCTGAACCGGTCCGGTGGGTGGAGGATCGGATCGCTCTCTGGGCTGCGTGCTGCGTGCTGCATGCGCACCCGCGACAAAAGTGGCATCGTCAGAACATGCCGTTTGTGCGTAGCCGGTATCGACAGATGACACGGTTCCTGGCCTGTCTCAGCGTCCCCGACCTTTTCCGCTTTCCGGGCTTGGTATCGTGACTCCGGAATTCTCCCCGCTCGTTTCTCTGCGCTGGAGTTGAATTCGCGTTGATCCTCGGTCCCTCCTCACCCCATGGTGCATTTCGGATGGATTCAATTTCGCAACCCAGGGTGTTACGCAGTGAAGCTTGTCGCTCGACCTGACTGGCATTGTCTAGTGTGCTGCTGTTGTCAGGGACCAAGCGTCGCGGGTATACTCGTACTCACAACCGCGCGCATGCTGCTTCGCGCCGCACTTGTGTTGACGGGTTGACTCTGAAGGTGTCCTGTATCGGCGGCTGTCCCATGCCCTACACATCATGCCGATACGTCAGAGATCTCAGCCTGTTGCAACACGACAGCAGAACTTGCTGCAAAATCCAGCCCAAATCATACGTCGCCTGAACCGGCAAAACCGCCGTGCGATGACCAAGAACGAATACAAATTGAAGGCAATCCTGGCTACCCCCCATCGAAGCACAGACTCGACGTCTATACATACACCCGCGCGTCAGCAGCAAGCCATGGCTGTCTGATTCCGCGTACACTGCAATTGAGACGCTGGCCGGGGTGGTCAAGATGAGGCAGTGCCTCGTCAAAGCTGACGAAGCGCCAGCGATCGACACTTCTCGCCTCTGTCTCGCGCGTTTCTCGCGGGGTTCCCAGGCACGAGATTGGGCGCGAACACGACGAGCAGATAACCGAGTACGGCGCTCCGCAGACCCCGAGGCACCAGAGGAGTGGACGTGCAAAGCCGGGTTTCGAATGTGGCAGAGCCCACGACTGATCTGCAGAGTTGGCGATAACAGTTCACCGTATCGCAGGTTCCGAACCGCGAGTCGCGAAGCTGCCTGTTCGTGGTTACAGGTTGTGGTAGACGGTGCTGTGCTCGAAATGAGTTCGCAACGGCGCAACGCAGCGTCCGAACCTCGCGTATTGTGATCCTGCCGATTTGTGGCTGCATATGGTGTGAGAGCTTGCCATGCTTGAATAGAGGAGGAAGAAGTATATAAGTCAATGCCAAGGTGTCTGTTTAGTCTCCCTCTGCTCAATGCAATAGCTTTTCAGACAATTTCCAATCATCACAACGATTTGCCTCACTGAGGAAACGTTATCAGACAACTACCAATACGGCTCGCACAGTCGAACAACATCGTTCATCCATAGCGACACACACAGTCACACAAGACGAAACATGACTACCATTCGCAGAGCACTCATCTCGGGGTTTGGAGATGCCTCCAATGTCAAGATCGTCACTGAGACGATCGACGCGCCCGGGAAGAACGAGGTGCAGGTCGATGTCATCTACTCGGGCTTCTCCGGCGCCGACATCAACATGCGTCTGGGTGTGTACCCGCAGCAGAAGACGGCGCCCCTGTACCCAGGGTACTGCTTCGTTGGCCGCGTCGCCGTCAACGGTCGAAAGTCGAACAGGTTCCGGCCAGGCGACCTCGTAGGCGCTGTGACAGTGTACGACTCGGAGGCCGACAAGATCAACGTCGAGGAAAAATATCTCGTCGCCGTGCCCCCTGGCGTTGACACGCGCTTGGCGCTCGCCGCTGTGCTCGACTGGAACACGGCGTACGGCCTCGTGCATCGGGCGACGACGATCGTGGGCCGGGGCAAGCGCATCTTCATCCACGGCCTCAGCGGCGCCGTGGGTTATGCCACCATGACGCTCTGCCTGCTCGAGGGGGCCGAAGTCTACGGGACGGCGTCGCTCCGCAACCACGAGGCGCTGCGCGGCCTGGGCGTCACGCCATTCGTGTACACGGACAAGGCGTGGATGGGCGAGATGCGGGCGCGCGGCGGTGCACACGTCGTGTACGACGCGCTCGGCTTCGAGAGCTATGACGAGTCATGGGAGATTCTCGTGCGCGACGAGCCCAGCCGCCTCGTCGGTTTCGGCGGCAACCTCAACGCCGTGCAGGCCGGCAGCGCCAAGCCGAGGTCGCAGCTGCCGGGGACGCTCAAGCTCCTGGCCAAGAACGGGTGTCTGTGGACGAAGCGCAGCGCGGGGTTCTACTACATCGACCGCACCCGCGACACGTACGTGCCGGATCTGCAGGCCGTCTTGCAGCTGCTGGCCGAGGGCAAGTTCGAGGTGCCAATCAAGAAGATCTGGGACCTCGACAACATCAGAGAGCCGCACGAGCAGTGGACCAAGGTGACTGGCATGGGCTCTTGCTTGATTCGTGTCGACCAGACTGCCTAGGGAGGGAAGGGTGTGGTCGGCAGGTAGGATGATCGTGATTCCAGCATCGTTTCTGTCAGTTTGGGAATGATCGAAAGATAGAGATGATGCAGTTGTATCTGCGTTCGTGCGGTTCTTTGCGCAAAGATGGATTAATAGAAGCAGTAATGATAAAGGAAAGATTTCCAGACAGACAATGGTATTGCATCTCTGGGTTTGGTGATCGTTGTGCTAATCATTAGTCAGCAGCAGGCAGGTACACTTGAGATCCCCTAAATCTCATTTCTCAGGGTGCGGCGCCGACCTGGAACTCATACGTCATCAGCCACTTCACAGCGACCCGCTCGTCCTCCAGGGCGCCTGAGCCCAGCAGCCAGCGCAGCCAACCGCTAGGAGGGCCCAGGCCCAGGCCCAGGCCCAGGCTCTGTTGAGGCCCAGGGACTGGTTCAGGCCCAGGGACTGGTTCAGGCCCAGGGACTGGTTCAGGCCCACGTGCCCGGGTTCCCCGCGCCACGTTCCAGTCGCCTGCAGACAGCGGCACAGCGGCACAGTGGCACAGCGTCCTGCCTTGGTAGTGATCATCCGAGGGAAGTTGTTGGCTGCCAAATGGTCCAGACACCACCCCAAACCACCAAGAAAAGACAACCGCGGCCACCATCGCTCGCGCTGGCACGATCCAGTGTCCAGTGTCCAGTGTCGCGATAGCCCCTCAGGTCCGCCATGACCATGGCGCTCGACGACGACACCTCCCTTCCCGTCGAGAACGCAGAGCGGGCACGCCAGCGGGAAATCGCAGCGTAAGTCTGAATCCCCGAGTTGCTGCTCGCACCGCTGCCATTTTTTTTTAATTTGTGCTAACGCTCCTCTCCTCTTCCAGGTATCTCTCGGCGGCTTCCTATCCGGCAGGCGTACCAACCGGTCCCCCAGAAACCCCGTTCATCAATGCAGACCCTGCTCTCAACGCCCTTGTCCAGTCGGGCACATCCCGGCTCGACTGTGACAGATCCTTCCTCTCCCTCATCGACCGCGAAAACCACTTTCTCGCCGCTGAAATGACGAGGTCGCACTCTATCATCAAGAATCAATCTGCCGAAAATGACCACATATTTCTCGGCGTCTCCAAACTGGAGACCCGCTGGGGCGTCTGCCCGACGGCCATGCTCGCCTTTATGGACGAGACGGGCGAGTGGGCGCAGACGGGCCCCAACATCATTGCCAACAGGACGCGGTTCATCGTGAACGACTTTCGAGTTGATCCCCATTTCGTCGAGAGACCTTATGTCTGTGGTTACCCATACATGGTGTCCTATCTCGAGGTGCCCCTCGTGTCGCCCCTGGGCTACCTGCTCGGCAGCTACTGCGTCGTCGACAACAAGCCTCGCCACTTCAACGACGAGCCCACCATTGCCATCATGAACGAAATCGCCTCGGGCATCATGTCGTATCTCGAGTTGAAAAAGACGGAACAGATGCGCCACCGCGCCGAGCAGCTCATCGGCAGCCTGAGTGCCTTTGTCGGCTGCAAACCTGACCCGACACCGCACCCCCCTAAGTTCTCGCCCCAGTCAAAACACCCTTCCTTCGACTCGGTGGAGACCGATCAGACGGACACGTTCTCCGCAATGAACTTGTCTTCGGCATCGCCGGCGTCCTCGTTCGCGACCCCCGACGCATCATTCCTGTCCTCGGTGCCCTCGTCGGGTATACCGTTGACGGCACCACCGGACGGCCCAGGCGAGACCCTGCTCGATCAAAAGGTCAACGATGCGAAGGACAGAAAAGCTGCAGGTCAACATCTGCCCTCCTCGGTCAGTGACGTGCTTGAATCACGCGACGTCGGCTTCAGCGGCTCCGCGAACTTGCGTTCCACGTTTTTCCGCGCTGCGTCCATGATGCGACAGGCTATGAACATGGACGGCTTCATGTTTCTGGATGCCGCCCCCAGCGTGTACGTAGACACCTCAGACCCTTTGGGTTGCGATCGCAACAGCAACAACCATGGGCCTCACAGTGAGGCGGAAGGGCCATATTGCGCTGTCGTGGCTCAGGCGACTGTCGATCAGCGAGAAGACAAATCGCTGCAGCCGCCTCCACCTGGTCTTCCAGAGGCGACCCTCCAGAGGCTCATCAGGAGACATCCACGCGGCCATGTCTTCTCGGCAGACGAGTTCGGACCCATTGACGAGCACTATGGACCTGGCAAGCCATGCCCATCCGGCCGCAGGGCGAGCGCAGACAGCATTGGCCTCACAGACGACGTGTCCAGGCTCTTTAGCGCTCTTCCTGCGGCAAAGTACATCATCTTCCTCCCGCTGTGGCACTTTCAGCGCGAGTGCTGGTACGCCGCCGCACTCGGCTGGGTTGCAGATCCGACGCGCGCCATCGAGGTTGCCGACATCAGTCTTGTGTCTGCCTTTGGCAATTCCGTCATGGCCGAGGTGTCACGCTGGGAGGCCCTGGCTGCGAGCCGCGCCAAGTCCAATTTTGTCTCATCCATCAGTCATGAACTGCGAAGTCCCTTACACGGCGTCTTGGCCAGCAGCGAACTGCTCCGTGAGGGCATCTCGGACCCTTCGCTCAAGCCGGCCCTGGACATGCTCGATTCCTGCGGCAACACGCTGCTGGACACCTTCAACCACCTGCTCAACCACGCCATCGCCATCAACGCCGGCAAGAATCCCCAAACCCCTGCGGCCGAGCTGCGAATCGCCGACCTCGGGGAAACTATCGAGGATGTTGTTGAGGCTGTCCACGTGAGCCACGGATATGAGAATGCCTTCAGTCCATCAGCTCACTCGAAGGACGACCATTCTGCCGATAGTCCCAAGGCGCAGGAGAGCTCTCAAGCGCGCCCACTGCTCGTCTCACTGAACATTCAAGAGAAGACCGCCTGGAAGATGCGCACCGATGTCGGGGCCTGGAAACGTATCATCATGAACGTCTTCGGAAACGCCATGAAATATACACCTGCTGGCCACATTGAGGTGAGCCTCCGGAAGACGCGAAAGCCAGACAGCCACGGCAGGCTGCGCGATTATATCACCTTTTCCGTCGAAGACACTGGCCTCGGCATCAGTTCCGATTACCTCAAGTATCAGCTCTTCACGCCTTTCTCACAGGAAAACACCCACGCCGCCGGCATGGGGTTAGGACTGAGCATCGTGCAGCAGCTGGCTAGAGGACTTGGGGGTGCCGTCAACGTCAAGAGCTCCGTAGGGGTGGGGACCCTGGTGGAAGTCCTTGTTCCTCTCCAGGAGGACGACGAATCCACTCCGGTATCTTTACTCGCAACACACGACGTCCAAGCCCTACACGGCAACAACAAATACCATCAGCTTGCTGGGCAGACAATCTGTCTCATCACACCAGAATCGTTTGCATCCGTGCTGCATTCGACTTCTGGGATCACCGCCGAGACGCAAAATCGATCGGCTGCTGTCGAACGAGCCCTTCGAAGTAGCGCCGGCGGCAACTTGGGAATGAATGTTATTCTTGCGACGGCTGATCACCCGGTCCCCGATGCAGACGTGTACTTTTTGGACGATGACACGACGGGCGCGCCCAGTAGCCTTTCTGCGTTCGTATCAGCGACAAATTCCAAGGCTACTCCTTTGACCCTTCTTTGCCCGGGAGCGGGGTCGACCTCGTGCCCGAAGACATATGTTGGGAAGAAGCAGAGCTGCGCCCATTTGCACCTCCCACTAGGCCCGAGAAAGCTGGCATCAGCGATTCAAGCGGCGCTCACAGTAGCTCCCAAAAGCCTCATATCGGAGTGCACTTCTGCGCCGTCATTACCAGAAGCCATCCCAAGCGCTTCTGAGCTGCACGCTCCTCCCCTTTCTGCTGAAGAGACCCAGCCCCTCCCGAAAGACATTGCTATCCTGCAGGCGGCCGACCAGCACGATGCGCCCCCCGCAAATGGCACCACACTCGATGCAGCAAGTCCAGTGACCAGTGGAACGAAGCAAAAGTCGCTACACCTACTTCTCGTCGACGACAACCCCATCAACATTAAGCTCCTCACAACAGTCATACGCAAAATGAACCACACCTTTGCGACGGCCAGCAACGGGCTCGAGGCTGTGGAGCTATACGAAAAGTCACTGGGCGAAGGACGGTTGTTTGACCTCGTCTTCATGGATATATCCATGCCCGTCATGAACGGCTTTGAGGCGACGAGGGAGATACGCCGCCTCGAGGGCAGGGCCGGTGCGATAAGGTGCAAAATTGTCGTACTCACGGGATTGAGCAGCGCGTCAGATCGCAAGGAAGCTGTTGCGAGCGGCTCGGATATGTTTTTGACGAAGCCGGTCAAGCTGGGCAAGGTGCGAGAGGTGCTGGATCAGGAGCTTGAGGGAGTCCGCCTGGCCCCGGAAGCTCTTGGCCCTGTTTTGACGGGACTGACACTGTAAGGCGATGAGTATGGAGATGGACGTTTGGGAGGTAATGGGACGTTTGACGACACATGATATACGAGCGGGGGATAATAACACATGGCTTGGTAGGCAAGGTTGGTTTCAGTGTCATGAAGGCGCGCGGTTACATCTGGGCATGGCGTTAGGGGATTTGATCTATGACCACACGGGAGAGGTAGCGAAGAGAAATCAATTATTTGCCGGCATATCAACCTAACAAGGGAGCGCTACAAAACAACCACATGCGGCCACATGTGGGTGGTTTACGTGACCTTGACGCTCGATTGCTTGATCTGGGTGCCTTGCGTACTTTGCAGAAGCTCCCTGGTTTTTCCAGGTGGCAGTGCGCGAAACGAGTGATGAGTCTTATTCAATAGCCTAAGACGTACTAGACTAGACCACATATCTGCTGCCCCAAAATCTTTCCTGCTGAAGAACAACCGGGGTTCCATCAAGTGCCTGTCGATTTCACAGCCCGTGGGACGCTGTCACCAGGGGTCGGCTGGACCTCGCTGACGGCAGGGGTCGGCTGGACCTCGCTGACGGCAGGGGTCAGCTGGTCCTCGCTGACCTTCATCTGTTGGCCACTTTCCTGGGTTCTGATGACAATTTGGCGAGTTTCCTGGTAGATTGTCACGACGATGCAGACCTCTTGTACGCTGGAGTAGTGGACAAGCTGGCCCTCTGAGAACTGATGAACTTAGGCGTCAGCACTGCCATCTTCTCTTCGCGCTTGCGTCCGCCCGGGGGTGGGTCACAGACGTACGTTGGAACCCATTTTGGCAGGCGTAGGGGCGTGGTGAGGAGATGGTTTCTGGGATGATCGCTTTGAAGCTTGATGGTCGGCCGATGTGGATGAAGAGACTGCTTTGAAAACCTTGTCCCGAGAATCTTGCTGGCTGTGCCTCTTATTTATATCCCGAATTCTTCCCCTAGGAGCTTTGTCGGAGAATGGGCATCATCAAATTGCAGCCAGCACGACCAGCACTGAGAGTATCATCCTGTCTTACGATTGAGAAAGAAAGAGCTCCAAAGTGCAAAACAGCAATTTTCACGTGTTGGAAACATATCAACGAATCACGGCACGGTCCCAGGCATGGCTGGTTGAGAGACGACAGTGACTTGGCAGAGAGAGCCCAGCCTGCTTCATGCAACCCACCCATCTCAAAGGCTGGTTGCACAATAAGACCTGCTAATTGGCCGATGTTGCCGTTCTCATTAGACGTGATATGCGCGTAAGTGACGTGTCAGACCATTGCAGATTTGCGACACCGTCAGTTGAGGTCGCACTGGCGCTATTTCGTTCTGGTTGCATAGACATGCTGGTCTGCGAAACCACATGTTTGGGACAACACATGGTATCCATGGCACTGAGTGGAAAAGAGACAGAATACGTCAGAGTCGTAGCAAAGGTTCTTTTACCATGCCTCTGACAATTTGCAAGCCCTCGAATCCCGGATAATGATACTGCATACTCACAATGCTGCGCCTCGTTGTCCGAGCGAGACACCCAAAATCCCTGCCACAGTTGTTCCTATGACCTTGTCTGACAAAAACAGCATTTGCTCCTGTCTGCCCAAATCGAGCCCTGAGCTACTTCAAAGTGCTACTTTATGACCAGGCTACGTGATGATGACTGAAGCATATGTTCTGATTTGTGACTGAATCAGCTTCATGGGTTCTGTCACTTTTTGGGCAAAGTTGAACACCTGCCATGGCTAATGGAGATCAGACACGTTGGAGGCTTAAATGCTTGTATGTGACACAAGACAACGATATAAAGGCTCATAGTGAGCTACTAGCTATCACTTAACATGCTGACAGCCGGGTCAGGGACCAATCAGAGAGTACTGCAACAGCATGAGCTCCGAAATCGTGAGAGATATCAAAACGAGGCTAGTGACGAAGCACCTCATTTTTTTACACTGGGAAGCCCACTTCGCTGTTCATGGTTGCCACCTTCATACATACATTACAACCGCATAGGTTTTGTTTGGCTATCGTCTTCAGTAAGGCTGTCAGGTCATTAGGGCAATACCTCTCCACACCATCACCGAGACTCAGCCTCCGAGGCAGCAAGGTTGCGGCGATCGCTCACTACCACGCCCAACTAATCGACATGATAAAAATTGCGCGTTGGGTCGAAATGACCGTAAAATAACGCATCTGTTTCCCTCGTGAACATTGAACCAGTGAGAATGACACCAATTACAAGATGACGGCACATGGGGAACTGACATCCGTCAGCAGTCCTGTCAGATTTGGTATGGAAACCCACCTCTCTATCGAACCGACGCCCCATGGATTGTGACTGGAACCTAGCTTCTGGCCTACCTTTGAAGGATCTCACTGACCAAAGTGATGGAGCGCTACGCGTGCCAACAGATTGAATTTTTGTAGGCCTTCAGGAACATATTCAGCCTTGTCCCGATGATCCAAACTCCTCGCGATACCCCCGAGACTTACTCAACGACCTCGAGCTCCTTCCCAACCCCAGTATCCTCACAGAATCGCATTTCAGCCTCGTCACCGCCCTGGTACCCCTCTTCCTCTTTCTTGATCCTCAGCTCAGTTTGGTCCATGTTTAGCTCCGCAAGCCTCTCCAACGCCATTCTAGCCCTCTCAATTTTCCGCTTCTGCTTCGCAAGCCTCGGAGCCGCCTTCGCAGCGTCCCTGTCAGCCTTGCACACCCTGGCGGCTCCCTGGACACTGTCCGACAGGGCCGCGTGGAACTCCCCTTCCGTCTTGGTGCGCACCAGTCGCTCGATGAGCTCGTTGTGCCCCACGCCCCCTGCCTTGCCCTTCTTGACGCGGAAGGTGAAAACCCCCTTGCTGACGCTGGCATTGATGAGGGGCGTGTCGAGGACCGAGACGGCGGCGTCGTGGGGTGCGCGGATGCGCACCTCGTCAGGCGGCAGGAGGTCTTCGATGGGTATGTCTTCGCCGTGGGGCGGGGAAGGGGGCCCCATGGCGTTCTTTGCAAGTTCATAGACGACTGTGCCAGCGTTGGGGTTCTCGAACTGATTCGTGAGCTTCAGAATCATTCCCAACTCACGATGACGTGGCGGCACGGGGAGACCTACCTTGGGTTCCTCTTCGGGGACTTTCTTCTTCAACGTGCCACGCTTGCGGGTCGTTTCCTTCTTCACCTTGGGCGCCTTGGGTTTCTTCGCCTTTTTGGCCACTTTGGCTGGCTTGGAATCGGCACGGAACTTGGTAGCCTTCGGGTAGATGATGCTGCTGGCAAGGACGTCCATGGTGTTGTTGAACGTTAGCTCAAAGTGACGAAGACAGCCGCAGGTAGTGGAGTGAGTAAATTCCTGATCTGCAGTCTTGCAGTGCGCTTGAATTAGAAGGACACGAGTAGGGTGGTGAATGATAATGAAGACGAAGCCTGGTACTTGTCTTAGTATTGTAGGTTTTCAGGGAAAGGGGAAAATCCTTGTTGGAGTTGAACACTAGAAGATTGTGAAAGTGCTGGCCAGATAAAGAGGAGCAGAGGTTTCGTGGAGGGAAGGAGCTGTTGCCTACTGATTCGTTGCTGTCGTTAATGTCCTGAAGCTGCGGTCGTCCTGAGTCCGCTGCAAGCCCGTGAATTCAAATGGCATCTCGCATCGCGCTACATACTTTTGAAAAGTCAAAATTACAAAGAATATCGTAGTGGCCTAAGCGATTATTAGAAGTTATCCTTGTTGGAAGCAATGTGCCACCTTGTACAGTAGTGCAGATATTTCGTTTGAACGTTGAGCTTCTCATTGTGTCGTACATCGTCTGCTGTCATCTAGTAATCTACCACCGCTTTTAATTTTTCACCAAATCCTTGTTCTCTAGAATCCCAAAACCAAACTACGTGGCCTTGACACCACGACCGCTTCCGGTCAGCGCCGCCAGCCTCTGAGCGGCGATCTCACACTTGGGCAATGCACGTTGTCCGGCCGTGGGCGGGGGAGGCAAGAATCCGATCGCGACAAGATAGGCCAGGTACATGCCAATGGCATCCGTGGTCACAGCACCGGCAGCGAGAGGGTCCTCCTCTGTGGCACCCGATGCCTTGAGCACGGTGGCCGCGTTGCTGTCGTCCAGCTCAGGCGCGACCGAGTCGGCAGGTAGATTGCCCGTTACGAGGTGGAATAGAGGCAACAGGGCGTGCTCTTCCTTGGTGTCATCGCCGACGTAGGCACGCAACTTGTCGCTCCACTCAGGATAGGGCACTTTGGGAATGTTGTAGCCGTACGCCTCAAGGGTGCCGACCCACTCGTTTTGTGTGAGCCGCGGGTGGCTCGTGATCTGGACGACACCGAGTGGCGTCGTAGGAGGGTGAAGAGCCGCGGCGACGACAATGCGGCTAACTTGCGTGACGGGAACCTGATTGACTGTGTTGTTGATATCAGGACGGGCGCCAACTTGGAGGCAGCCCTTCCATAGACGGACAAGGAAGTCGTCAGTGATGCTGATGCCAGACTTGGGATCACCCATGATGTAGCCAGGACGAATAATGGCACCAGTAAGACCGCGGCGGCCGGCATCACGAAGGACGTACTCGCTTGCCCACTTGGACTGGCCGTAACCAGTGCCTAGGCCCTTACGGCTGCCGTCGAGGTCATCCGTCTCGGAGACACCCTTGCCACCAGCAGCAACACTCTCCTTCGACAGGTTGACATAGTGGTCAGTGTCAATGGTCGAGGTGGAGCTGACGAAAGCCAGTTGCTTGGGCTTAGTGTCAGCGCACAGCGCGATGCAGTCCATGGTGCTGATCACGTTTGCCTTGCGCAGACTAGAGTATGGAAGCATCCAGTTGACTTGCGCGCCGTTGTGAATGATGACGTCGGCTTCGCTGGCCACCTTAGCCCAGTCAACGCGGGAGAGGCCAAGCTGGGGCTTAGAAATATCGCCAGTCACGGCCGAAAGACGCGACCTCCAATCTTCAGACCAGAGGCCATAAGCCTTGGTGGAGGACTCGATACGAGCCAGGCCAGCGGCGGCATCGGAAGACCGCACGTGAGCGATGACGCGAGCGCCCTTCTGCAGGAGCTCGTGAAGGATGTATGAGCCGAGGAAACCAGTAGCACCCGTCATGAACGCAGTGAAGTTCTTGGGGTCAATGGAGCCAGCGCTGGGAATCGACTGAGGGAGCTGCTGCACCAGTTCGGTGGCGTCTGCAGCGTATGCCTCGTCTTGAACATAGCTCGTGTTGGTCAAATCCTCAACGTCGAGACGCAGACCAGTGGGATCTTGAGCACGGTCAATCTCGGCAGCAAAGGCAGCCAGAGTCTGTGACTGGAAGATAGCGCTCATAGGCACATCGATATCCTTCCACTCCTTACGGACGTTGAAAAGCATTTGCTGGGCCAAAATGGAGTGGCCACCCTCCTCGAAAAAGTTGGACTCCGGCACGAACATGCGCGCAGTCCTGTTGGGGAGAACCTGAGCCCAGACCGCAGCGACCTTCTTCTGGGTGTCACTCAGAGAGGCCAACGCGGAAGTTCTCGAGCCTCTCCTGTTGAGGTGAGCGAGGTCTCCCGCCGTGGGGAAAGGCAGGGCGGGCTTGTCGATCTTGCCATTGGGATCTTGTGGATGGTCAGCAAAGTATGACGTGTTGACAGGAAATGTAGAGCTTACTCAAGGGCATGCGAACGAGCGGAATGAACATGGTGGGAACGGCATAAGATGCGACCTTAGTCTTGAGGAAAGCCTTGCAGTCCTCCGACAGCGACTTGAACCTCTTCAACATCGCAGCCATCGACTCATCGGCACCTTCACCCGCCGCGCCGTCGCCGGTGATGTGCTGGAACCAACGTTTGGCTTCAGGGACGATATAGCTGACCAGCGTCGGTTCCTCGCCCTCGTCTCTCCTGACGAGGGTGACATTTTCGCGCACAAACGGATGGTGTGAAAGATGAGCATCAATTTCACCGAGCTCGATGCGGAAGCCTCGAATCTTGACTTGGTTATCGACCCGACCAGTGCACTCAACAGTACCGTCTGGGCGGAAGCGGCCCAGATCACCAGTTCTGTAGATGCGATCACGGGGGCCCTTGTAAAGCTCCATCCAGGGCTTGGGGTCGGCAGCCGCGGTCTGTTTGTACTCGTCGACCCATTTCTGGTTGTCGATGAACCAGTTGTTCAGGAACTTAGTGGCATTGAGCTTATTCGACAGCTCGTCCGTGCCGAGATAGCCCTCTGCCATGCCAGCAGCACGGAGGAACAGCTCGCCTTGCTCGCCGACGTCACATACGCGGTTGGAGTTGTCGCGGTCAACAACGAGAAGCTGAACGTCGAGCATGCCCTGTCCGACGGGAATGACGTCGGGAAGTTCGTCCAGAGCGTTTTCCTGGCTGGCCTTGCTAGGGATCTCAAAGTAGGAAACAGCTCGCTAGGTACGTCAGTGGCCGGAAATGTGGCTGTCCAAAGAAACGATGGCATACCTGAGTCTCGGTCGTGCCGTACATGTTTGTGATGAAAGCGTTGGGCGCAAGCTCTTGTAGCCTTCGGCTGTCCTTCTTGGTCAAAAGATCGCCGACGAAGAAGGCATGGTGGAGAGTGGGGAATTGCGTCGTAGCACCACCGACAAGAATCTGACCCATGGCAGGCGTCAGATGGGTGACGGTAATCTGGTTGTCCTTCATCCACTCAGCCAGGAGTTCATGGGCGATGCTGTCGCGAGGGGGAACCATGATGCGGGCTCCTAGGAACAGGGGCGTAAAAATGTCACGTTGAATGGGGTCATGTGCAATGCCTGACAGCATGGTGAACCTGTCATCCTTGGACAGACCAAATCGTTGAGCCATCCAGGGAGTATAGTATGTGAGAGAGTAGTGGCGGCCTTGGACACCCTTGGGCTTTCCCTCTGAGCCGCTCGTGAAGCTGAGGGTGGGAATGGAGTCTGGTCCAATGAGGACATCGGGCAGAGTTGCCTTGAGTGACTCCGACGCCTTGAGACAATCTTGATCGTTGATAAGGCCTCCAGAAAGTGACCCATCATCCAGCAACTTGAGAGCCGGGACCTCAGCCTTGAGGTTGAGATGCTTCTCTACAAACTCGACGACCGTGTCGGCCAGCTTGCCGGCCTCTTCGGTGGCTCGCTGGATGTGAACGAGAAGACGCGGGTTGGCCACCTCTAGGAGAACCTTCTGGCGATCAGGAGGGTACTGCGGGTCCAGGACACTGACAGTTGCACCAGCTTTCAGGGCTCCCATGTATGCCACGACGAGCTCAACACTGAGACGGTCAGAGACAATGCATGAGGTCAGGGGGTTCGGATGAGGGGCACTCACCCACGGTGGGCATAGATCATAGCTACATCACCCCGCTCGCAGCCATTGGCGATGAAGTAATGCGCCAATTGGTTGGATGCCTCATTGATTTGCTTGTACGTGAAGACGCGTTCCGGATTCCTTGGTCCCTTGGTCTCAACGACACAGGGGCGGTCAGGGTGATCCTGAGCATTGGCGGCAAAGATCTGGTGGATGGCTATGGAGGGGTATTAGCGCGCTTCACGATCTCCGATCAACGGGGGTGTTCCTGTCAAGCTCACCTCCACGAAAGGCGCCCCAGTGCAGGTCAGCCGTCGGATCCGGCAGCACGTTGTTGGGAGTGCCTGACGCCATGATCACGATGTTCTGATTCTTGACGTTGATGGTGTTTTCCGGAGGTTGTTGAGCTGAATTGGATCCAGCGTGAATGGTTGACTCACAGCAGACGGCAGGGGCTCCCCACTGTCGGTGTACACAAAATTTTGACTGACGTGACGTTTTTGGGCGTTGGGCGCACAAGCATTTGTGCATTATGCTGTGGCACGCCGCCGATCCCGGGGGGATGGCGGGGGAAGGCCCGCACAATCGGACGCCGCCGAGGTTTTGCCATGGATTACATCATCGACAACGAGAGTCAGCCACATCTGACCCCTCCACAGCCACGCTTCGCTCCTCTACAATTTCAGGGGGCAAACGGTGTGGGGCAAAAGAACTGGCTGGGCCGGGCCGGGCAAGGGGATGGAAATTTGGCGCTCTCAGGCTTGGTTTAGAAAGTGATCGTGCAAAGGAGTGACCGCTTCACGGCCGTGGACACCGAGCCAGAAGTAGAAGCTGGAGAAGATCTTACTAACCCTCGCGATGTATTTATAGAACCCAAAATTTGACCCGTCGTGGCAGCAACCGATCCTGCGCCGCCAGTCTTTTGCCGCTACTCGGGAATGAGCCCAATCCTTCAGCAGGGGTTCCGATGGTACTATTTAGCACCAAGGTGGAACGAGAGACCTCTGGTTCTTTGGAGCTTACAAGTGTCACGAAAGCCGAGGTAACGGCAAAGACATTGGGCTTTCCCCTTGCCATACAGGTTGAGGGCCCGACAGCAGGGAAGCCGCGGCAACGAAGAAACCAGGTATTCGAGTAGACGTGTCACAGAAGCCTTTACTTTGCTTTTACGGCAGGATGTAAACCGAGTAAATTAGTTGATCGACGGCCGATCCATGCCTGGACCGAGCCTCTAAGACCCCCTTCCCGGCAGGGCTGCCCTCAACCACTGAACGCCGGGCTAAGAGTCTTATTTGGGCCTTCACTGCGAAATGGAGCTTGATCCCTCGCCACAAGCCCAACGATCCGGCAGAAAACATTTCGACAACCTCCGTCGGCTAGTGCTATCCTGCCATGTTAAGGCCGACACCCCTGAATGGGCTCCTGAAGGATGTCAGCGTGTTACCCGCATGACTTGGCAAATCTTGCAGATCCGCTTAAGCGGATGCCACTGCCAACCCCGAAACGACACTGAAAACGTATCGGGCTAATACGCTGCGGTGTTCTCCATATGATATGAAGACTGCGGCCCTAGTCATGTCTCGCCGCGTCTGAATAGAGAATTGCCTGGATCGTTACCCAGATCAACGTAGGGAACGCCTTTGATACCATGAAGCCCGCCAATATTGGCATCGGCGCCTTGAAGCTGGGGATTTTTATCGTCAACCTCACCCAAGCAGCCACTGCTTTTCCTCACGATATCGACACCCTAGATGAGGATCCCCGGCAGCACCCACAACTGCCCTCAAGGAGCGATGGCATTCTTGCAGGCCGTGCCGAGGCTCAAGACTTCTTCCTTCGAATCATGCCTGTGGGAGCCTCCATCGTGCGAGGCGACCCGGCTGAGCCCGGCGACACGGACAAGAATGGGTTCCGGAAGGCTGTACGCGACAAACTGCGTTGGGATGGATGGAAAGTAAACATGGTCGGAAGTCTCTCTGGAGGCACCATGGCCGACAACGTATGCCGCTGAATTGCCCCGTCGAAGAAACCCTACCTAGTCCTTTCCGAGATATTTGGCTAACACACGCCAGAATGTTGAAGCTATTCCTGGTGAGCGGATCGACCAAATCCATACCAGACTCCGCACAACTGCTCCCATTTGGCAGCCAAACCTTTACCTTATCAATGCGGGCACGAATGATGCCTCTCAAGATATGGTTGCCGGCGCGGGAGAGCGCATGAAGGCCATGATCGACACCATCTTCTCCATCACTCCTGATGCTACTGTCATCCTCTCCACGCTTCTCCACCACAGAGACTTTCAATCCAGAGTTGTACAGATCAACGACCAGTACCGCCGCCTCGTCAAGAGCTACCAAGGCGGTGACCTAGAAAAGCCAATTGCTAAAGTCTTTCTTGCCGAGATGCAAGATGACTTTCTCAAGTTCCCACAAGATTTCCACGATCCTCTCCATCCGAATCGTGGAGGCTTCCGTAAGATGGCTGCCGTCTGGGTCTGGGCCATCGACCAAGTCAATGGACTAAATTGGCTAAACGCACCGAAAGCCGCAGGATTCACAGACGATGAAGGAAAGACCATGTGCAAGAAAGAGCCTGGCAGCGAGTTGAACCACCCTCACGGGTCAGAGGTGAAGCTCCTATTTGCTGGCGACTCCACCATCCGGGACGATGGAGTGTACAAGCAAAGCTCCCAAGAGCGTGGCGTGGTCTGGAAGAACAAGGTTTCGAACGAAACCGAGATGTACTGGGCACATTTGATCGACTCTGGTCTCCTGAGGGAACAAGTTCTGGACGAGCTCGTTCTCATCAACCACGACACTGACAAGATCGATATACATATAAACCGAGGAGATGGCAAGTTTGACGCTGGAGTCAGGACCAGTGTTGGCCACCATTGTGTCAACAGAGGTAAGCTTTTGTCTTGAATAGTGGTCATGAGAAACCGGCTGATCACTTGCTACGGTAGGCATCCACTTTGGCGATGTGGTATGTGATTCATGTTCCCAAAGGTGTAGAACATTCTTCATCGACGACTGACAATGCGAGCAGAACGGCGATGGATTGGATGACTACATTTGCATTGCATCAGATGGCACCCCATTTGTGGCAATCAACAACTCTACCCGCCAACAAACTGTGCCGTCGTTTGGGGTGGTCTTCAAGTGGCGGGATCCCATTGTTGGCTATGCACAAGATCGCGTTCGTCTCGGCGATATCGACGGGGATGGTAGGCTTGACTACTGCGTCATCCGCGACGGCGGCAATATTCATTGCTATCGAAACGGGGGCCTCGGCAATGAAGCTGCTTACTGGCAGGATCTCGGTTCTGGAGGCCCTGTATTCAGCGCGAAAGACATGGGAGACATCCGCGGAGTGCGCTTCGTTGACCTAAACGGCGATGGCAGAGGCGATTGGCTCTGGCTCACCACGCAGGGTCAAACGACAACGTGGATAAACAAGCGTGGTGAGAAACAGGGCATGATTCCGTACTGGCAGGATGCAGGAGTCACCCATCCTGATATTGGCGAGGGTATTGGCAACGCTCGGTAAGTTATGATCTGTCATCTCCGCGGATGACCAGCGCAAAGCGTGCAGATGGATGGACAAACTGACGGCAATCCAAAATTTTAGCGAGAGAGCCAAATTCGGGCGTGTTTTCAACAAGCGAGATGGATTTAGAGACGTCAGTGAACCAGCTCCCCAATGTTATTTTGGAAACAATGTCTTGACAAAACCAACGTAGTATGGGGTGCTCAGGCGAACGAATTGCGATTCTACCGGGATCTGTGACGGCACAGTCTCTATTTGGGAAAATGCCAACGGTGGAAATGGTGGCCGATGGCAAAAAGGTGCGTTAAAAAGCCTAGAGTCCGTTGCACCAAAAGAACCCCAACTCACGTTTGTGCAGGCGACGGAGCTCGGTGGGGTGACGTGACGGGAACTGGTTTCGACGACTACATCTGGATATCGGCCTTCGGCGAGGTCACTATCTTCCCCAACAAGGCTCGGGCAAACAGTTTTGACTGGTATAAGAGTGTCGCATGGGGTAGCACTACACTGGTCAGGACAGGAGTAACGCGGCGTGCTCTGCACATAGCTGACTGGAACGGTGATGGAAAAGCCGACATTATCGCAGTCGACCGTGTCTCTGGAGAGCTGACAGTCTGGCTTAGCACGTCGGAGCCCGGAAAAGTCAGCTTCCAGGAGGCCAAAAAGTACCCAGACACCAAAGAATTTTGCAAGCTTGGTTGGGGAGTCCTATACTACGATACTTCTCACCATTTTGCGGATATTAAGTACGATAGCGTTCATAGCTCCATCTTCTCTCTTCCCTTTCATGGAAAGTACTAACAATCCCCGAACAGTGGCGACGGCAGAGCGGACTACATTTGTATTCAACACAACGGCCTCATGCATGCTATGCTCAATCTTGCTACCGGAACTACAGATATCGGGCAGATCAATTACACCAAGAACCTAGAGCGAGCCGACTTTCGCTTCGCCGATGTCAACGGTGACGGGCTGTCGGATATCATTCACTCTGACAGGTTCACTGGTAACACGAATGTGTTTTACAACGAAGGAAAGGCAGCTCCAGGAGAATCGAATGCAGGGAGCGCATGGAAATGGGGAAGGCCTGCCAGCGCATTTAAGGGAACAAGCCGGGGCCCTAACCTCCAATTTCCAAGCCTTTCGGGGCAGAGACGCGCTGATATGGTTGAAATTAATCCAAACACAGCTCATGTGAGTAAACTTTAATGCTGTACGGTAATTGAGAGATTGCGTTATAAACTGACAACACAATATTTTAGGGCTGGGTCTTCTTCAACACGTGCCCAGCTGGTGGGGACGATCCAGAGGGTGTCTTGGACCCGAGCTTGCCGCCATATACGCCTGGAAAGACATCCGAGGCAGTTTCCGGTTCTTTCTGAAGTAGGCTGTCAATATCAAATAAATAGGTCTTCAGGAATTCGTGGAATACAAAACGGTTTCCTGGATCGCTTGTTGATCTTTGGTAACTCGGCAATCAGGCCGTTCAAAGATAGCTGTCCGTGTCTCGAACACTTCTGTTGAAGATGTCAAAAACGCTTGCCTGGGTGCTTGGTTTCGCTGCAATTGGTTTGAAATTGAAGAAAGTTACGCATTGTTGATGTTGGAAAGACCATCATTCGACTTCTTACGATGCAGTGCCGCCGAGCTAAACTGTACCGACAACACACCGGAGTAAACGCGCATGTATTCAGGGAGCTACACCGCCCACGCTTTCATTCCATTTTTCTGTAAAAGTCTTGCTTGAGGATGCTCATGTGCCTTTAGTATACAACAATTTTATCTGTTTATTGAAAGGATTCTAATGGCCCAGCTCGTGTACATCGCCTTCGGTGCGGAGAGCCTCATCCAACATACTTTAACCCAGGGTATCGCAGAATAAAAGGAAAATATCTCTACAAGTATCTTAACCCATCCAATGATTTGGCGTCCAGTTGACCTGCGTACCTTTGTAAGCGCTTATGACATCGTCACACTCAAACGTAAGTAACTCACAAAGCTGGCGTCAAGCTTTTTCAGGTCTGTCACTCCCAGATTCGCCGCGTCAACCGAAATCTGACGTTTCAACATCTGGATGGCTTGTAATACACCATCATATCCATAGGAGTTGGCGTACATGAATGGCCTCCCAACGCCAACAGCTCGGACGCCGAGTGCCAGTAGCTTCAGCACATCAGTGCCGTAGCGCACCCCGCCATCGGCATATACTTCGATTTGTTTAAAGATCTCGGGTGCCAATTTGTGAATGTCGAGTGCAACCTCTAGCGACGAAGGGCTGCCATCGAGCTGTCTTCCACCGTGATTAGACAGAATGATTGCACGAACACCGTTGCTGACTGCTGCCTGAGCATCTTCCACACTCATAATCCCCTTCAGGACAATGGGCAGCGAAGTCATGTTTCTGATTTTGCGGTAGTATTCCCACTGGTAATGTTAGCTACGTCTATGCCATTGAGAAGAGATGAATTCTAGTCGTACTGTTATCGCTTGAAACTCAGGTTCACTTCCAGCCACGATTAGCATGATGACTTTGAATGAGATGAAGTAGACTCACGGTGTACGTCCCCGTTGGCGGTAGGCTCGTTGGCGGTCTCCATTTGCAGGTGCATCGACGGTGAACACGATGGCCTTGGCGCCTGTCGCTTCTGTTCTCCGGAGTAGCTTCTTCGTGTTATCTTCGCCGGGGGGCAGGTAAAGCTGGTAGCTGTTTAATGTGCTGGCAAAAAAGGAACGAATTCGAAAACCATACCTGTTGGAAGAGTACTTGCCCATCATCTTTAGAGGCCGCAATATCTTCCATAGACATCGTTGCCTGCAATGATGGCTGTACTTGAATGTGAGCAGAAGAGAGAGCAATTCGGCGTAGTCCGACCCACGATATATAGTATGTCTTCATCTGCAGCTCCACGGACGAGGTTGAGCTCGGCATCCGGATGACCGAAAGCTCCTCTAGCGCATGGAGCAATGAAGAACGGTGCTGAGAAATTGTGTCCCAATATGGTTGTCCTGTGGAGATCAGTCACTGAAGGGTCCATCACAGCTGAGTGAAGTTACGAACGCAAGGGACTCTGGCAGGCGAGACACATCTCGCATTACTCTTGGTTTGAAGGTGTACCGCTGGAAAACCTCCAGATTGTTTCGATATGACCATTCACCCCCTGCAGCGTTACGGTAATAAGTGTAGTTTCGTGAAGGCAAGTAGTTGCGTGCGGCAAAGTCGAAGTCTGACAGGCCAGCCATGGAGGAGAGGTCCGGAAGCATACCCGGAGACAGATTTCCGACCGCATCCGACAAGCCATTGTCTGCTTCGTTGAGAAATGGGCGTGCCGCAAGGACTGCCGAAGCAAATGCCAGAGTAAGTTTTGAAGTGTGCATTGTGTTCTGCAACAAATGTGTGATCAGCATCTCTGTGCTGATCGACTGGATTTGGCCAGTTAACCACGAGCACATATATACAAAATCTGGACATCCATACGTGCCTATATTGGAAGGGCCATTTCTATTCGTGACCGGGCCATCATCCGAAAAGTCCCATGGCTATCTCTCCGGAATCAGCAATGCCATCGCGACCATATCCCCGCCACACCTCAATGTCTCGGATCCGAACGGCTTCTCACGTTGGCGTTGCTGCCAAGTCCGAAGTAAGACATCCATTGCGCGATCTCACTCGCGATTCTCAGGGGAGAGAATGCAGCCAGCCCCTCTTTCTGTCGCACTTTATCTTCGGGATAAGAGCGACGCCTTGCATCGGAATGCCTTAGAGGGCTGGATTCAATGAATTCCATGCGTTCTGGGCGCATGATTGTGAGTCTTGGCCCCATATACCACGCGCCCAAATCGCGACATAGTCAGAAACTTGTTGCAGGGTCGACTCCCGCGACAAGTTGCACAGCATGCTTTGGGTCAGTTTCCCGACGATCTGTGGAATGGAGTGGAGGTTAGCTGTGACCACACCACAGGCTTGGCTGACAACGTGAGCAGGAATCAATGATGCGTTGAACGCCGCGTTGATGCGAATCTACAATTCGGACAAGAGCCAGCAGTGGTCGGATTAGACAGGCACATTCTCCAAGTACCGGAGCTAGTGCTGAAGAGATTGGTCAACGGTGGCGACACCATCCTGAAGTGCCAGCGGATGGGCGTCGCTAGCTTTCAAGAAGGGCTGGGCGATTAAGCATTGAGACATCGGGACCGAGGACAAGCCTCTGGGGCCAGCAAATGTTTGTGATGACGACCGCAACGTCGCCTGCTATTGGATGAAATTGTTATGACGAAAAGCGCACGGGTGATGTCGGTGCCAGGACACTGGGTGCAACGCAAAAACACAGAAAGGTTCGGCTGGTGAAGGAAGTTTCAAGGAATGCCTGGCTGTTTTAGGAGTCAAGTCGATCGAGTCAATAAATTTACAGGAATAAGGGCGGAAACTATCGGAACTGAAGCAGATCTCAAGTGGTTTATCATGCTTTCTGTGCCGCATTGAGGCAGATGAGGTACGGGGCACCCAAAGTTTAATATCCAGCAACACCACGACGAGTCTTGCGGCGACGAGCTAAGTTCCTCACAGCCTGCGTCACGCTGCGCAGCCCGAGGATCTTGCGGCTCTTTTCGTAATCGCTCGTGCCGTTCTTCGGGTCCGCGTCCTTGGCGTTCTTTGCGCCGCACACGGAACCGGCGTTGTACTTGCCGTTCGGCCCATCGACGCCCTTGAAATCACGCTTGCTGTTGGACTTGAGCATGTTCTCAGCCGCCTCAGGCAGCCATCCGTTGATGAAGTCACCGTGTGTGCAGTATGACGAGCCGCACGCCAGCTCCAGAGGTGGCGCGCCGGTCCAGCCGTTCGGCAGGAGGCGACGCAGATCGTAGCGGATGCTGAACCGGAGCTGAGGCATACGCTTCATACCGACGGGGCAGCGATTCGCGGGAACACCCCAGGACACCCAGTTGTGGGTTCCCGAGTAGGTGGACTCGAGCGTCTTCTCATTGACGCAGTCGTGGAAAAGGAGCAGGGTCTGGAGATGGGTGCCGCAGGTCTTGGTGGGGAAGGCGGCCTTGTCGGCGCCGTCTGCCTTTGCAGGGCCATTCTCGCAAAACCATTCAATGCCCGCCAGGGGTTCAACGTCTGCCTGCTTTGTGGCGGAGGACTTGCCAGCCACCGCCTTGTAATCCTGAGGAATGGCGACTTCGGCGTTCTCGATGGACACGTAGTACGCGCTGAAGCGGGAAAAGGGTACAAGTGTAGCGCCGGACTCGTTACGGACGAAAAGAGTAGGAACCCCTTAAAAGTCAGTCACACGATCTAGTGGAGATGATACTGGAGCCCTCACAGTAGGATGAAAAGTCATTGGGGTTCTCGGCCGTCGAACAACCAGCCTGCAGTTCCTTCGAGGTAGTCGTATTGACTGTCACGGCATCCGACCCGAAGAAGCTATGCATATGGCTGGTGTACTGCCCAGGTACGACAATGGGATCAATATTCTTGTACATGAACCGTTCGGCGACGGCAATGGTGTACGCATTGGCGACGCCAGCGCCGGCCAAGAAAAGGGCGAGTGACTGCATAATGAATGTTATGAAGAGAAGAACTGTGATGAATGAATGACAGAAAAATGAGTGACCGACCCAAGCCTGAAGATGAGAGCTCAGACGTGATACTGAAGTCAACAGCCTCTGCCGTTGGATTGAGGCTCCTTTTTGAAGGGTCGTCGGCCGAGTGGCTCTCGCAACGCGTGGCTGGCTCTCCATGAATTGAATTTCCCATGATTTCCACCGTCGTCGCGTGTAGATTGTCGATCCTCCCGCAGGGGTCATCATCAGCTAACAGGGGTTCCTCAGTTTCGTGAAACGCTCCCCGGCCATGCTATCAGAAGGATTGCAGCCAGCGTATCAAGCCACGGCTTTGCGCCCGAGATGGGGCAAGCGCTTTGCCACTGTTTGGACATGGGTCGGCGGTAGTTGAACCTTTTCAATCCGAACCCGAAGCCCACAGCGCTAGTTATGCTCGTCCGAAATGAACGGGATATACATCACGGCGAACCGGGATAAGTATCGCATTCCTGGGCCAAATCCATAGACCTGCATCTAGACCCATGCTCAAGTGTCAGTCATCTATTGTTATCGAGCCTCCTTTGACTGCCCGTCATCTAAAATTGATACATGCTGTGTGAAAGGATATGATCGATATACATTCGCCGGCGAATCTGCGTGGTATCGTGCCATTTTATGTCCAGACAGCCGTTGGCGGCACAAGTTGTTCCAATTTGACCTTTTTATACAGCGTTGCTTTCGCACGTCCAAGGCTGAGAGCCAGCACCACCATTGGCGATGGACTCAATCGAAACCCAAAGTCCGAGGACGCACAGAACAATGCCTACCACCAGCAGAAGAGATGTCGCGGCGAAGCGACAGCGTTGTTTCCAGTTGGTGAACCAATTGCCATAGTGCATCCAGAGCCAAAAGATACCTGGCAGGCCAAACGAGAACCAACTGGCAAAGGCAGCAGACACAAGTCCCAACAGGTTGTTGAAGATCGGGATCGACTCGGCAATGACCATACCGAGGCCCCAGACACCCAAGGTGATAAGCAGCCACCATATCGTGGAGAGGCGTGTTCTGCGTACAACATGCTTCGTGTTCCCAAAGATGCGCGTGAAGATGTACTGCGATGCGACGTGGGCGTAAATGACAGCGGCAATTGCGATGGTGGGGATCGCGACGCCCCAGATGGCCTTACGAACTGTAGCACTGCCTGCAGCAGACAGTGCTGGAGATGGAACGTCTGGCCCGACATAGACGTAAATGACAACGGCTGCAATGATGTAGAGCGTCGTATCCGTGATCTGAAGGAACGCCAGTGCCTTGGGCCAGTCATCAGGATTCTTGAACTCGGCAATGACGCTGAAGAAGATGGAGTGACTCGCTGGTAGGGAGCTCATTAGTCCAAAGTCGAAGCTACGTTGCTCGTGGTGTGTCAAGATGGCTTACAGAATGCGCCTGCGATATTGGTAACTGCAAGGAATGCTGGTGAGAACCCGAGAGACTTGAAGACGTCGATGGCCCCATTGCCGATCGGCTTTTCAATGGCAACTGCAATGACTGTGACGAATACAGCTACGATGATGGATATGCAAGCTTCAGGGCAAACGAGTGAGCCAAGGTATCGAAAGTAGGAGCGCCCGCTGAAGGCGTAACTTACAAGCAGCTGACATCCAGCTAGTCCATTTCAACGTCCTTGGCACATTGAATACCCAGAAGACGAGCATACCGACCGCCGCCCAAACGACAGTGCAGGTGGTGCCGTTGGTGAGGGTGTTCATGCATATCGTCCACATGAGGATGTGGCCTCCAATGAGGAAGATTTGCAGGATAGTCTGAGCCCACCCGAACACCTCACGAAAGACGGAGCCCATCCCGATGGGTTTTCCAATAAGTTCGACAGCATCGCCAAAGTTTTGCACAAAGGGATACTGCTTCCGGAACTCGGCTAGGAGCAAGCCGGAGTAGGTTGCCAGTGCGCTGACCGTGCAGATCAGGATGATGCCAGGGACGAGTCCAACAGTAGCGAGTACAGATGGAAGCGACAGGATGCCTAAGGACACCGTCTCGGCGACCAGTACAATGCCTCCTTGTCTGTGCTGATGTTAGGATGCCAATGCGTTGTGTACATTGGATAGCAGACGTCAACTCACAACCAGTGCAGGGTCTTGAAGTCGATGAGTTCGCCTTCATCTTTCTCCACGAGACCTCCGGCATTTTCGGGAAACGGTGGCGGGGATGCGTCGTTGTTGAGACTTTTGGGACTTTGAAGAGAGCCAAGCTCGCCCTGGTCTACGGGGTCGGCTGGGGCTCTCATCACCTCTTTGTCCTTGCTCATGATGACTTCAAATTCAATAATAGTTGCGAGCTCAATCAAGATTTGAGTAGTATCGTTCGAGGTGGTGGAGCTTCGGCATGCAAGCAAGGTGCAGATTGAGGGGCCCCGGATTCGTTCTCAAGAAGCTCTTCGGCATTTGTGCGCAGCAGAATGTTTTAAGAAAATCATGGTGTACCCCGTCTCCCAGAGACTGACTCACCTGCGGTCCGTTCCGCCCTTGCTGACCCGATGTGACACAGATACCATGCCGACGAGTTTTTCTGACACCATTCACATTGAAAAAGCTTGACTCAATATGGAATCTCCGTCGAAATTCGGCTCGCGGGCGAAAAATCAGCAGTTGCTGTTACGTCTTGCTACCCACTTTTGGCCCGCATTTGTGGACAGCCCCTTTGAGGCACCTCCAGTACGGCGCCAACTCTAACTCGCTTTGACAACCCCCTGCGGCTTGTTTTCTGGCTGATCAGGCCATGTGGCGGCAATTATTCATAAGAACTAGCATTCATACCTTCCCTTAAAGAGTGCCGACGGATCGGCACCAAGTGACACGCCACAAGACATTGAGGTCGGTCTGATCTCACGGGTGACACACGCTGTGAGTATTCTCCATAAATATGGAATTCCTCGTAAATCAAGGGTTCGCCGCACGACATCGCTCCTTATAGTTCAAACAAGTAGCCCGAATATAACGAAGTGCTCACCAGTTGCCGCCACCATGTGCCCGTCATTTCGACTCCAGAGTAAGATCTGACATTGTTATGTAGAAGGTAATGTAATGAATGACATGGCCGCGTCATATTTATGGCCAGAACAACCTTGGTCACCAAAATACTTATCCCGGAGTCCAGGCGGAGACAAGAGGCAGCAGAAACGACATCATCGATGTGGTTCACAGGACGCTGATTTGGGTCTCCCTAGTGACTGGCCTATCCGTGGAGATCAGAGCGTCGAAAGAGCTTTACAGTCCTTCAGAGCCATCTCTTGGTACCCAGGTGAGAAATATAGGCTCCACCACGCCCATTCTCAAGGCTCGATCCGTTCACCACTTCCAAGACCTTCACGACGGCTGCCTCCGGAGTCTTGGGTTGCGTGCCGGGTGCGTACTTGTTGAACTTTTCTGCCATTTTCTTGGCGCCATCCTGTGCCTCTTCGCTCACTTACCAACCGTTAGTAATTGCTAAAACGTATTGGTACCATGACTTACAGTCGTCAAAATGACCTGTCTCGACTGTGCCAGGGCATATTCCCATAAACAAAACGCCCTGCTCAGCATACTGCGCGTGGAACTTGGAAACCGCCACGTTTAAAGCGCCTTTGCTGATGGAGTAAGGACCAGACACATCAATCCGATAGTCGTTGATCAAGTCCAGATCAGCCATGCCCGAAGTAATTGCAATGACCTTCTTGGCATCTCCCTTCAAGATCAGCGGCAGATAGAGGTTGAAAAGATGAACAGGTCCCACAGCATTCACCTTGAAGCTGTAAATGAGGTCCTCCTCCAGCTCTTTGGGGCTCTCGCCACTGACAGAGATCAGCCATCCCGTTCCTGGCCATGATGCACAGGCACTTCGAAAAGCGCACAGGCGGGGAACGGTACTTACAGCTTGCCAAGCGAGAACACGGATGACCAATCTGAGATGAACGCGGCGTTGGCAATGAGATAGTCCAGTTTGCCGCCCGTCAACTTGGTGAACTCTCCAACAGAAGCCTGAAAGTGTTAGCCTCTTCCTGAGTCTCCATCTTTTTACATCTTGATGTCGCGCGCAACAGAGACTCACCTTGATGCTTTCGTAGTCAGTCAGCTCAACCTCCAGGATGTGGATGTTGGCTCTGCCATCAAGCTCTTCGGAGATTCGCTTCTCTGTAGCAGCCTTGTTGCGAACTGTGCCAATGACGGTGTTGTTGGTATCGGCAGAGAGATGGCGCAAGAAACCCCACTAAGCAACAGAGTTAGTTCCTGGAGCTTCATGGCCAAAAACCGCTGATGATAGAAGCCTTACACCGATACCGCGGTTGACGCCAGTGATGAGGTAGGAAGGCATTGTTTTGTTTTCTAATCCGTCTTGAGGTAGAACCCTTTCTATATATCTTGAATCGGCTTGTATTTGCGAGGGAAGTGTTCGGCATGAGACGGTTTGATATAGAATAGAGACGGAACATTGGTACTCGACTAGACACCGAATTTATATACACAATAGAACATCGTGACTTGCTCGTCGGCTTCGGCGAGCACGGCGACGGTTTGAAATCGAAGCTGCTTGGTAATGTTCTGTCTGTGATATCGCAAAAACTTGCTGCGGACTTTGCGTGCCTTTCACGAGGCATTTTGATTGATCAATCTGACCGGCACATGTTTTCAAGTCCGCAACAATGGGGCCATCAGACAGTTTCCGTCACGGTATTTGGCGTATACCTTCGTAGTTTCACTACAGTGCTCGTGAATGGTCAATTCGTTTCGCAAAAAGTTGCCAGCATCCATCTTGCACAACGTCTAATCACCCAATGTGGTCTTGACGGGCCTTCCATTGGCCCGCTAGCATGACCATCGTAGTGCAGGGGTCAGCGTGGGACCGTCAGCTTGGAGGCATCACCACCATGTGCTTAGAAATCAAGCCCCCCTATCGTAGGATAAGAAAGTTATAACAGGCATCTTTTTGCGAACCACGAATAGTTTCCGCCCGCCATACGAAATTGTATGGACTTGACCAAGTGACTGACGTCGTCGTTTGTCGATATGAAGCCAAGGCAGAATCTCCAATCTGACAACACCGGAACTTCCTCCAAGAAGCGGTGCGGAACCTGCATAGGTACGGATATCCTGTGCTGTTATGGCCCTTCTGCATCGCAGGTCGGGGCCTGTTGAGCGCAGTAGAACTGACACGTGTAGAGCGCAAAATCAGTTGTGACCGCCTCTTTCCACAATGCAGCAGTTGCATCCGGTCGAAGAGAAAATGTCAGGGCTACGGGATTCGGCTGTCTTGGCCGCAAGACGGCAATAAAAAGCGCCTCATCGTGAGCAAGAGCCCTCATTCCATGGGAGGCAGTAAGGAGAAGCATAAAGCTGCTGGGCTTTTCCACATGATCAATGTCTCATCATGGGACATGCGATTATGTGCGTCTCTTAAATTACGACAGGGGACCATTACGCCGAGCCCCCAGTACCCGCTGTCATGGTCTTCCTCCGGGTTGGCCGCACCCGAGATGGATCTCCTGTACTACTGTCAGTAATTTGACTTGGGTCATGGTTTTCGGTTTGATCGTTAGATGTTTCGTTTTACGCTGACATGGCGCGCAGACCAACATCACCTTTCCGAAAAGATGGTAACCTTCAGCGCGCAGCCGCTAGGGCTCGCACTCCAAAGAATCGCGCTGTCAGAGGGCTCATCATCAACTTCAGCCCTGCAGCGAGCATTGCTGGCCCTTTCTGCTCTTTATCGCCACGGCCACGGGTTGAGGGCAGAGGAGATGAAGCTGGCGGCTTTACAGGCCCTCAGGAAATCCGTCAGTCAGGCCACCGATGTGAAGAGCGCAGTCCAGCACGTAGCAGCCAGTATGGTGCTCAGCGTCTTCGAGGTTGGTCCGATACTTCGCGTCCCCGAACCCGCCTCTGAATGAGTCCCAACGTTCTCAGGCTCAGCCGCATGCTTCCGCATAGTTCTTCGAAATATGGACTGACGTACAGACTTGAAACCTAGACGCAGCAGACTGCGGAAACCACCAATCAATGGCTCTTCTACCTCCGCGGCGCCACGAGCATTGTACGTAGTCATTCCACAGCTGCTTTCTGTTCCATCACCGATGGCAGCTCGATATTGGAGTGGGTCTACTACCATGGTCTGCTCGCTCGCTTCAGCCTGCGCCACTGGAGACAGCCCAGGAAGGAGGCGAAGGACGGTGCGGCGGAGTACACAACACCGACGCACAACCCTTGGACGACAGTGGATGACGCCCTCCTCGATAGGAGCGCACGCTACATGAAAGAAGGCCTCAAACACAACATCATGTTCGAACCTTTGAATGTGCTATCCAGCGTCGTAGCCGAGTTACTGCCGCGACACGACAGAGCAGCCCAGACAACCCAGTACAGGGCACGCGTGAGAGAACTGCGTAACCAGGTGCAAAGGATGCGGATGTCGGGAGATCAGATGAAGGGAGATGCTGTGGCAAAGGTACGAGCAGCTAAAGCGGAGGCATACCGAGTATCGACCATCATCTACATGAGTCGTGTGACGGGCGAGGCTGTGGTGCCGGAGTCAGACTTCCCTTCGCTGGTAGAACGAGGATTGCGCATGACGAGTCTCATCGGCAGCTGCGAAAGACCACTGCCTCTCCTCATCCTCGGCAGCGAAGCTCGCACTGACGAGGCGAGGGTTCGTGTTCTTGATCTGCTCGGGGCGTCCAACGATCGCGGACACCACAGAGACTTGAGGTCCGTGCGATGGCTGCTGCACGCTTTGTGGACGCAAGATGATCTCGCCTCTGATGAGGATCGGGAGGTTGACTACATAGACAAGCTGTCATATGTGTTCAGCTCCAGCGTGTTGGTGCCACACTTTGCTTGTCGGTCAGCGTTGCTGTAATCGAATAACGGCGCAGATGGTTGGAAGCTCATGACTTTTTCGATGACGAAGCAACATATTTCTTGGGGGCGTTCTTGAGGGCGTTCTTGTCAATGTAGACAATGTTACAAGGTGTCTATTCTTACTTCAACGGCGGAGCAATAACTACCAAAAGAGGAGCATATTTCGATCAACACCACCCAAATCTGTCACAGAACGATATTTCCATTCATTTTTAGTTAACCACTCATGTACCAATGGCCTCTGATGTACTACAAAACGAAAAACGCCAACACTGCGTGCATGACAGACAGCCTACTCGAGCTCGAATCGCAGTGCATCGTATTGCACGTACAGCGCGTTGACAAGCAGTGCCCCCTCGGTGTTCGTGGCGTTGTACGGCAGGCTCAGGACAAACTTGTTGGCGCCCTCCTCGAGATTCGCAGCCGAGAAGCGGAACTTGTACTCAATGTTCTGGCAGACGACGGCGCTGCGCACGCCGCACGACCCGGACCGCCAATACGGGATGACCCAGGTCTCCTCTTCGACACCGTTGAGCGCGACAGTGTACGGAAGGTTGCTGTACTTCTCGCCCGGCAGGATACCACCCCACTTGTTGTTGCCGTTGGCCGTCTTGGCGCCGGCGAGCTGCACCGTCAGCGTCGCCGTCTTGGCGTTCTGCAGCTGGTCGCGGTCGAGGTCAAACTCGACGGTCCAGTTGTTGATCTTGTCACGGACCTGCTCCGGGCGCACCGAGTTGCCGCGGCCGCCGAAGACGCTCCAGTGGATGTAGTTGAAGTCTACGTCGGCCTTGCTCTCGCCGACCTTGTAGTTGACGCCTTCGGGGAAGTCGGTCGGGAAGTCCCACTGCGCCCAGTAGATGCGGTACTGCTCCGGCTGCAGCGGCTTCGACGTGTCCGGGGCGTAGCCGTGGCGGTACTCGCCCGCTGACTTGTCGGGCTTGCCGATGCGCCAGATCTCCTTGCCTGCGGACTCTTCCTTCCACTCGAGAGCACCGCTGCCGCCGCCGAGACCGTGCGGCTCGGTCAAAGAGACCTTGACGTCGTCTTGGATGAACCAGCCAAACACGCCGTCCGCGTAGACGGTCAGTCGGTAAGTGCCCTCCTTGACGCGGGGAATCTTGATCTTGCCATTGCATCCGACCTCGGCCCAGTACTGGAGCGACTTGGTATCGAACACGTTGAGCTGGAAGTCCTGCTTGTTCTCCGACAGAACGGCAATGACTCGCTTGGCGCCACGCGGCAGCTTGATGTTGGCCGTAAAAGTAGTGCGCATCGATGTTGGTGCGTAGTTGGGCACATGCTTGGCAATGCTATCGTAGAACTCGGCATTCCACTCGGGATCGGCGTATTGTGCGGCATCTTGCCTCAAGTCTTGAAGCGAAGTCTTCGGGCCACCCTGGTTGAAGTAGTAGAACTGCGGCCCAAACGTGCGGTCGAACCCGTGGGTGATGTTAGGCACGGGTGCGCCGTGATGGCCGGAGACCATGTAGTTGTAGACGATTCCATCAACGACGAGGTCACTGTAGCAGGTCAAAAATGATTAGAAAGGCTATCACCAAGAAACTAGAATGCCATCCAAGGAAAACAATCAAGGATGTCACTCACGAGTGCAGCGGGCCACCATAGTACGTCTCACGGGTGTTGTGAACGAGCCAAGCACCGTATGTGTTGCCATCGGGCGATGTGCTGCCGTCGGCGTACTGTCCGTGAACATCATGGTTGCGCCAGAGTTCGGCAAATGTGTACTTGGTAAAGTAATCCGAATACTGCGAGGCATAAGGGTCATTAGGCGTGTTGCCGACGTAGGTGGTCGCGTCCTGGACCGTGACACCGGCCGCACTCCCAGCGGCCGACACTTTGGGAGCCCAATTGTCCTCGCTCCCAACTAGATGGGTCCACAGGTTCGTGTTGGGCCTAAAGAGGGTGCGCAGCTCTCCGAGACCGCGCAGGAAGGGCCTCGTCTCGTTGAAGTAGGTAACGCGAGAGAAGACATGGAGGCCCGTCTCCTCGCCGCGCAGGAACCAGTACTGGTATAGTGACTGGTTGGTCGGGGCGTACGTGTCGCCCATGATGATGCCGCCATAGGGGGTGCCCGTCGAGTCGACACCTTCGACGAGCTGGTACTTGGCGGTGCCGCCGGGCGTCCAGAAACCTGTGGGGATGCAGGAACAGTCGAGATACGGACCTTTGCCGGAGTTGCCGCTGACAGGTCCCAAAAGGTCGACATTGTCCAGGCTCAAGTCGACAACCTGGCCGTTACTTTTGCCGACGGCCACGTACAGCCTCTCATTTTGCAGCGTGTAGTGAGTCGCATTCTCGGCTGCTTTCAGTGCCGTGGCAGCTCCGGCGAAGAGAGCGGCCGATTTCAATCCGGCGAGACGCATCTTGATTGGTACCGTAGGCTCGATTGGAAGCCGCCTTCAGATCAGAAAAGGCTGTGCTAGCTTGTCCAAATGAGAATAAAGACCCATCATGCTATCCCACAGGCAGATTCTCAGATTATAATGTTCATCAAGTGCGGGGGGCAATATCGCCGACGGGGAGCAAACTTCCATTTTGGGATCATGTCGCTCCACGGGCTAATGGGAACCGAGCAGATCGACACCCGCGATGTCGAAACGGGCGGTGCGGGGGACTGGAGCGGGACAAGATCTGGGGTATGGTATGGGGAAGGTGACAGGGGCCATTTCTTCTTGTCGATGAGGGTTATTTCGGCTCGTTTTCTGTCTTTTGGAGGATTTTGCGCGGCCAATTTCCCCGTCCTCGGCCGTCGGACCAAACCGTGACCCCCTTGTTACTCTTGCGACGGTGCCCTTCAACCGATTCGTCGCAATTTGATCTACAATACATGATGTTGAAGCGGACCGATGATTCTTCGGCTGTGCGGCACGCGGCGTGACCGCCCATAGCAACCTGTCACTTAAAGACTTTGCCGCTTCCATGTCACCTTTCTCTCGTCATGAGCTGGAGTCATCATGTAAGCTGCGAGACGGGCGTCGTAAGTGCAACAAGATCACCCTCTGTTCCTCTGCTCCATAATGAGCTGCACTCGCCTCCTTCGCGCGGCTGCGAGCAGTCTGATGTCATGGACATCTGGCACTCGCCAGATCATGCGCCGAGCTTGCCGACGCCGACTCTCTCCAGCCGGTCCGCCGGAATATGCAACGGGGACGTGGCTAGATGCACCTGCATGAGATCAGCGACAGGCTTGAAGCGGCTTAAATCAGAATTGGTTGTGCAGCAGAAGGATTCCCCAATGTTATCACGGGCTTTGGTCCTGTGGATAGACGATTCGAAGAATGTGTGATATCTGCGAACCTGCGAAAAGAATTGATTTCGGGAACGAAACTCCAAGCAACAAGTTGTATCAGCCCCATTAAACAATAACTTCCTCCTTATAATGAAATTGGGGTATTGTCGCTAAGTTTCTTGTTGCAGAATCGAGGTAGTACGAGACGAGAACCGAGAGGAGAGAGTAAAAAGTGAAAATTAGCAACGCCTCTAAGCAATTGCTGTGGGCGCTGGCAGGATGTATCTTCGAGATTTCGTAGCAAAAACAGTTTACACCTGTTCAATGACAGAGCTAGGCTTCCAACCCCCGACGTTGACTGACACTTCGGGATCCGTCCAGTTGATGGGTTTGTGCATCCGTAGCGCTGAGAGGAAGTAGTCTTCGAGCGGCAAAAGATTCAATAAGATGCCGTTCGCGTGCCATGCAATGCCGCAGACGATCGCACCGGCCACAGCATCGAGCACGAAGTGATTTGCAGTGGCGACAATCGCTGTCAGGATGAGCGCAGGGTACGACATGCCAAGTGCCATGATGGCGATGCGCTTCCACGAGCGCGTGCGTAGGTTGGCTATTGGAAGTGTGGCAATCGTAAGTCCGATGAGGAGTGAGTAGCCAAAGTGGAGGGACGGCATAGCGGCTGGTTTTTGAATGTTAGCTCTTTTCATTCTACTCATGCTACAGGTGAGAGGGAATGGGCTTTTGATTTTCACGATGGGGGGTACCAGAGGTGACGCACCATATTGATTACAGAATTTGTTGGTAGTCCAGACGCTGCTCTCGCCTGTGCTGCTGTGAACTGTGTCGACGAAACCGAAGCTCTTGGACTCCTCAGCATCTGGACCATCGTACGCAGGGTCGCTGAGTAGACGAGGCGGCATGCAAGGCCAGAGGGTGAAGACGACAAAGGCGAGCAGGTTGCAGGTAGCCATGGTGCGGCGGCGGGCCTCGTACAGAGCAGGGCCGGCGGAGCTCAAGACGGGGGCGTCATTGCCGTTTCTCTTGGAAGAGATGGCGCGGCGACGGCGAGTGGTGGTGAGGTAGAAAAGCACAACGAGGAAAAGGATGGTGCCCGGAATATGGATAAAGGAGTATATACGGTTGATCCAATGCATCAGGGTAGGGTACTGGAGGAAGAACTGCTGGATAGGAATCTCGATGAAGATGTGCAGGCTTTGCTCGACATGAATAACCTGTAGGGCGTGTCTACGGGCGACGTGAACAGTGCCTTCCACAAGAGTGAGCGCAGTAATGGCGCGGCCGACTTGGTACACCTGAAGGTCACTGATCAGCTTCTTCGAGAGCCGCCGTCGACTTGTAGCTAGAGCTTACCCAGTAGATGAGCGCCCAGTACCAGGCCTCCACAAGGAAAGGAAACTTTCGTAGCAGCCGGCTGAGGAGGCGATTCTTGTGTATCCTGGTGTTTGGAGTAGTGATGCGGCGCTCGTACTTCAGAAACTTGATCTTCCTGACGCGGCGCAAGGGCTCTTCTGGCAGGCCCAGAGTGGGGGAACTGGAGAGTAGCGAGTCTTCGGACTTTGGTGTCATGCTACCAGATTGGCGGGGGCTGCCATGGTCGTCCGACTTTTTGATCTCGCTCTGTCCAACTGTCTCGTCCGTCCACCCTTGAATATCGTATGTGTCGTCGCGGCCAATGCTACGGTTGAACCACGCTCCTCCAAAAAGAAGAGTGACGACCACCAAGGGTTCGGCAGCTGCACCGATGCCCATGTTGGTATCGTAGGGTTGAAGGGTGGAAGGGTGCTGGTGCGGTCAGTTTGAGTGTGCCGGAATCGAGATGATCAAGCTCTTGTCGATGATGTGCTGCTACTAGGGTTTGAGTCGATGTCACGCTGTCGAAGGCCACCAGAAGACAGAAGCGCACAAGAAGCTTGAGGAAAGTCTTGCAAATCGAGACGTGTGTACGTGGACAAAAGATAGATGCAGATCCAGCGGAGAGCAGCAGCAGCAGAGGAGAGAGAGAGAGGAGAGACGAGTGTTCGATCTTGATTTTTGCTCAGACGTTTGGGCGTCTAGAGCTCCTATTTAGCTGTCCTGCCTAGCAGGCTCCCGAACTGGCCGCTGAACTTCTTGGCCTTTTTACCTTGACCTTTGTACCTTGGCTCTCGCGATAGATACTGTGTGTGACCTTGCCAACGCAAAGCACGGTCTCCAGACGGCCATTGGAGGTTGGGGTGTCAGTTAATCCTTACCGACAGATCCGGTGTGCCTCACAGGGATGCATGGGGTCGACAGGCTGCGGGGCGAAGACGAGGAAGCAAGCTTTGGCGTTTGTCAGGAGCATCGTTTTAGGAACGGAGGATGAATCGGTTCATGCTGCTTGAACTGAAGACCTTGAGTTGTTCCCGATGGTCTCGGAATCAACGGAAATGCTGGGCGATGCTGTTCGCCGAATAGACGTCGATAGGGAACCGGGGAAATGGATATTGAGGCTATGAACTGCATGTTGAAGAGGATGTCGACGGTTAGAGGATCGACGGGACTAAGAGCACGCGACCTTCCCGCCGATACCGAAGAGGAAGGCTGGTTCGGCAGTGACACTGGGGTTGTTGGTGTGGGTGATGATGATCTAACCTGATCCCAGTCTCCGGGCAGGTGTGACCAGCCAGCCTACCCCACCATTCCGAGCCGCAGCACAGTGTCAGCTTGGGCATGCACTTTCGAAGGGTACAAAGTCGGCATCAAGAGGTGGGAGGTGAACCGTCCATTCATTCACAGGGCGTGGTCGCTCGGAGTTTCGGGCGGAAGCCTGGACATCGTTGCTGTGTTGGGCCAGCAATAAGCTATTAGAGTTTTCTGCTTCAGAATGTCGTGGTGTGACCGCCGCTCTTGGGGATCTCGTAGGGATCTCGCGGTACCCCCTTACTCAAGGCTGTTCGGAGTTACGGACGGCAGCCTGGTAGTGGAAGGACGGTTTGCTGTGAGAGCAGACCTCAGATATGATCAGGGAGATTATTCAATGCTCGGGTCACAGCTTGTTGCACTTTGAGATGTAACTATTCGGAGTTCCGGACGGATGCCTGGCCAGAGCGCACAATTCTGGCCTAGCCAGAAACTCTGACAACTGGCTTTTTTTTCTCTTGCGCGTCTCAAGAGAGTTTGTATCTTCCCGCTTTTCATCGATCCCCAGCGTTTCAAAATGCGGCGGGACACCCATATGATGAGAAAAAGATCACCAGTCAGCTTTGCGCAGCCTCAAATGGTCCGAACGCCGCCGGAGGCTTTGAAGATATTACAAGCAAGTGAGCAACCTCTTGTGTCGCGTATGCCGCACTGTATCACGATAACCCGAACCGAGGAGCACATCTTCCACCCCACCAAAAAGGCAGCCAAGCGACGCGAGCCAGGGAACCTGCATGCATGCACAGTGAGTACGCCAAATATCGCATGTCCCGAAGCGCACCATCACATCAGATATCCCTTGTACAAGGAAAAATGAGCAAGGAAAAACAATGTTTGGCATCAGGCGCATACCAGGTTAATTCATCTTCGGAGTGATACTCCACTGCGGTGGGTTCGTGAGCCTGGCTGTCAGCTTGAACCACACGTAAAGAAAAAAATGGGTAGAAGAACAAGAAAGAATTAGAGTGGACAGGCTGGCCAAGCAAAAGCAACACTCCTAAGCGGGGCCGATTGTCCCTCCACTTCAAGCTGCCGGGTGTCAGCCCTGGCCGACCGCCGATGACATCCGGGAGCTTCGGGAATGACCCCTCACATGTCAAGAGCATCCATTGGACTGAAGCATCTGGTTCAATGATGGCATTGGTCGCGTGTGCTGCGGAGATCAGCAAGACCCCGACGTGGTCGAGACTCTTTGGTCGTGAGATCAGCAGACGGATGTGGTGGAAGCAGCCAAATGCGCGACGTAAACGCTGCAGCCATGTCTCGGGCGCTCGCTCGATGCCAAAAAGATCGTGGTATGATGCTCGACCCAACCGCGAGCGCCACGAAGCCACCGAGCCATGGCGTAACAGAGTCTCAGCCAGCCGGCGGTGACACCGCCTCGTGGTGGTCAGTGGCGGACAATCTGTGGTTGGGCTGCCCGACGCCAAGGGCAGCCGCCTTCATAGACAATGTCCCCGATTGCAAGATGTAAAACGCAGATGATTCATTCCCCAGAAGCCAGCATGATCTTTAACTATTGACTGCGACCCTTCTCCACGTCGGCATCAACTTCCGGATGAGACGAGGTAGGCTGCGACCAGAGGTCGTACATGTAGTGCAGCCGAACAAAGAACACCACCATGCGACTCAAGGCGGGTTTGCTCCGTGCCACTGGTTCCGTCCGATGGTCCGGCATTTATCTGTTGGCTCGCCGCCACGCGCACAACGGCACAAGCCGCCTTGAGGATAGACCAGGCTGGGCACCTGCAAGCGGTCTATAGAGAGAAAAGGGGGTCGAGGAGGAGGCGGCAGGAGCTTCCGTTCGCCAAGGAGGGAATGTTCGCAGGCGTTCATGGTTCTACAGGCAGAATTGTCGCTCAGAGTTTTCCGCCAGGACGATCGACTGACTGCATGAGAGCTGGCGCATGATTCATCTCGTCAGCACCGACGGAGTGTTAAAAGTCGAGCATCCATCGCATTGCTTCATGACGGTTCACTATGCTGGTGTTGGGTGTGCCGCCAATCGTGGACCACGACCAGGAGGGATGATGCAGGTAGGGAAGCGGGCCGACGGTGGGCGGCAGTCTTAACATTCGTTCCCGACGTGTGGAGAGTCTTCAAGTACGACGACGGCGTACTTCATGCAAACGACCCGAGGGGGGCTTTGGCGTGCCCGAGTGTTGGTTCGCTGAGCTAGCTGAAGGTGGGTTGGGCCCTTTTGTCTCGTTCGTCTCGTACGTAGGTAGTTGGGTAGAAAGGTCTGAGCGTTTTGCCAAGCGTCGAGCCGTGTGGGCACGGCTCATTTGATGCTTGATGGCGAGCTGTCATCTGAGACTGGAATCGATAACCGCCTCGCAGATGGCGTTTCGCAGTCGAGGCTTGCCGTGCGATGAGAGAAAACGAAGAGGGAGCCCATAGCAAGGACAACGAATGGCAACAGTGATGTGAGTTCACGGAGATCGAGCCCATCCCATTGTGAGAAACAGCAAGAAGGGGCCTGACATGGCACCTCAGGCTGAAGCTAGAGAAGCAGGAACGAAGCACGTTGGCGCAAAGACCACCACTTGCCAAAAGCCCAGAAATGGTCCAAGTGTCAAGATGGCTTTCCCTGTCCAATCGCGCACCACCTCCCGAACGCTTGGGCCAGTCTTTGTCCAATCACGATCGCCAATCTGACGTCCCGATTCACCCTGGTGGGCTGCAGTAGGCAGGGGCTCGCCCAGCAGCTGCTTCAGCAGTTGGGAGAAGCACAGAGGCACAGGGGCACAGGGGCACAGAAGCCCAGAAGCCCAGAAGCACAGAAGCCCTGAAAGAGGCCCTGGTAGGCACAGGCACCGCGAATAATTTGGTGGTCGCTGGGTCAAGCCGGCGTGTGGACACGGACCGACCTGGGACTATCCTTGACCGCCGCGTTGCGTTACCTCCCGCAACCTCGCTTTTCTCCTGAAGATATTCCCAGACTGGCCCAGCTCAGCACGCATCGCATTCGACACACGCGCCACGCCTGGCGTCGTAAATACCCCCAAATCCTTTTTTTCACTTTCCTTCTTCTCCCTTTCCTGTGTCTGTTTGCTCTGCGCTTTGCACATACTACGACCCGCTTCTGTGCTCCGACTCTGCTGGCAGCTGTAATAATCGACCGAACGACGTCCAGCTACATACCTTTTCCCCCTTCCTTCGCGACAACCAGCCGGTAAACCACTACATCTGTATCCACACACCTGGCTTGCAGTCTTCTGATTCAGCTCTAGCTTTGCATCGGCGCGCAGAATTTATAGCGATTAGGGACCAATCCTCACGGCGACTTGTAGATCGCCTTGCGAGCATCCGACCTACGAACCCCTCCCTCCACCGCCGTATTCGTTACCTCCTCCGCGCCTTCCATCCGCACCGAATATACCAAACGAACGCGCTGTGCATATCCCATCCTATTTCCTACCTGATGAAGCACCGTTACCGACACTTTTACTGAGGCCATCCTCCCAACATTGCGGGGAGTTCGCCCGCATACTACGTCACCGTCTCGCAGCATTTTTGCAGGAGCGGAAGACCCAGTCTACGCAACAGTCCACACGCGTCCGAAGCCCCCGCTGGGGTTAAATATCACAAATGCCCTGGCAGCCGCTGCTTCGGATCGCATTCGCCGTTGCGACGTATCCGTTTGCTGCGCAATGCCCTGCCGACCTGCCACTCGAAATTGGCGACGAGCTGTACATTATCGAGGAAACCCCGGACGGCAACTGGCTGCGCGGCTATCTTGTAGCCCCGCCTAGCTTGCTTTCGGGACTCACATCTGTCAAGGGCCAAACTCTCGAGGCGCGCGTCTTCAGCGGTATTTTCCCACGGAGTTGTGTCGAGGTTCGCGAGGTCTTGGGCGAGACAGATGATCCAAACGAAGAAGATGATGCCACCAGCGATGATCATGCTGGCACAGAGCACTTTATCGAGAGCGACTCTGGTAAGAGTGGTTTGGCGGGCAACGCCGACAAGACACGGAAGAGGGATAAGACAGGCACTCGGAGCTCCAGAACAGACGACAAGGGACGCAAGCTTCTGAGGGAGCTCACCAATGGCACTCACGGCCGCCTTTCAATCCCTCTTGTACGGGACCCCGAGGCTCCACGCCCAGCGGCCCCTGTACCGATGCTCAAGATTGGCGACGAGACACCGACCTCCGCCGGAGAACCTCTGATCGACGAGATCGCGAGCTGCCTGCGAGAATGGCACTCTACAAACCTTCATGAGCTCCTCCTCTCTCGGCAATACTCGCGACTGGACGAACTTTCGCGACTTGTCACCTCCCTCAACCTAAGCCGACAACAATTTCTCCACAACGTCTTGACGACCCACGAGTACGAGCGCCTTCGCGAAAAGACGGTTTGGGACCTTGTGCGGGTAAATAAGCTTTGTGGCGGCGAAGTCATTGTTCGTGATCCCGAGGAGCGAGGTCGTGTCTTGACCGGTGATGACTCCGTGGTGGAGACAACAAAGCTGCAGTCCCTAATGAGCCTTCTTGATGAACCTCCTCAGCCAACTGTCGAGCTGACTGCGCTGCACCACGTCCTGGTCGAAATCAAGGGATTTGCTGGTGCCTCTACCGAAGAGACATCGCTTGCGGTCTACTTAGTATCCAAGGCGCCTGGCAGCTCGCCCGCTCCACTTTCAGAATGCTTCATGATCGAGATCCCTCCCGGAGGCACCCTGGGAACCCTGGCCAAGTCAGGCCAGTTGAAGACACTATTCGCAGATCTTTCTGCTCAGGACATCGGCGATGCGCCATCCGCTGAGTCGGAGTTGTACCTTGTGGTCAAGGTCCGAGCTACGCAGCAGATCATTGGTGGCGGAAAGCCTGAGTCGCGCTCTGGATCTAAATCTCAACCGTTCAAACAGCAAGACCCTACGAAACCCCCTTCAGCGAGCGGCAACAAGACAATTAGGAGAAGTCTTATGTGGGGCAGCAAAGGTTCAAGAACAGGGTTTTCTCGCGGCGGACAGATGAACAAGATGGACTCGGTGACTGAGCGAGCCGACATGCGGCCCCCCACGAATGGAGAAAGTCGTGATGGCCAACAGCCACCCAGCACTGCCGGGTCAAGATCACGAAACGGCTCCCTCGACGGCAACCAAGACTCACACTTGATGGCTGAACGAACTGTGGGAATTGGTGTTCTGAGGCTGAACTCGATCATGAAGCAGAGCGACTCGATCGAGCAGGTGCTCAACGTATGGTCGCCGACGCCAACTTATCTGTCTGACAAGCAAGGCGGCGAAGAGTGGGATACCTTGGTTCGTGAGCTAATGGACAGCAAGTCTGGTCACTATGAGAGGTCCAGGAGGGCGGAGCGCGTACAAGTCCAATTGAAGGCTTTCAACCATCCTGATGCCGATGCACTCATCAAGGCCACGCCGACGCTCCTTGCTGGTGTTTGCAAGACCGCCAAGATTGGCTTCTCGGGAGCACCGACCAAGCCAAGATCAGACATATATGTGACGCTCGACCAAGCCGCTCTATCGAGACAGAATCTTCTGTCACGTTATGGAGGCAACCCGACGACGATTTCCAGCAACGTGCATGCCAACAATCTTCAGCTCACACTCGAAGTGCGCCGAACTTCCGGACAACGGATTGAGAACTGCATATTCGCATCATCAAATACAGAAGGTGTTTCCACATGGCGTTCACTTGCTGCTGAGAGGGGAGAAGCATGGCGCCAAACTATCAGGCTCTCGGTATCCCCTGAAGACGTTTTTACCTCACATATCGTCATGCTCCTCTCCGACTCGCCGGGGTCCCCCTTTGCCGTTGCTTTCATGCCACTCTGGAACCAAGAGGCCTTCCTCCGGGATGGGTCTCACGCGCTTTTACTCTACAAAATCGACGATTACACAGCAACGGCACAGGCTGGTCCAACTGGAAAGGGTGGTTATCTATCGCTGCAATGGAGCGCTAGGGGTAACGACGAACAGAGCGCCGAAGTTACGGGACCACTGGCAACGCTTCGCGTTCACACATACCTCTGCAGCACACGGTTCTCACAGGACCGTATTGTTCTGGGCCTTCTGAGGTGGAAAGAAGCGTCAAAGGAAGAGGTCCCATCGCTTCTGAAGCACCTCGTTTTTGTGCCCGAGATTGAGGTTGTGAAGCTCTTGAGTGATGTCCTGGACGCACTTTTCGGCATCTTGGTCGAATACGCTGGGAATGACGACTTCGAAGACTCAGTCTTCACCGCGCTTGTCAGGGTCCTCGGCATTGTACACGATCGCAGATTCAACCTTGGCCCACTGGTAGACCAGTACGCCGAGAGCCGCTTCAACTACCCCTTTGCTACGCCTTGTCTCGTTCGGTCCTTCACTCGTCTGTTAGAGAAGCCCACGGAACCGGAAACGTCACGAAAGCTTCGATCCACTTTCAAGGTCGTCCGCCACATTCTCAAGTTCATTACCCACGCCAGAGGTCAACAGAAAGCCAAAGAGGCTGGAATAGGTATCACA